GAGAGAGAGAGAGAAAGAGAGAATTTTGTATTTGGGCAGCAATATCTCTTTTATACAAGTTTCGTAAAAATGACTGACAAAGTTCTGTGGTTAGGCTTTTTATTTATTTTTTTCTTGTGTACTTATAATTTTATTCATTTTCTGTAGAAATTGTTCGAATGTTCTGTATATCTGTGCGCTTTTCTTTTAGCCATTATCAAAGATAATTTTATTTTTACTTTTAACTGAATGTATGGGTAGTTACAAGAATATTTTATTATCCATACACTGTTAGAACATTGTAGCTGTGTTCATAGTTGATGCTTCCATAATTTCTTTTATCCCTTTTTTTACATGTGGGTGAGGCATTCGAGAGTTGTCTTAAAGAAAATGTCATGCTGTTTATAGAAACAGGGCGTCTACTCAAACATGGGTATCCACAAGATACCGTTTGGAGTAATAATATATATATATATATATATATATATATATATATATATATATATAAAAAAATGTGTGTGTGTATTTGTGTGCGTGCGGATTTATATTGATTTTCTAAGCGTAGCTTAGACGTGACAGAAGGCCAAAAGTATGGGGCACCCAGTGAGAGTCAAACTCACTATTCAGTCGTAACTGATCTAGCGAGACAAGCATGCCAACCATTACGCCACGTCGAAATGCACGTACGTGTTTCTAAGTATACTGCATAAAATTTCCTATATTTACAGGCGAGGAGAAGTCAATATCCTATCTATCTATCTATCTATTCAGGATACAAATTTTCATCATTGAAATACTGATTCTGTAAAAAATCAAATCAGTTTATTCAATATATATATATATATATATATATATATATATATATATATATATATATATATATATATATATATATATATATATATATATATATATATATATGTAGGTGTGTATTTTTCATTTTCTTTGAATGATTAGGCAGTAATTTTAGTTGGTCCTTACTCCTTTGAATATTTTTTCATTCAGACAGAATACAAAAAAATTAGCGGATCTGAAATATATGGCAATAAAAGAAAGAAAGAAAATAATAATAGAAAAATTTGCACACACACATCCACACACACACATACAAGCACACGCATAAACATACACACACACGTATGTATGTATGTATGTATGTATATAATTTGGCTTAAAATCGTTGCCTACTTCCTGAACTAATTCTGTGATAATTTTCGGAAAAAGAGCCACTGCGCAGTTTCCGTCGATTTCAAAACAAATTTGCGTTCTAATTATGTTAGTCAGAGGTTAATGTCCAATGCCACACCGGAAGGATGCTACTGAAAGCTTTAATGGAAGCCTAATCATTGCCGGGCGAAAATTAAGGTCACATCTTGGCCTCTCGAACCTTTGTGCGGAAGGAAGATGATTAAATTTTAAAATAAAGAATGGAGAAAATTCTCGTCTACGTTCATTTGACCCCAGATTATAAAATAATAACTCGAGAAAAGAAAATGTTAAATATCATTTAAATGTTTGCTTTGATTTCTGTTGTTTTAATGTAACTGGATTTTTTTTTTCAAAGGAGTATTTTGCTCGATAGTTTTGCATTGACATTTTCTTTTTTTTTATTAGGTTGTCACACATGAAATGGCGCATTTTATAGGAAATGAATAAAACACTTGTGAAATGTTAAATAACTAATTTATTTTGTTGAAATAGGCACCATGTTGAAGAATGATTGTTTTCCAACATACCTCTAAATTCTTGATCCCATCTTTAAAAAAAATTCTCATCCTTTGATATGATAAACACTTCAAATGCTACATTTACCTCTTCCGTATTGGAGAATGTTTTATTGCGTATGAAAAGTACAAAATGTTTAAATAAGTGATAATCAGTAGAAGAGATATCAGGTGATTATGGAGGATGAAGCAAAATTTCATAATTCAGGATCTGAAGCTTTTGGGCAGTTGATTGAGAAGTGTGCAGTCGTGTGTTGTCGTGCATAGGGTCATCCCTATTCACAAGCCTAGGATGTTTCTTTTTCACTTTTTTATGTATACATGTAATTTCTCTACAATACAAGGTTGCTGCTATTGTTTTTCCTTGAGGCAAGAATGAATAATGAATAACCCCTTTGAAAGACCACCATACAGTATCCATGAACTTTTTAGGGTGTTGTGGAGATTTGGGGTATTATTTTGGTGATTCACTTGCATCTAACCACTGGCCTACTTTCTTACTGTTGTCAAAGAGTATCCATTTCTCATCGCATGTAATAATTCGATTAAAAAATGGTTCCTTTTTCCAGTTTATACTCATACAGTAAGATTACTCGATATTGTTTCATTGTAATTATTTTCATTGGGCTTATGAGGAACAATATTTAGAAAGAAAAACTATCTAGAAAGAAAAAGAGTCAGGAATAAATCAAGATTTGTTATATTCTAATATATATATATATATATATATATATATATATATATATATATATATATAAATATATATGTATATAAAGTATTCCGTCAACTGTGACAGCCTAATAACTTCAAAAAACGTTTTATGATGGAAACGATTGCTTAAATGAAAATAATTTTGAAAGTTCTGTGATGAAGCATTAGCATTATTCCAAAATTTATTTGGATCAGTTATTTTTTTTTTTAAGTATTTACATTCGGTGGTCTAATGTCCTCATCTTTGTTGTTATTATCCCAACGTTTCGCCCGTTGTGCCCTCCGACTTTCCTCAGGTGTATTTCGATGTGGGTCACTTTCGGGGAATTACGAACTGAACCCTTTGTTTAATCTACAACGGTAGATTGTTCACGTTCAGTTGTCCATCTGCAGGGATATCTAATCTCGTCTGACTTCGATACGGTAGAAACACGGCGAGCGATAACGGAACAGCACGAAAAAGAGAAAATACAAAGTTTTATCGCCCCAAAATCTTATCTTTGTTGTATTATTAAGAGGAAAGAGCAAAAGAATTTTTATCAATAACTAAAAAAACAAAAAAATTTATTAAGTTTTGGACAATTTTTTAATCATGTATGCTAATTTATTTGCAAATCTTTGAAGGTACCTAACATATGGGGAGGGGAAGAAAATGCAACATAGAAATGCCGGGGATTTTAACCTTAAAAATGCATTGGAAATGATTTTAATATGAAAATACATTGGAAGTGATTTTACTATGAAAATACATTAGAAATGATATTAATATGAAAATGCATTGGAAATGATATTAATATAAAAATGCATTGGAAATGATTTTAATATGAAAATGCATTGGAAATGATTTTAATATGAAAATATATTGGAAGTGATTTTAATATGAAAATACATTGGAAATTATATTAATATGAAAATGCATTGGAAATGATTTTACTATGAAAATATATTGGAAGTGATTTTAATATGAAAATACATTGGAAATTATATTAATATAAAAATGCATTAGAAATGATATTAATATGAAAATGCATTGGAAATGATATTAATATAAAAATGCATTGGAAATGAATTTAATATGAAAATGCATTGGAAATGATATTAATATGAAAATGCATTGGAAATGATTTTACTATGAAAATACACTAGAAATGATTTTAATATGAAAATACATTAGAAATGATTTTAATATGAAAATGCATTGGAAATGATTTTAATATGAAAATGCATTGGAAATGATTTTGATATGAAAATTCATTGGAAATGATTTTACTTTGAAAATACATTTGGCTATTTTTTGCTATAGCAATTCATCAGAATTGAACTAATCCTTTAATTCAATTATGTCAAAAGCTCTACACCGATATAAAACGGTCAAGCAATTATATACGCATTGCTTCTCACGCGTTCTGCATATTTAAAGCCAATTGTCGTAGAGCTATAGAAAACAATATATTTTAGAAAACTATTGCAACTGATTTCGATCCCAAGTGACTTCGCTCGTATCGTGAGTCTGATGATTATTTTATATCAAAAACATTAAAGACACAAGGACGCTCAGCTGTAAATTTAAAGTTTTCATGTCCGCTTTATCTAGATCAGGGGTCGGCAAACTTTTGAATGTACTATAATAGATTGTCTCGACCCAAGACCGCTTCGTATAGAAGGATGACTTGGTCTGGAGATACTTTCTTTACGGTCATTATTTCTTGAAAAATTAAGCAAACACTTTTTATTAAAATCGGAAAAAAACCCAAAACAAAACAGAAAACAACAAAAACAAACAAACAACAACAAAAAAAGGAAACTTATGCTTAGAAAGAGACATGTGATATCCAAAAATATAGGCTATACCCGAGAGAGGCAGATTAGAGTGACTGAAACGTTTTGAAAAAAAAAAAAAAATCAACAAGAAGAAAACAAGAGGAAATTAGAAAAATAACACTGTGAAGATTAAAAGACTTTGACCCAAATTTCAGAGAATAGCGTAAACCTGAAATAATAATTAAACAATTGTATTTTTACTACTTACATTATTCGGACTATTGTCCTCATCTTTGTCTCCATATTTATTACAACGTTTCGGCCGTTGTACACTCCTGCCTTCTTCAGGTGGTTGGAATATCGAACTGAACCCTTCATATCGCACACTGGGGTAGACTGTTCTAGTTCCACGTGCCATGTTTAATGGATGTCAGTTATCAGCCGAAATGTTGTAATAAATATGGCGACAAAGATGAGGACAATAATCCGAATAATGTAAATAGTATACAAAATACCTCATCACAGAAATATAGACAGATACTGAAGGGCCGAAACCTTGTAATAAATATGGCAACAAAGATGAGGACAATAGTTCGAATAATGTAAATAATGTACATAATACTTCATCTCAGAAATATAGACAGACAGTAAAGGGCCGAAACTTTGTAATAAATATGGCGACAAAGATGAGGACAATAGCCCGAATAATGTAAATAATGTTCATAATACCTCATCTCAGAAATATAGACAGATACTGAATTGTATTTTTCTTAATTTAAATTTATACGAATTTATAATTTATTCTTCGTTTTTCTTTTTCTTCAGGTCCAATAAACATTGAGTTGTTTAAGGATTCCAGAACATGTGCGAAACGATGTATCGGTGAGTTCCATTAACAGATTTCTATCTCTTTAATTCTCTCTCCTATATATATATATATATATATATATATATATATATGGGAAAGTGTGTATCTATTGACAGAATGAAAGCTGCGAGACTTTGAAGGACAGTGTCGATTTTGACCTGGGTACAATATATGCATGTCAGGGGAAAGTAGATTTTCTGATAAAATTTTTAAATCTTCGGTAACCTTTGAACTTAACATGTCTAAACTTTAGACCCGTGGCACATGCTGCGATAAGATTCGTTGTGGTCAAAGTATTCAGTGCTAGGACATATCATATTACGGAGATGTATACGCGTTCCTTTTGTTGAATAACAGCCATTAAAATGGCGGTTGGACTGTGGCCTTTTCATTTACTGGATGCTCAGTTTAAAGAATTGCTCCGTATCTTTATGTGAAGCGTTGATAATACTTCGATATTGACAACAGAAATTTTTTACGGTAACGCTCACTCTCTAGTAGGCCCGGAGGCCACTCGAGGTAGAGTGTTACGTTAAAGGGTAGTTTATATGGATAGGGGGAAGATAAAGGTTAACTCTAGACTTGAACAAGTTATGATTGTGGTGATCGGGGAAACATCCTCTTGAGAGTCTGTTCCACAGGGCAGTCGTTCGTGAGAAGAAGCTGTTCGAGTGGAACTTCTCGCCGATGGAATACGGGGGGAATATGGGTGGTTTGCTGTTATGTAAGTGGGTCCTAGCCGCGAAGGAACCAAGGAATGTAGTTCGTCTGAGCACTTTCCGTAAAAGTAGCGATAGAACAGAGGAAAATTCTTCTTCTTCAACAAGAACTTGGAAACGCTTTTGAACTCCATTAAAAAAAGAGGACTAGACAGTTCCCGCCCAAAATATGACAACAGTACACCATTTTCAGCCTGCTCTGGCTCTTAACGATAGAGGATAGCATGAGGAGTCAGGTACTGGAGCTGTACAGGAAGCTGGTCATTTTACCAACATCTTTAGGGATGGATCGAGTTTCAGGCCCAATATCTTCACAAGGCACAGTGACTTCTGGAGAGGACACCCGTTCATCATAACTGGCGGTAGTTCGGGGTCTGATAGGCGGTAATAAAACGCAACTGGTTTGGTTTTCGAGGCATTGGTCAAATGAATATTGCTTGACCGGTGACCAGGTTTTGGATAGCCACGCAGTATATAGATCGACACATTGTAAGGGTGGTTCGGATATACGTATACCGTCTTTAATCACATCACCATCGTGTATGTCACCAGTTAGTGGCAAACTGGGTCTAAAAGTGTTGCTTGCTATGAGACAAATGAGGCCTCATCCATAACTACAGGATGTTTCAAAAGTCACGCGACAATTGACAGAAAACATACATTTGGGAAATAGCAACCAAGGAAAATTTGTCGGTAAAAAAAAGCCTTTTTTTTTTTTACTTTTAGCCGCTTCGTTTGTTTCTTTATGAAACGTAGATTGACGAAGATTTGTGCTGTAGACGAGCTGACATTTTTGAATTTGCTGATTAGGACCTGTTGCAAAGTTTTTTTTTTCAGTAATTCAAGTTAAATTAATTAATCCGTGTATTTCGTCTTTTGTTTTTAACACCTTACAGATCTAAGAAACATTGACATTTCAGGTAGAAAGTTCATACATTTTTTTTTAAGAAAAGAGAATTCGATAGATGGGCAATGTACAGGGTGTTCCAAAAAGTCACACAACAATTAGCAGAAAACATACAATTGCGAAATAGCAACGAATGAAAATTTTGCATGACATCATTTTCCATAATTCAACCGGTAAAATTTCTTAATATATTATTACTGTCACATACATAAGCCTGATTCCATTAAGGTTATAATTCGAAAATACGCTTTTAAGTAGGCGCGCAAGGGGGTCGTCAGTGATGTTTTCATCAGGGAGTTCAACGTCATACTCCCCATCACCAAATCGACCCAATCAGGGGAGATCAATCCCTGAATACCCCTCTCAATCAAACGCTAACAGCTACTCTGGCCTTTTTAAAAATAAGAGGAAGAAAGACCACATATTCCGCGCATCAAATTGGATGTTTGTAACAACCAATCTGCTGCGCGGACAAATTTTAAATGGCTCGCAGTCGGGACTGGCTTTTTTTCTTATTTCGGTGGATTGCAGTTTCGATGGATAACTGAGGAGGTAGTCTTAATGTTCTTAAATCTTACGGTTCTCCTTAAGTAATCAATGATAATGCGATTTTTTGGGACACCTTATACACTGATATCATTTTAATTTTCATAACGAATAAATAAATATGGAAAAGTGTATAATTAAAGTTTTTTATGGAAAAAATATGCATTTCTTACTAATTACAATGTACATGTACTGTACATATTACTCGCAGTAGGAACCAAATGTAAATGTCATAATTAAGTTTTTAATTTTTTTTTAATTGGTTGATATTTTTAAATAGTTTACTTCACTATGGGCATATTAACAGAGAGTTCAAAAGCGCAATAGAGAATTGAACGCAGTCCATTATATTAAGATCAATCGTTTGTTTTCACGAGATGATTCAATAATTGCTTCTGCATCTAATTCAATACCAATTTCTTTTCCGTGAATAACATGTATGATTCCAAGTTTTCATAAGACAGAAAATTTCTTAAACTTGTCTTTATGATCTTTAGTTAGGGAAACGTCCTCTCACATTGGACTTGAGTAACTGATAGTGTGCAGATAATTTTATAAAGTCCTTGTCCCTTATTATTACTAAAACAGTTGTTTGAATTTGTTTTCTTACTGCATATTTTTATATATGGATCCAATCCATAAGGGGCCCACTTGCAAGCTGACACTTTGGCCAGTCCGCTACTGACATCGTTGAAGGATACTTTATAGTGTTCAGTGCTCTAGTTGATTATTGATACAATGGGTGGTCGTTTATGTGTATGGCATAAACCAGAGCGACAAATTCCAGACGGTATTGGCCTACAACACACGGACTCAACTCTTACCATCATTGTTGTGTGACATAAGTTACAAATCTCAATTGATTTCGCTGTTTGTGTAATAGAACGTTGAATATGCATCCAGAATATTGTTCGAGTCTTTATGCTACCATTCTTACAAGGGGGAAAGCGATCTGCTGCTCCAACAAAATAATCGACAACCACAATTCGACAACTTCCCTATCGGCATAATCAAAGAATTTTATTAAAATCAGAAAGTGACAATTGGAGTTTCTGGGAAACATTATAAGGAAAGATGGTTGAGCTCTTCGACGTCGTATAATGCTTAGCAAGCTTGTCTCGCTAAATCAATTACGACTGTGTAGTGAGTTCGATACTCACTGGGCGCTAAGCACATTCGTTTTTATGCCACATCTAAGCTACACCGAGAAAATCATTTTGGGGCACGTCGACGTGGTGTAATGCTTAGCAAGCTTATCTGACTGGACCAATTACGACTGAGTAGGGATTTCTATCCTCATTGGGTGCTCCACACTTTCGGTTTTATGCCACATCTAAGCTACGCTACGACAACGAAATCCGAAAACACACTGGGATAGCAAAAGTGCTCCCCAAAAGCCAAGCAAAGGATAAAGTAACAAGAAAATTTTGTTAGAAACAAAGAAAACAGTACTGAACTTTTATGTAATATTGGTCGTCCTATATGGCAGGGAATGCATCTCAACAATGAAGAAGAGACTTGAGGCAACAGAAATGCGGTTCTACAGAAGGATGCTGAGAATACTACGGACTGAACATGTGAGCAATGACGAAACAAAAAGGACAGTTATATTTAGAATAAGAAAGGGACACTTAAAATTTCCTTGGCACATAATGAGGAAAGAGGGTTTGGAAAATATAACACAGGATAAAATGAAAGCAAAAGAAGCAAAGGAAAGCAGCGCCTAATCTGCAAAAGAGAATTTTAAAGAACATTAAGAAGGTTGGGGAACTCTCCGACCGAAAGGTTAAAATCGAAATAACAGAATTGAAGATACTGCAGGACATGGGCGATCATGGTTTTCTACAACATTCTATCTTTTGTTGCTTAAGTAACTTTGGACTTTGTTCCTATCCCCTTTGTTCTAGTTAAGTTATCCATTCAAACACCTTCGTTAAGTAAGTTATTCTCTGTTTTCAACTGCTTCATTTGTGTTTAATATATCTTGTGAATTCTCTAAGTATTCTTTATATATCCCATACATTTCCGTCGTGGCTTTTTAATAGTAAGTTTCAGTTTCTTTGAAATAAAGTCAACACTTTATAACAGAATTTCAGGCCACCACACATTTTTCGTCTTTTACCGAAAACATTTCTCTTTTGTTTTGTTTCAGACAACCATAAGTTCGACTACAATGTTGGAAATGTCTATGTTTATGAATATGAAGCCAATTCGAAGACAGGCATTGTTGGGGCCTCTGAAGATTCGGCTTCCATTCGCATTAAGGCCACCGTCGAAATCGAGGCGACATCTTCGTGTGACTTTCAGATGACGGTAAGCTTTAACTAATATTTAAATATTTTACTAATTAAAATCCATCTGTTGAGAAACTGTAAGTTCTGCACCTGCCCGAAAAAAAAAGTTGTAATGGTGAGATCAACCGTCTCCATACAAGAAACATTCTGTATTTATTGACTGTTAGCGTTACTGTCAGCTGGACTTAAGTCTCAAGTCCACTAACCATTAATCCTCTTTACAATATTAACGGGGACTTCTCTCTAACATTTTGACTTACGTAGTCATTTTTTTGTTGCTTTTTAGCGGCATTTCAACCTTTATACTGAAATCTAAATATTTTGTATACAATTTTTTATTGTGATAATAATACTTTTAGTGATACACGTCTTACTAATTAACCCATAGTTTTGGGGGAGAAGATGTGGATTCATACCTTTCCCGAAGAGTATTTACGAGTCATCGAGTATAATGAACCAAGCTGGAATTGGAACTCGGCTCTCCTATTATCCGTTACACGACTTGCAAATCCAAGCTTACAGAACCTGTTATTCCGATACGGTCACTCATCTAGATACTGACCAAGCTCATCGTTGCTTAACTTCGATGTGCGTTCGGTAGTGTGGAAAGTCAACATTTTGATTATGTCATTATTTTCTACATTATTTACATTATTCGGACTATTGTCCTCATCTTTGTCGACATATTTATTACAACGTTTCGGCCGTTGTACCCTTCAGCCTTCTTCAGGTGGTTGGAATGTCGAACTGAATCCTTTATTTCGCTCACTGGGGTAGACTGTTCTAGTTCATTATTTTCTCTTCGAGTTACATGTGCTATCCATTTTAGTTGTTGCTCCTTTTGAAACTCCTCAAGTGATTTGGCTTCTGTTATTTCGTAAATTTCTTTAGGATTCTGTAGCGCCAGTAAATTTCTTTAGGATTCTGTAGCGCTATTCGATGATAGATCTCTTCATGATTCATAAGGTTCCTTCGCTCGAAGCCATTTTTAATCCTTCATCTGAAGAAATGGTTGTATATAGCCAATAGTTTAACTAAACTGAACTAATTGGACATCTTTCATGACACCCGTATAACAGGCTAAATCTTATAAAGCTATTCAAAAAGCATAACTACAGTTCCAAGGTTAATGCTTTGGTTTTATTGCATCTTCAGCTTTTGGACAAAACAACACCGAGCACAGACTATTCTGTGTTCGATTACTTTATCTAATATACTAAATCTATAATAACCGATCCACAAACTTGAAGTGTTTAGTGATTCTTAATTCCACATTCTGAATTATGGCGCATTCAGGCTAGACGCCATCATTTCTTTCGTTCTAATTCCAGATCATTCTGTTTTGGAAAGGTTTATCTTAAGTCCTATTTTTGGGAATACACGGTAAAGAATTTTAATTTTTTTTTCAAGATCATTTCTACTATACCAGATTTATATCTTGTTCAAACGCCTGACGGTACTAACAGGGTGGGGGCTGTTAGTACCGTCGGGCGATTGAACAGTGCACACGAAATATTTTTCCTTGATATTTTGCAAGTGGCAGGTCGAATGTTTATGATTTTTCAAGTAGCTTTCTAAATATCTGCCAAGTAACTATCATTTTGTCAAATAACTTTATTCGTTTCTTTTTTTCTCAATGTTATTTGAAATAACTCTCAAAATACGTTTTGCCGAAATGTTTTATGGATTTTTATAACTCTACTATTCCTCTACAAATTTTTTTTTATCGTTTTATATTATTGTCCGATTTGTTAGAATTGTTGATGAATAATAGGATTAAAATAAATGGATAAAAAGCAAACGAATTTATCGAAGCATTCTTCGGGATTCTGTAGCAGCAATTTGCGAGATCCGACGACGAGTGGTCCTCTTAAAAACTCATAGGATTTATTCGCCATTTTTAATCACTGATCTGAGAAAACGGTTGTGTATAGCTGATAACTTAAACATTTCGGAAAGAGTTAGACATCTTTCACGACATCAATATGAGAGTCTTGATCGTATAAAGCTATTTAAAAACATGAACAGAGTTGTAAGAAACAAGGACTTTCTGGTTTTTGTTATATTTGTATGAATTCCAAGCAGTTTTATTTGTTATGGGGTGCGATAGTATGTCGTAGTACTAAAGGCTTAATATTTATATTTATCTCAGATTTTAAATTGTTTTAATTATAGAATAATAAGTAACTGTTGAGGTTGTTCTTGTTTAGCGGCATATTAACACCTCTATGGGTTACTCAATACCGAAATCTAAATATTTTGTACGCAGTGTTGTGGTTTAAGCTGTACTTATTTTGAATGCAACTTTATGTCTTTGACTACACGCGCATAAATCGTTATTTTTTATATAGCATCATACTTTCACGGCAAATGTATGTTTTATAGATATATAGTGTGTAGATGATAAAATATATTGTTGGTAATTTAAAAAATATGTATTGCTGGTAATTTCACAAAAAATGTATTGGTGGTAAAATTTTAATAAAAATGTATTGCTAGTAATTTAAATTTAAAAATTTATTTTTACACTTTTTTAGTGCTGTATTGATTGTCATTTTTCCATAAAATGCATTGCTCGTCATTTTATTATAAAATATATTGTTGGTAATTTCACTAAAAAATGTATTGATGGTAAATTTATTTATAAAAATATATTGCTGGCATTTTAGTATGAAAAAATATTTTTATACTTTTTATTGCTCTTTGATTTTTGTTTGGGGGACAAACGAAGTAAGAAGATATACTCCTAGAAACGAAGTGAGTAGAAATACTGCTAGGAATTAAGTGAGTAGAAATATTACAAGAAACGAAGTGAGTAGAAATACTACAAGAATCGAAATGAGTAGAAATACTGCAAGAATTGAATTGGATTTACTGCGAGAAACTCAGTAGATTTACTGCTAACAACTAAGTAATTAGAATTACTACTAAGGAATAAGTAGAAATACTGCTAGAAAGTAAGTCAGTATAATTACTGCTAGCAACTAAGTAATTAGAAATACTACTAGAAACTAAGTAGAATTGCCGCTAGTAACTAAGTAAGTAAAATTAGAGTTAGAAACTAAGTAAGTAGAAATACTGCTAAAAACTAGGTAAGTATAAATACTACTAGAAACTAAGTGAGCAGAATTACTGCGAGAAACTAAGTAGAAATACTACTAGAAATTAAGTAGAATTACTGCTAGAAACTAAGTGAGCAGAATTACTGCGGGAAACTAAGTAGAAATACTGCGAGAAACTAAGTAGAAATACTGCTAGAAACTAAGTAGAATTACTGCTAGAAATTAAGTAAGTGGAAATGACCTGAAATAATTGTTTCTTCTATGAAAATAAAATTTGAACTTTCTAAAAAAATCCTTTTTTCATGGAACTCAAAGTTTAAAGCGAAAGGTCTAAGCGAGAGTAAAAAAAGAAAACGAAGCAAGTAAAAAAACAACAACAAAAAATAACAACAAACAAACTAAAAAAACAAACAAAACGAAGCAAGCAAAAAACTAACAAAAGAAAGCAAAAACACATTTTCATTATTTTATCAATCCTCCAAAATGGCAGTGAATACTGAGAAATTTCCTTACGGATGAAAAGGAAGTCTGAGATAAGATGAATGATGAGAATAACATAGACGGTTCATATGAGAAAGTTTTCATAAAAAAAAAGAACGAAATGATCACTTTTACTTAGAATCAAAGAGAGGAAGTTGAAATGTCTGAAACACATCATGAGGAGAGTGTGCTTAGAGAATTTGGCACTCCACGACATACAGGGGGAGCGAGAAGAAATCGAGTAATCTAACAAACTTGTACAAATGGATGACAGAACAGAAACTAAGAGAGGTAGAAAGAGGGTAAATATTGCTTAGAACAGCAAAGGATAGGAAGTTGTGGAGAGCCATGATCGCCGGTAAAGGGAAACGTTATATTAAAGAAGATGTAAATTTTGTTTTTTTGATAGATTAAAATAAAATTGTATTTTCATCATTATTTTCTGCAGCTAAAAGAGGTTTCTTTGTTGGATCCATACCGAAGTCAAGAAGCAAGGTTTTCACCTTCTGAATTCAGTGAGACATTGGCTCAGTGGCCATTACGATTCTCTTTTCAAGATGGCAGAATTGAAGACCTGTGTCCAAACGCCGAAGATCCATCTTGGAGTCTTAATATCAAAAGAGGAATTCTTTCCGCCTTTCAGAACTCCATGACACGATTTGACTTGGACCAAACTATCACTGAGGTAAGAATATTACAAAAATATATTCGTGCTTGTAAAAATAATTTTTTCCTTGAAGGCGACTGCCGTCATCAAGCAAGAATTTATCTGCTAACATTTTATTTGCGTGGAATTTAGTCTTTCGTCCTTTATATTTCATATTCAAATCCTATAAGTTTTCTTAGAAACGGATTGATTTAAATCCCTTCTTTGACGTCATTCCTAATAATGATGGTAGGGGCAGTTTTCTTGTTTTTATCATTTTAAGATGAGGATGAAAACCCAGAAATGCTTTTTCTGAGAGTGGTCTTTTAATCCAGAATAGAATTCGAACACAATTTGCTGTATTTATTTTCTAAAATTTTCAAACTGCGTTTATTAACGCCCTGTTAATACAGTTACGATTTTTATGATATCATACGAAAAATGTACATCTTTATTAACTTTTATATCAATAACTCGATCTATCAATATAATATATATATATATATATATATATATATATATATATATATATATATATATATATATATATATAATAAAAAGAAGAGAAAACCGCAAACGTTTTTGGTTGTAATGTGGATTTTTAAAAAAATATTATGTTTTATTTTCCATAATTTTGCTACACGTGTTTCCGGTCTCACGACTGTCATCAGGCAAAAGGGTGGAGATTTCCACATATTAAAAATAATTAATTTTTTTCTTTATGATTTTCGATGTTAAATATTCTCGATATGAGACATTCTCTTTTTTTGCGTGTTAGCGATCCAAATGTCTTTCTTGTAGCAACATTATGGAAAATAAAATATAATTTTTTTAAAAAAATCCAAGTTACAACCACAGACGTTTGCGGTTTTTCTCTTCTTTTTAATATACACACTTTTCTCTCGTTGGAACTGCTATAACCATTTCCTCTGATATATATATATATATATATATATATATATATATATATATATATATATATATATAAGAACGAAAAGAATATTAATTCAAATGTTCATAACATTGATTTAAAAAAAGAGCTCTATACAGATATTTAGTATAAACTGTAACATTGGAACATGCAAGTTACTACGACAAAAATGTATATTTGTTTCGACGTCTAATGACATCTCATCTGGTGGTTAACAATGGTGGTAATAAATGATTTTATTAAATAAGATCGTTTATAAAAGGAAATGGATTAAATACTACTTATTTTAAATTTATTTGTCTAAACTTTATTTTTAATGGATACTAACATTTGAGTAGATGGTCTGCCGGGGGGGGGCAGATTTTTCTAACAAGATTTCTCGAAATAAACATTTGAAAAATCTTGTTAGAAAAATATGCGCCTTCCGGACGAAAGATCTAAATAAATAAATTTACTGTTTAATAATAAAAACAAACAAAATATGAGTATCCATTAAAAATAACGTTTAAACAAACATATATATATATAGGCTTGAGGGTCCTGGCCTCGTTGACATTGTTGATCGCGCCAGATAACACGTACTTCCCCAGAAACTGTAACCAAGGTTTGCTCAGCATAGTTGCAGTATAAACCACAGTTGGACTCTGTGGGTGTTGAATAAACATAAATGCGCCTGAGCAAGCGTCTGCAATAGGGATTGGCCAGCCGCCCTAGTAGATGGGCATCCTCGAATATGAGGGGCCAGCTATACATACTTAAGGTGTGCTATATTTATGGGATAAAGTGCTCAATATCAGAGATAGAAGGTGTAAATATATATATATGTATATAAGTAGATACAATATGTCTATAATATTTAATGAAACATCTTTGAATATATATATATATATATACATGTGTGTGTGTGTGTGTGTGTGTGTGTGTTGTGTATGCCTATTTAGCTTAATGATTACGAAAAGGTTCGTTATGAAACGAAACTCTGGAGTCGGAGTATAACATCAATCAGCTAAGTGACACATCTGATATTTGTATTAATCAAATATATATATATATATATATATATTGGGGAGCAGCAATCCTTATTTCATATGGATTTCATTGAAGAGAATTGGTATGGCAGTGGGATTAAGCTTTTTATTATATTTTTTTCTTGTATGTGCACAAGATATTTCTTTATGGGACACACAGAGTATGTAAAAACTGTCCAAATGATTTTTGGATCCGAGCGCTTTCGGATAATCTCTCTCTCTCTCTCTCTCTATCTATCTATCTATCTATATATGATAGAAATTATTAGGAGGATTTGATAATTATATTTAAGTAATTCATCGAGTCTGATAGAAATCTCAACAGAATGCAGAAAGCACTGGACGGCCGTTTTGTCCTATATTTGGGACTCATCAGCAGTGCGCATCCACTATCGAGAATTGAAACCCTGACAGTTAGGTTGTTAAGCAAACATCATACCAACTGTTCCAAATGGGCCTCGGCGACGAAGAGATTCCAAATCAGACTCAACATAGCGCCGCTCGCTCACATATTCCGTGGCGGAACTCTACTGAGTTCTCTCTAACCATAGGACTGTGCCCCCTGGAGCCACGACTACCCTCACCAAGCCGCTCACTCTAGAGCATTAGAAGCCAGTTCCAAATGATAAACACAGATAGTAATTATTAGGAAATTATATATATATATATATATATATATATATATATATATATATATATATATATATATATAAATATGTGTGTGTGTGCATGTGTGTGTGTGAAAGGGTGTGTATGCATGCGTGAGGACACAAACATTCAGATATAAATGAATATATCTGCAAAGACAATATCAATAAAAAAAATAACAAGAGGAAAACCTTTTGTGTTGACGGGTTTTGTTCCTTCAGGGACTTCATCAAAAGTGAATGTGGACATTTTTTCGAGAAACATCTATTTGTATATACAGAGAAAAATAAGTATCGTTTAGAAAAACGAAAAAGAAATGAAAAGAAAACAGAAGAATAGAAATACAATTGCTACATATTCGATTTTGAATTAGAGAAGTTTAAAAAATATCACAAATCTCTCTTTAAGAAGAGGAAAAGAAACTATGGAGGCTGCTAGGTGATATAAATTTTTAAACAAAAATCAATTATTATTATTATTATTATTATAGAAAAAGCCATGAGTCAACCATTTTCCTTTAACTTTTGGAAAATTTTTCTGGTACTACATTAAAAAAGAGCATTTCTTTTAAAAAAGGAGATATTTGAAAAAAATACAGCGCATTATTCAATACTATCGTAAATATAAATATACACCCTTTTTTTCAATACTTTTTGACACTGCAAGGTGGACTGTTGGGCTAACGCCTCAATGATTCAGATTAACTTGGTCTGAAGATCGTATTCAGGCGTGAAACTAATTCATCAAGCAGTATTGATCCTTATACCCAAATGAACAATATCCATATTTATGTATAATGAGGTAAAAGTCAGATGATCGATTCTTAGCGTGAAGCCTCTAGTTACTAACTGTAGTCGTCATTAATGGGTTTTATCAGATTTGAATACTGCTCAATAAAATTATTTATAGCAAGCCTTGTTTCTGTAAAGAAAGTCTATCGATCATGCTCATTGAATATATACTGAATTCATTAAACTTGGTGAAACATATCACCAAGTTTTCCAAATTCTCTGTTATATATATATATATATATATATATATATATATATATGTGTGTGTGTGTGTGTGTGTGTGTGTGTGTGTGTGTGTGTGTGTGTAAATATGTTACGGTTTTTTTGGTATATAACGTATAACTCGTGAGCGAGTCAAAATAATTTCCCTTTATAGTCGACCAATAGAAGGTTGACCAATCAGAAGCCGCACAACACTGTTTTCGTCGTGTATAAAGGCAGCCATCTTTGTTTTTCCTATCGGAAGGACCAGAGGAAACTTGTCCGGCGAACATGACAGACGGAAGAACTACGCTCTGCTACCTTGCTGCGAGATCCACTGCGAACCTGCACTACGCTTTCCTACTGTCTCCGACATATTCACTGCCAACCTCTGGATTCTATACTCGAAGACGACCGTCATGAAAATGTCTAACAAAATATATATTTAATTATTCTTTCTTTCTTTATATATATATATATATATATATATATATATATATATATATATATTTTCACTTTAAAAATTAATGTCATGATCTGCTTGGGTCCTATACATCAACATTTGTTGCAAAATAAAATCGTTGCCTTTGCCTTGATAAGGTCTCGCAGAGGATGAAACACGTCGTCTAAGATAAATTTTCCTTTTGTTCTTATTCACATTGTCCTTTTTACAAATATTTTTTAGATTAAATTTTATACACACAAACACACACATATATTATTGTGTGTGAGTGTGTGTGTAAGCGAGAGATAGAGAGTGTATTATACACAAGCCATGTATATATATATATATATATATATATATATATATATATATATATATATATAGGAATGGTTTATTTCCCTTGAATGTGATACTTATAACAATAGTATGGATTTCAAATGTGAAAGGCACATAGTCAATCAGAGGCCTTAATACACATAATGTCGGTCTTTTAAATTTTCATTGAAATAAGGCTGCATTTTATACACAGGTGCGTCTTATTTTTCCGAAAATGATCTATCTATCTATCTATCTATCTATCTATCTATCTATCTATCTATCTATCTATGTTTATTTTCTATCTATCTATCTATCTATCTATCTATCTATCTATCTATCTAATTGACCCAGTCTATGCATTTCTGTATTTTTGTCTCTTCTCTGTGTGCCGGCTTGATAATTGAGATAGTTTTGCATTTTTCTGTCGTTAGTGTTTGAACCCTGGTAAAAAACGGGATTTTGACAGCTGGTAAAAAGGTCCAGCGTAATCTTCCTTTTTTTTTTTTTAATGGCATTCAGTATATTTATGAACTCGTAAAATCTGCCCTACTCATATGGTATAAATATTAGTCTCTTATTTTATTCACTCACAAATATTTATTTAATTTTCAGACTGACATCACCGGCAGCTGTGAGACTAAATACACAGTGTCTGAATCCGGGGATGATACTATTATCAAAACCAAAGACTTCGTTAGCTGCAAACACCGACAAGGAATACATTCTACTGTCCAGTCTATTGGTTACGATACTGATTCAGTAAGTAAAATGGTTTGTATTTCACTCCGTTAAAAAGAGTAGAAAAACATTGTTCTGATAATCTTTAAGTTAAATAAATGTCTTAGATCAGTGATACTCAACCTGCAACTATTGACACAGCTGCAGTACACGTGGTGCCTTTATGACTTTAATGGGTTACGGGACTCCTGAGATGACGTAGTTCTTTATATATATCAATTAAGCCTAATGACGACAATAAGCGTTTATTTCAAACAGCAAATATTTATTCTTTCTTGTCAATTGACAATGCTCTTTCATTAAGAACAAATATCGAATATTATGCAATGAAAGTTTCAGATCCAAATTCAGCTAATAATAATATCAGGCTACGGTCTTGGTTTATTTTGTTTTACGGCATATCAACCTCAATGGGTCATTTAATGCCGGCATTTTTAGGATAGATTCGTATGAAAAGAGTATGTACTCTTTGGTTTAGATTGGTTTGGTTTATTTTGTTTTATGGCATATCAATCTCAATGGATTATTTAATACTGACAAAATTTTCATTGTTTATAATATTTTTTTTTCCAAAAATCTATTTCTAGTTGATTGGTTGTTTGTTTTGCTTTATGGCATATCAACCTCAGTGGATCATTTAATGCTAACAAAATTTGAAATAGATTCATAACGATAGTTTTGTTTGGTTTGTTTTACAGCATATGGGTTATTTAATCCCGATAAAATTTTTGTTGCTGGTAATATTTTTTTCCTTCAAAAATCTATTTTTGGTAATATTTTTATCTTCAAAAATGTATTGCTGGCAATATTTTTTTACAAAATGTATTTCTGGTATTAAAATCTATTTTTACGCTTTCATAGTGTTTTGATCCCAGTTTGGGGGGGTGTAGCTATTTTCCCATAGCTGGGACCCTAACAGGTGCTACCACCCCGAGTCAGGGTGGACCTGGGAACACCAGCAATTAAGAGGTGGTTCCACGCTCCTCAAAACCTCCTGATCAGAGGCATTGCTGTTGGACGTAGTTTATCGTCTTACCTAGGACGCGGACGTAGTTTATCGTCTTACCCAGGACGCGGACGTAGTTTATCGTCTTACGCAGGACTGGCTACGGTCTTACTGATCTAGAATGAAAGAGTTGTCTAGGAACAAATAAATAGAGATACATTAACAATGCATTACTTTTTCGATGGTCTCCAATGAACGTGTCCATTTTAAATGTTTCTTTAGCATATCCAGAGCCTGGCCATCATGAAAAGCTCGTACATTTGCACACAAAAGATCAACGAAGAGAAAATACTTGATGAATCCACATGTACTGAGAAGCATGTCTTCCGACCTTTCTCTAATGGTGACAACGGAGCCTCAACTGTCAACACTCAGGAAATGCGATTCGTACGAACCAAAAGAGGAGGAAGAGCACGTCAAGGTAAGAAATATAAATGTTTATCTATCAAAGATTAGTTAAACGATATTTCTAAAAGTTATTTTTTTATATCGAGTGTAATGTAACACATCTCAATTTATCGAGTTGGTATTATTTGGCTGGTCAAAAAGTCATTTAGGAAGCGGAAAGAAAACAACAATGTTGATCTCTGATTGAATTTCTAAGGAGTCCCGCATTTCGAGTTTGTTCCACATGGTCGCACTATCAACGCTAAACTGTATTCCAGCAGCTAGACCGTGTGTACGACAAACTAAAGAAGGAGTATCCTGCTTTGGTCAATCGAGGTCAGACTTTGTTTCAGCAAAACAATGCAAGGTCACACTGCCAGTTTGACTAAGGAGAAGCTCAAACAGTTAGACGATGTTGAGATTCTTCCACATTTACCATTCAGTCCCGATGCTGCTCCGAGTGACTATAGCCTATTCCGCTCAATGGCACACTTACTCCGCGATCCGCGATTCAACACCTTTCATGAAGTGGAGGAAGCTTGTTTACAGTTTTTGGGATTCAAAGCCAGCGGACGGGTATCTGGGACAGATTCGGATGCTGGCAGAACATCGGCGAGAATGATGAACTTTATTTTGAAGAATAAATGTTGGTGTTGCTCCATAAGATTTTATTGTTTTCTTTCCGTTTCCTAAGATCTCGCCAATCTGATATATTGCAACCAAAAATTTTAACTGTATAATCTTTTCTTAGCATCGGTTAATTGGGCCTGAACCTGATCATGCTTAGCACATTCTCAATTTTGAGCCTTATTCCATGCTTAAAATATAATCCATATATTTGAGCCTTGTTCAATACAATCCATATATTAGAGCCTTATTCCATGCTTAAAATATAATTTCAGTTATTTTCCATATGTTGAGATGGGAGTAATATTAAGTTTTTAAAAAACTGTGTCTTATTTGAATGTTTCAAATATACATAATTCTTGAATTAATTTGAACTTTGCGATGTTTATAAGTTTCAGGCTAATAAAAACACCCGAGTCTCACTGCGATTGAAAGGGAGATTCGAATCCTGAATTTGTTGACAGCCAATCTAGTAGAACTGCTGAATGTCATAACGGAATATACAAAAATTTCGAAAGTGTGTTTCCAAAAACATCGTCAAGTAAAAGAACTGAGGCGGTTCTAAATGGAAAAGTCGTTCCAACTCAGTACTAGAAGTTAATATTTAATAATTTTATCTCTGTGTATACTGTTTTTACAGGAAAACAATCGCACCTAATCTTCAAAACGTAGGCATAGATTCAGTTTAGATTAGAATAAAAAAAGAAAGTCTTTAAAATGGAAAAGACATAAGTACGTTTTATACGAAAATAAAGAATTAAATCTATATCTGGTTTACATTTTCTACCCGGAATCGATACTTCAAATCTACAAATCAACCATTCGCCCTTGCATGGAGTATTGCTGCCATATATGGTCTGGGACACGTTCTGTTTACCTCGGAGTTCTTGACAAGATCCAGAGACGGATATGTAATATAATTGGCGTCTCGTCTACAGTCACTCTCTCAGAGACGCGCCGTCACCTCTCTCTGTCTTTTCTACAAATACTTTCATGGTAATTGCTCCGATGAGCTGCTTTCATTGGTTCCCAGACTCCATGAATTCAAGCGCCCTACGAGGCTGGCATCCCGCTCCCACCCTTACACTGTAGAAACTTTTAAATGTAGCCGTCTCTTCTACTCCAATAGCTTCATACCTCGCACCTCTCGCCTGTTGAACACCCTTCCCTATTACTGTTTCCCTGAGAGCTATAATCCCCAACTATTCAAATGTAATGTCAATCGACACCTCCAGTTACCTTGATCTACCCACTATCCTTCTCCTCATCCTTTCTTCTATCACTCCTATCTGCTCTTGCTCCAAATCTTCTGCAACCCCCTGCATCTTAGTGGCTTCACACCTTGCTCGGGGCGTGATGATTAAAAAAAACCCATAAAAAACATTAGTGTTAGAATGGTAAAAATAGTTCCAGTTTACACTAGATTGGAAAGGTTAGGTACAGGTCTTTACACTAGAATTAAAATGGTCGACATTTGCCGTATTTGTACCCAAATCAACGAGTGTAGACACCAATAGATGAGAGATCTTACTTTTCTTCAAAGTTCTGCCAAAAAGACTTCGGTGGTAAGATTAGTTTGCTACCTACTAGTGTGAAGCGCCAAAGAAATATTGTTTTTAATCGTTTATTTACGTGTTTATTTCTTGTCACATTTTGTGTTATAAATCTCATACTATTTTTAAGTCAGGTGTTGCTGGTCTTCAAAAATTTTTTTAAAAAATTATTCTGTAATTTTGAATGGAGTTATTGTTCTTCGACTTTTGTTCGGACTGTTGTGTTAATATGAAAAACTTTCTTAAAATATAAGTAGCTGCGAATATTTTTGACTACTAAGTTTCATGCTTACTTATTTCAGACGAGATCAGGCAGCGGACAGATTTGCTGTTCTCGCACCAGTTCGGTGCCAGGAGCAGTGGAGACTCTGAAGACAAAATCAAAACGAAACTTCAAGATCTTTGCCAGATTTCTCAGGATGATGTACGACCCGAGCAACCACAGCATTTCAACGAACTCGTCAGAGAAATGAAAAAGGCAGACATCTCTACATTCAATTCCGTTTACAAACAAGTTAAGAACCAAAGAATCTGTCGTGGAAACTCAGAGAAAATCATGTAAGAATTTCTTAATTTCTTTCTTTCTTTTCTTTTCTTTTCTTTCTTTTCTTTATTTCTTTTCTTTCTTTCTTTCTTTCTTTCTTTCTTTCTTTCTTTCTTTTTTTCTTTCTTTTTCTTTTCTTTCTTTCTTTTCTTTCTTTCTTTCTTTTCTTTTCTTTCTTTCTTTCTTTTCTTTTCTTTCTTTTCTTTTCTTTCTTTCTTTTTTCTTTTCTTTTCTTTCTTTTCTTTCTAAATATATGGAGGAAGTGCTCAACGATTAAGTTTTATGGAAAACGGAAACAGAACAAGACGCTTCTATTTAGAATTAGAAAAAGACAGTTGAAATTTCTAGGGAGCGTAATGAGAAAAGAAGGCTTAGAAAATTTGATACTCACAGAATATACTGAATGCAAAAGGGGCAGACGCAAATAACATATCTAACGGTAAATGTTTGGCAGAACAGAGATTAGGAAAGAAACAAAATCAAGCACGGAATTTACTGAGAGCTAAAATAGACAGGAAGTTGTAGAGATCCATAATCAAACCTTCCGAAAAATGTAGCTGGTTTTAAATAAGGCTTTATATTTATAATTAAATCCTTTATATTTAAGCCTTTATATTAAAAACTTTATATTTATAATTAAATCAACTGTGTGGATAATTTCTCAGTTTATTTCTAGACGAAACTGTTTAGCTTTTATATGTCGAGGCCGATGGGAGAGTCAATCAATTTCAAGTTGCGTAACTAACAGGAAAAAAAAAAGTAAGACCAAAGATTTCCGCAAATCACGGAGAGGGCGTCTTCGGACCTTTGCCCAGATGACAACGAACAGCAACCCCCGAATAATATGACAGTCGTTTTCACCCCAGAAAACTCTGACCCATACAATCGGTGGAGAACAAATACGTGTACTTAAAAACCGAGGTAATTAGAGAGAACTATCTAGTGTTAGTGCGCAATCAGAGGTAGCTAAAGATAATGAAAGTAATATTTGATTTAAATAGACTTTTATTCGATACACACAGAAAGTATTTTTAACGAAGTAGCACCCTCGACAATATGTTTATCAAGGATGTTTTTAAGCATATCACAGCTGGCTTAAACAATCCATATCTGTTTTAATATATATGGCAATAAATATTTCTGGTGTTGGCGAAATGAAATGACTTTATTGTTCTTTTCTTTTATACAGGAAAATATTTCGAGATGCCATTCCCATGGTTGGAACTAGCAGTTCTCTGCAGTTAATCAGCGATTTGATTTGGAAACGAGAAGTGACTGACACCGAGAAAGACATGTGGCTTGCCTCTCTTGCTTTTATCAAGAATCCAGAAAAAGAAATGATCTCAGCAATTCAGGTGAGACAGATATTAATGATATTTACTTAGCGTTTTATCACTTATTATTTTAATAATATATTATTTCTTTATTTACATTATTCGGACTATTGTCCTCATCGTTGTCGCCATATTTATTACAACGTTTCGGCCTTTCAGTATCGGTCTATATTTCTGAGATGAGGTATTATGTACAATATTTACATTATCCAGACTATTGTCCTCATCTTCGTCGCCATATTTATTACAACGTTTCGGCCTTTCAGTATCTGTCTATATTTCTGAGATGAGGTATTATGTACACTATTTACATTATTCAGACTATTGACCTCATCTTCGTCGCCATATTTATTACAATGTTTCGGCCTTTCAGTATCTGTCTATATTTCTGAGATAAGGTATTATATACACTATTTATATTATTCAGACTATTGTCCTCATCTTTGTCGCCATATTTATTACAGCGTTTCGGCCCTTCAGTATCGTTCTATATTTCTGAGATGAGGTATTATGTACACTATTTACATTATTAGAACTATTGTCCTTATCTTTGTTGCCATATTTATTACAACGTTTCGGCCGTTGTACGCTCCGGCCTTCTTCAGGTGGTTGGAATGTCGAACTGAACCCTATTTTGCTCACTGGGGTAGAGTGTTCTAGTTCCACATGCCATTTTTTAATGGGTGTCAGTTATCAGTTATCTCCTGATAATTTACCTCTGAAAGTTCTCCACTGACTTAGCCGAGTATTGAACTTACACTCTATGAGTTCTCTCACTGGATCTCACTGACGCGTTTATCCAATGTGCCATGTGTTCTCAAGTTATTAAAAGTAGAGTAATTATGTTCTCAAGGACAATAAAGAATAAGTTCAAGTCAAGACTTGAATCCGTACATACCCATTGCCTAAGAAGTCTATGTGATTTTGAGCTTTGTCTATAGTGTCAGCTTTTGTAATATATTATCAGATTTTGTTCATAACTAGCTTTGTCATATGTAGACTCTCATATGACTCTCAAGTATAGCATCCTTCTCATTCGGGAAAGTCTAAAGTTTCAGCGATATGTAACCATTTCTTCAGCTCAGTAGTTAAAAATAGCTTCAAGTGAATGAGTCGTCCATATTTTAAAGAAGACAATCTGTAATCAGATCTTATAGGCAGGTATTGCAGAATCACAAATAACTTCTGACAAACAGCAAAAATCTTATCACTTGAAGATTTCTAGCAGCAGCAGCAACAAGAAAAATGGCTAGTACATGCAACTAGAAATGAAAATGGCCCTTGTATCGTCGGGACATCAAACATCTGGAGCGGTTCCTGCAAACGAAGGAACCTTCGCATTAGTTTAGAAGACCACATAACCAACAACGTGGTCCACTCTTGGACGTTTCTCCCTAGTATCGAATCTACCACCCTTCAGCATCGTCTCCTCTGGGCGGTTCACGTCCCCAAAATGTATCCCCTTCGATTCCCACGCATCACCCTGCTTGGAGAGCACGCCAGCGGCAAGAGAAGCCCAAATCGACGCTTCACGGATCAGTTGAAGACATCCATGATCCAGGCAAACATCGACCCTGAGACCTGGGAAACCGTTGCTGCAAATCGGTCTTCCTGGAGTAGAAGCATCCGGGGAGAGTGGAGTAGTCAGGCCAACTGACAACATGAAGAAGATCTGTGAATAACTGTTGGGAGGGGACCAGACTAGCACCACCCGCATTGCTCTGTGACTCCTGCTCACGACTCTTCAGGAGTAGGCTGGGCCTTCACATCCATCTCCGTCACTGCCACCAGATGGGGAGGTTAAAGGGGATAGGAAAAGAGGACGACGATCCCGATGGTCGGATGTGAGCGGGTGCCGACGACGAGAAGGGAAAATAATGAGATAGTCAAGACGTTGACTTTCTGTAGTACTTTAAACAAAAGCAAGGAAACTCCCAGCAGTCCTTGAAGGTGCTATAACATTTAGTTGACTTGAGAAGTCTAATTGTCTAAAAAATTGTTTTAAGAGAGATATATTATGAATAAAGAATGCCGAGTTATGTTACGATTGCTATTTGCTGAAGCGTGATTAGATTCTAACAGTAAATGCTATCAGATATATCTTTCTCATTTGTTTATCATAGGGAAGCTACGTTACGGACTGAAGCCGAGAGACCAGGTCAGGATCAATAATATTGCAGATTCGTCTTTGGAGTTTATCATGAATACATCGTCAATTATATTCAGCCTCAATATTAGAAATATTTACAAGACGCTTTTATCGTCTCTTAGCTCTCTCAACAGAGGTACAAAAATTTGAATTTGATTTCTTACCATTTTCTTTTTCAACAGCCTCTTCTGGACGATAAGAATGTCGAAGGCAACACAATTCTTTTAATATCATCTCTGGTTAGTGGCTACTGTTCCGTGAATCCCAATTGTGGAGATGTGGTCGAAGTTACTAAAATAATGGACACACTGGAACGATTGATTGGAAAATGTTCATCTAAAGGTCCGTTCGAAAAGGTAACGAAATCGAACCATAATTCATTTTTGTAACTCGCCGTTTATTTTTGTTTACGACGATTGATGTTCTAAATGATTGTAATTCTTTGCTTTTCAAAGTGAATCAAAATAAATAAAAAGAGAAATAAATAAAAATTTACTAATACTGTATTTACAGCATATAAACTGATGTAATGTACATAATTTTTTTTTAATGATGTTAACTGTTCAATACACTAATGTACTCTAGAAGCATTTAGAACTAAATGATAAATTCTATCAATAACTTTGAGAAAAGATATTAAAACTACCTAAAAATCGAAATTCAAAATTGGGAGATATATTTATTAACCAATAACACTTTTGTGCTAATAAATCTAACTTTTAAATTCCTGTGATCTGATTTTTCTTATAAATATCCTAACGTAAATTAATAAAACAGTCTTCAGCATAATTCAATCAGGAGAATGTAAATAATACAGAATTTTCAAATTTTCGCATCCTCAAATTAATATATTGAGTATTAAGTTCTTGTCTTGTTAATCCTCGCTTTTAAAAAGCTTTTGGTGTCTGACTTAACCGTTTAAAGTTTGGCAATAGTTTTTCAAAGCAAATTCCAATTATTGAGGTTTATGTGATTTTCATAACTTCAGACTGACTGTTTTATATTATATATATATATATATATATATATATATATATATATTGGACAGTGATCATGTACTTATAATTTTTTTAATTGTTTGCTCTTTCTTGAAAATGAAGCAAAGCAAATGAAATTTATGAATAATTATCTAATCATTTAACTCAATCTTTGCTTTGACGTCTAAATTAATCGTTTAAAATTTGACAAAAGTTTTGCAAAGAAATTTCGTGTTAATGAATTTTATGTGATTTGCATAATACCTTCAGACAGACTCTCTCTCTCTCTTTCTATCTCTCTCTCTCTCTCTATCTATATATATATATATATGGCGAGAGAGAGAGAGAGAGAGAGAGAGTAAAATGTGTGTGAAAAGCGAAAAGAAATAATCTTCAAATACAGCTCTATCAATTTAAATAATTTTACTATTGAGTATGAAAATAATCTTTGTTTTCTTTTAATGTTGAAAGAAACAAGTTATACAGTTCCTCGCAAACAATGTTGGACGAAAGGTCTTTTTCAACACAATAAAAAAACGTGTGTTAGTATGAGTTAAAAAGGTATATGTGCATTTTTAATGCGAAAATTCAAAAATTACCTGATATTATGTAAGTGTATGATGAAATCACAGCGCTCAGCCTATTATAACTGTACTAATATTGCTGCTAAAATTACCCTTTGTTTATGTCTCGCTGTAATTTCAACTGTGCAATCTAGTTTATGAAAAGATTTTTAAAGCGTGAATTAATTTACAGGAAAGGAACTTAGCATTCAATATATTAATTTGAAGATGCGAATATTTGAAAATTCAGTATTGTTTATAATCCGCCGGTAATGAGGACTGTTTTATTAATTTACGTTACGAATATTTATAAGAAAAATTGGATCACAGGAAGTTAAAAGTTAGTTTTATTAAACTCAAAAGTTTTATTGGTTTATAAATATATTTCCCAATTTTGAATTTCGATTTTTAGGAGGAAAAAGATAGTTAATCCTTTTCTGACTGTGAGACTTCAATTTTAATTTTAGCAAATAAGAATTATCGTCTGCTTTTTGAAAGTTTGAATGACGTTTGAAATAACGTCGCTGATAGATTAATAAATGCTAATGTGGGAACTTGAATTTGATGTACGTGCGAACCTATTTTTGCACAAATTTGAGTTGATATCTGTGTGATCCCACTTTTGCTCTACACACACACACACACACACACACACATATATATATATATATAAGTTTTACTTGACTGAATCATTTTTTTCAGACGGTGTTTGCTCTTCGTGCCATCGGAAACATTGGACACTCAAAGAGTATTGTTCCTCGCTTGACTCAGTGCTTTACACGCCGTGAGAATCCAATTCAAATCCGACTAGCTGCCATTGATGCTTTCCGGAGAATTCCGTGCGACGTTATGGTGAGTTAATAAATAAATAAATCCCACAAGAATAAAGAAGAAATTATAGGAAAATTTACTATGGATCGATTATTATGGATTGATTCTATTTGTCGACATTGCATTGTATTTCCCTGATCGAATAGGGGGGGGCAACGATTATACACACACACACATATATATATATAAATATACATGTGTATATGGGTGTGATCCTGTTTTGTGCGTGTGTGACACTACATTTATAAGACACACACATATATAAGCGGCCTGACAATTGCGTCCAGCATGAAACAGCCTGTCGGCTCTGTGTGTTGACTTTAATGTTCACTTATATATATATATATATATATATATATATATATATATATAGAGAGAGAGAGAGAGAGAGAGAGAAAAAGAAAAATTTTCTTAGACGACGTGTTTCGTCCACTTATCAGGACATATTACCTTGATAAAGTCCATCAGTGGATTACGCCCAGCCTGTCGCCACTGAGTGTTGACTTCAATGTTCACTTATATATTTATATTTACATACGCTCTATCTCTGATATTGATTCCCTTTATCCCATAAATATAGTACACCTTAAAACTACATTTCTTCATATATATATATATATATATATATATATATATATATATATATATATATATATATATATACAAATGAGGGAAAGAACAGATGAAGTAAAAATCCACTGTTCGTAGCATTTACTTTTAAAAAAAGTGCTCAATACAAAGTAGAGCAATATATTATTATTTTTATTATAAGAGATCATGATAAAAACATTTTGAAATCGCTACACAAAAGCTTTCATGTTTCAATACCATGATTGTATTACTTACTTTGCTTGTAATGATAGTAAGTAACTGGTGATGAAATGATTTTAAAAATCATTTCATCAACAGTTAATTACCATCGCCTGAAGAAGTACAATCACAGTATTGAAACATGAAAGCTTTTGTGTAGCGATTTCAAAATGTTTTTATTATAATATTTATATATATATATATATATATATATATATATATATATATACGTACATACATACAAAAAAAAGCTATTTTGTCATATCTATGCGTTTGCGTGTGCGCTCGTTGTTGTGTGTATGTGTATGTATGGAGGAGAGAGGAATGCAACGTATATATGGTAAATGCCATTCAGCCATTATTTAAAACCGTGAAACTCAAAATATATAAGCAATTGCGGCCTGAGAGATTCTGCAGTGTCATGGAGAAATGAAGGATAAATTTTCAACCCCATGAAATGAAAACGAGTCTTATCGTATTGTTGCCAATAATATATTTCATAAAATTTCGGCCTGAGAGATTCTGCAGTGTCATGGAGAAATGAAGGATAAATTTTCAACCCCATGAAATGAAAACGAGTCTTATCGTATTGTTGCCAATAATATATTTCATAAAATTGATTTTCCGTATGTTATTCTTCTTTTATTTCTGTCTCGCAGTCAATAATATGTTGAATAGATTATTATTTGCAATATCTAAAGCTGTTCGTCTATATGTTCATAATTATTTTATTTGATGTACCGATCATTCGTCAGAGCTCGGGTCGTACCATGATGATCCTGGACTTGAAGGCCTTAGGTAATCCTCATGAGGGGACTAAGGAATAGTATCAGAATATATATATATATATATATATATATATATATATATATATATGAAACGTAATCTTTTTAGATATAAATCATCCTTTGTTTAAACGTTTTATTATCTATAACTGATAGGGAATGTACGTGAATGCCTTTGACGAATTGTTCTTAGTGTCGAATAAATTGTCTTATGTCAGGTGGCAACTTGTAAAATACCATAATCTAAATTATCTATTAGATTCCGAATCCTTTCAGTCATCGCTGGTTACTTCAAGGGAAAGAAAGAAGAAACTTGGGAAATAACCAGTGTAATGTTTATAACGTTAACCGTCCGACGTTTCAAATGAACATGGGTTCACAGGCTCTGACGGATAAATAAACATTTGTGTCACCTGAGAAAGATGACTTTAGAGTTCAAATACAAACACGCGCGAGCCGATATTGAAACAGTTTTGTTAATGCTTTGTCACTGTCCTTTGATGTAAAGGGCTTCCAGAATCTTTATTCGATTTTGGAGTGTGTTGCCAGGATACTGTTCTCTTGCCGACTTTTGAGACAGCCTGTTTTAAGTGTGTTTATGTATACGCGCGCACGTATGCGCGCAGAGTATGTGCAAGCGCCTGTGTGTAGCATGAAGATGATTACAATTTGACTATTAAATTAGGTGTTTAAATGTGAATATCTTCTTTCTATCTAGAGAGTCGATCTGTTGGATTTGTTCAACGATATCTCCGAAGATTCCGAGTTACGTATCAACGCCTACCTTGCTCTGATGAAATGTCCCCACAAGAACGTCTTGATGCGTATCAAAGAGGCACTGAGAAATGAAAAAGCCAACCAGGTCGGCTCGTTTGTGTGGACTCATCTCACTAATTTGAAGGAGACATCTGACCCTCACTTGCAGGACGTGCGAGCGATTCTTGAAGACGAAGAACTGAAGAAGGAATTCAATAAAGACAAGAGGAAATTCTCACGAAATTACGAAGGTTCTTTCTTCTTTGACGAATTCAACGTTGGAGGGAAAGTGGATAGCAACATCATATTTTCTCCCAAATCCTTCGTACCACGTTCAGCCAATCTGAATCTTACTGTCGATCTTTTCGGTCGGGCAATTAATTTCTTTGAATTTGGAACAAGAATGGAAGGAGTTGAACGTTTCTTGGAGCGTTACTTTGGAAACGGTGGTTATTCCAAAAGTAAAAGCAATTCTGGAACAAGCCAAAAATCGCAGATAGGAACATTCGACAGCCAGGTAATAATCATTTTTTTAATTCTATACTTTTAGTGGTTCTCAACCTAGGTTCTTATTAATTAATATAGTAATAGACTCGACATTGGAAAAAGGGGTGATCTTTGACCATCATTAAAAAAGTTGGGGCCGAATATTAAAAAAAAAAAAAAACAATCTCACAGAACCACATCAACTACAGGGATCTCATTGAATAAATCTGTACCCTTTAAAAATTTATTAATTGGTCACATATTTTAAAATCGTCTATTATGTGTTCTTTTACTAGTGTACATAAATGTTCCAGAGAACATAGTTGTTAAATCAGTCAATTCGCCTAAGCGTGTACACACATGTGTCATGCGTGATACACACTTAGGCGATCATGTATCTTTCAATACATGACTGACGAGGCAGATTTTTTCCCGCAGTAGGTTGTCATTTCTTTCTGCACTAGACCAGTTGCCATCCAAGGCTATAGAACCTGGTTGTCCTGCTATTTACCCATAGCTGAGGGGAGAAGAGGATTCATACCTTTCCCAAGGGTATTAGCACATAAGTGAATTCAGTCAGTTATGTGCCATGCGTGATACACGCTTAGACGATCATGTATCTTTTGATACATGACTGACAAGGCAGATTTTTCCCCGCAGTAGGTTGCCATTTCTTTCTGCGGTAGACCAGTTGCCATCGAAGGCTACAGAACCTGGTCTGTCCTGCTATTTACCCATAGCTGGGGGAGGGGGAAGAAGAGGATTCTTACCTTTCCCAAGGGTATTAGCACCTAAGTGAATGTAATGGATTCGACTGGAATTCGAACTCTGATTTCCGATTCTTCAGTCGAAGCCGTTATCGACCGTCCCTTCTTAGTTGTTAAATACAAGTTAATTTCTATTAAATTAGTTTTACTTCTAAATAAAGCATATACATTTAGTCTTTCTAATAATAAAATAATCTTTTTTTTCATCAAATGGTTATAGCGGTCCATCAAAGATAGTGAAGAGTAAATGTGCTCAATGGATAAAAAAAACAAAAAAAAACGTTGAGAACCTTTGTTTTAAATCGGTAATTAAATCTAGGCGGACTAGTATAACAATATTTAAACTATAATGGCACCAAGTAAAAATAATAATAAAAAAAAACAGAAAAAAAAACTTATAAGGTAATTGAAGATTATTACTAGAAATAATTTTATATTATATGTTCATTAATATTTCCTGTCCTTCGTAGCTTTTTGTTATTTCCCCTAAACCCTCTTCCGCCATCCGTTTATTCAAGCTCACTATGCATGTTATGCATTGTTTTCCCTCGGTCCCTCATGTCCTGTGTGTATCATATTTTCAAAGCCCTCTTTCCTCATTATGTGCCCTAGAAATTTCAGTTGTCTCCTCCTGATGTTTAGTATAGGTTTCCTTTTTGTTTCGACTTTCTTTAAAACTTCGTTGCCCAAATATTCGGTCCATGGTACCCCCAGAATTCTTCTGTAGAATCACATTCCTGTTGCTTCAAGACTTTTCTTCATCTTTGAGGAGATTGTTCAGCATTCACTGTCATAAAAGAAGTAGCAATTAATTAAAAACGAAGAACAGGAAATATTAATGAGCAACACAAGACATCCCTAGATATAAACAGCAGAACAGGAACAATGTATCATTGCTGATTAAATAAAGTGCTCATTTCGAAGTTCCATGAAGTCTACCCGGGTCGGCAAACATCGGAAGAAGGCCAGATGGTACAACAGCCGAAACGTTGTGATAATAGCAAAAAAGATGAGGATATTAACCTGAATGTAATTTGTTATATCCCAGGTTGTTGGGATGAACAAAAACGAATGAAAATGAAAGACAAGTGTATTTTAACACATAATAAAACAAGATTTATTCATTTACTGTCTGAGAACAGCAAGGATTACTTTGGATTTAAACTATAAATTCCCCATGCGTGTCAGCTTGTCACCATGCTGAATTCAGAAGTTCCCGCTCCGACTAGCAGACAAGGGAAATAACTGTGTTTTGAGTTTTCGTATTTTATCGGGGAAGTAAGTTAGCATCTCCTAACATAAATTATATAAATAATGATAACTCTCCTTTCCGGAAATTTAAATAGAAATATATTTGTTATTGTTTTTTTTAATGTCGTTTTTCTTTGCTTCTCTTTAGTATAAAGTGGACATTGATACTTTGAAAGGATTTGCTTATATTCGAATGTTTGGAAACGAACTCGGATTTTGGCAATTCGAAGATCCGAATTTATCTTTCTTCAAAAATTTCGACACCAAGAAATGGGTCAAAGACGAGAAGATTACTTTCAGCAAGAACATGGCTTTAATGGATACGCACTTAATTGTCCCAACGATTATGGGTTTGCCACTTAACCTGACTGTTGCTGCCACCGCCTCTGTCGATGTAGAGGCGATGGGTAAAATGAACCTGGCTTCATTAAAAAATATTGAATTCGGTGGAAGTATTAAACCAAGGTAAGTTCCTTTTCTTTAAGATTTTGGCTTTCTTCGGTGATAAGAAGCCAAGCTACTAAGAATAGAGTCATCCATCTAAATATTAAATCATTAATTATTTTTTGAATCATTTCACCCCCAGCAAGGCCATAAAGCGGCTAAAATGCAAAGCGCTTACTGAGTGAAAGAATATAAGAAAACCAAAAAGATTATCAAGGAGAACAGCAAAAAACAGGCTATATGACGGTTCCAGGTAGGATAGAGGTTCGATTCCTGTCGAAGGACGAATATTTTCTATGACAATTTCTCGGACATTCAGGCCGGTAAATGTTGTTAATACTGTTTATTATAAACAGAGCATTTACTTAAATATTTGTATCTATAAAAAAGAATATATAAACATAAAAATGTCTTAAAATAATTGTCGGAATTTGTCCATTTCATCATGTGCGGCGTCATTTGTTTACATTTGGATACGCATCAAGCAGATATGAATGTACGTGAGAAAATCATGAAAAATTGTAGTTTAAAAACAGTAAAATCGACCTTGTTAATCGAAACGCCCCACTGTGGCGAAATCGGTAAAGCACGTCAGGCTATATAACGGTTCCGTATAGGATACAGGTTCGATTTTTGTCGGAGGACGCATATTTTCTATGACAATTTCTCGGACATTCAGGCCGGTAAATGTTGTTAATACTGTTCATTATAAACAGAAAATTTACTTAAATATTTGTATCTATAAAAAAGAATGTATAAACATAGAAATGTCTTAAGATAATTGTCGGAATTTGTCCATTTCATAGAAATATATATAAAAACAGAAGGAAAACTTACCTTAGTCAGCGCGTTACCTCCTTTGGGGTCGGGGTGGGGGCTTATAAAGGCAAATGCACGGATCTTATTTAATAAATACTGTCACAAGTATTTATAGATAAAAGCAAAAATGTTGTTAGTTTTTCAAAATTTTAACACTTAAAAAACGCTCATAAATATTCATCAGGTTAGCTAAAAAGTCTAGGGAAGTTATGGAGGACACTAAGTAATATAATTTAATGTCTAATAAACAAAATTGACACTATTTACATTATTGGGGCTATTGTCCTCATCTTTGTCGCCATCTTTATCACAACGTTTCGGCCGTTGTACGCTCCGGCCTTCTTCAGGTGACTGAAGAAGGCCGGAGCGTACAACGGCCGAAACGTTGCAATAAATATGGCCACAAAGATGAGGACAATAGTCCCAATAATGTAAATGGTGTACATAATACGTCATCTCAGAAATATAGACAGATACTGGAGGGCCGAAACCTTGTAATAAATATGGCGACAAAGATGAGGACAATAGTCCGAATAATGTAAATAGTGTACATAATACCTCATCACAGAAATATAGGCAGAAACAAAATTGAGCAAAAGATGTGGAATTTTTATGCAAATTAATATCTAAATTATTCTAATTTGGGATTAATTTATGTGTTATATATTTTAAATAAGTTGAGAGTATGAATTTAACCGTTTTTTTCTTTTAATTTTTTAACATTTTTATAGTCATCTATGTTGGCTGGAAATATACGAAAATATTGATCTGAATAAATGAATTAATATTTTTGTTGTTGTTTTTTTGTTCTTGCAGTGGTTCTGTAAATGTGGTTAGTGAAATGACCGTCGATGCGTTCGCCACAAAAGCTGGGCTTCGCATGAATTCGATGGCGCACTCCAGCACGGAAGCAAAAATGAGTTTCAAGATGAAAAACAGCAAAATGTTAGAATCAAAATTCGAACTGCCGAAAAAGAGAATGGATATCATTACATTTAAGTAAGTAAACTTTCAAGCAAACAGAAGGCTCTTTATCGCGGCTATTATCATCATAGTGTGGGTAGCTTAGCTGTTATCGGCGTCGTAAGTAGAACCAGATAGACGCCTTCAAACTCTGGCCTCATGTCATATAGAAATAAAGTGTCGCTGCCGACACTGGAGTTTGAACACAGATCACCTGTGAGCAAACAGAGGTGATCCCATTTTGAATAAGTAGATCACGTGACGGTAAAGGATATGTATATATGGGAATTAGCGTGGCGTCTAAGTGATCACTCTCCGGCTTACTTCGGAGGTGTGCTTGTCGAACTCTCTGCCTCTGGGCAGAGAGGAATCCAGACGAGGCTATGCCAAAAGGGCAGAGTCTCGTCTGGGGTGGTAGACAGCTACCCGACTCCGTTTTTTATGGGGTCTACGGGGAATTTTTGCCCGAAGCTACGGGCTCGGATACCCCACAATAAACTTGGCCTTGTGCCTCACCCAACCGCGTGGGGAGGTAGGTGAATATCATCACTATCCGGCTTACTTTAGAAGTGTTCTGGTCAAACTCTCTGCCTTCGGGCAGAGAGGATCCCCAGGCGAGACTATGTCGAAGGGCAGCGTCTCGTCTCGAGAGACAGCTACTCGACCCCGTTTTTTACAGGGTCCTCGGAGAATTTTTACCCGGGTCTACGGACTCGGATACCCCATAATAAATTCGGCCTTGTGCCGCATCTGGCCGCGTGGTGGGGTTAGTGAATATCTCACTATACGGATTACTATTCGGTGGTTACTTTTCGAGCCAATATTATCGAGCAAGTACTATCAGTGCGAGTGTTATTCGAAGGCGTATGACACCAGTATTGTTCAACGGCGTTACTATAGTTGTATCTGTGATTTCAAAGTCTCTACTACAACGAGCATTATGAAAGTGACAACAAGTATTCATTGACATTACAAAACCTCATCAGTTGAGTTCACTTTCACACTTGGCAAAAACATGAATATATCCTTTCTCCTCCAGTTAAAGCTTAAATAGCAAAGCAGATTGTCTCTCAAGCCTTGGTTGGCAATCTGTTTAATAGAAGGAAAATTCTTAATTCCAAATGGAGAAGAAGACAGCAGGAAAATGCCTCAATAACTTTCCTAAGGAATTAACTGATAATAAATAAAAAAAATCTCTTGAGAGCCATGTTTGCCTACGTCTTAAAGTGATATGGCATTTTCTTCTGGTTATAGATTAAATATTGGGTGGTACCCAGTCTAGGAGGAGAACAACTTCAAAATCGTGGAGAAGGTAAAAGGAAATCTGTTTCCTCAGAAATCCTGATAATCCGATTAAACTTCAAAGAATTTTAAACTGAACCTTTTATTTAATCTACGGGGGTAGATTATTTTTTCGACAGTGTGTGTCCCGTTTTATTTCTTTATTTTTTGTACTGTTCAGTTTGACTAAGTTTGAGACTGTAATACTTAGTCCAGAGAATGAAATCCCAAATCACTATGGCACTAAAATCACTAACAATGCTTTAACCTACTAGGCTATTCCTTTTGGAACAATAGCTTCGTCGTCGGATTCCGAGAAAACAGGACAAACAATAAATGAGCAGAGTTTTTTTTTTTTTTTTAAAATAAAAATAAAAATAAAGAACAGGATGAAATATCCTTTTCTAAGAGACAGCGGGAAGGGAACAATCCACCAGTGTAGATTAAATAAATTCGAAATTCACTGAAGGTTATCTGGATCGATAGACATATGAAGAAAGCCAGAGAGTAAATCGGCCGAAAGTAAGTACAAACCAACGGCAAGAAAATGTGTAATTGAAATTAAAACAAAAATAGTTACAGTTCAATAGTAGCTTCTTAAAAATATTAATTTTAATAGAGGATAAATAAAACACACACATACGTATATGTGTGTGTGTGTGTGATGAATATATATATATATATATATATATATATATATATATATGTGTGTGTGTGTGTGTATGTATGTGTGTATATATATGGGTGCGTGTGTGTATGTATATATATATATATATATATATATATATATATATATATATTATTATATTTAAAAAATGATTCCAACACGCTACATAAGAGTTCTCATGTTTCAAAACAAGAGCCGAAAACTTCAATATAATTATTTGAATTAAATTGAATTAAAGTACTAAGCTCTGTTCCATCTTCAAGCGACATTTTCCCCCCAAATTTTTTGAGAACTCTTATGTAGCGTGTTAGAATCATATTTTTAAATAAATAATTATATTTATCCTCTACTTTTGTATCGAGCACTATTTTTAAAAAATAATAACAAAAATACTAAAGAACTTTGGATTATTTACCTAACGAGTTCTTTCCAAAATTTTCTATATTTTTTATATATATATATATATATATATATATATATATATATATATATACATACACACACATACACACACATATATATATATATATATATATATATATATATAATCAGTGATATTTAAAACATATCAGATTAGCCCCCCCTACTTTAACATCTGATTTAAACAACATAATTTTTTATTGTGCGTATTCTAGTTCGAAATGATTGGAAGGCGGGCAGATATGGATAGAGATTTTAAATAATGTCCCCTTTTAAAATGTACCCCAATAAAAAATAAACAAAACAAAACAAAAAAAAACAAATATGTACAAAATATCGCGTTGGCTTTGCAAAGACGGCAGGAAATTGAAAAAAAATTCTATCTAAAGAACAAGAAAGAAGTAACGGTAGATACCAACAGGGTATTCCTGAGCAACATGAGATAAGGTAATAGCAGCAGCTATTATCAGGATGTTGCTGGTTTCATGAGAAGAGTTAGTAAATTCATAATAGGATACTAATACAATGATATATGTAGTACAAGCATTTAAAGTACTCATAACAAAACATAAATTTAATGAAACAAAAAGAAATGCTAGTTAATAATTTTAATTTTTTTCACCTTTCTTGCTTTTCTATTTTCGTGAAGGATAAAATAATTGAAAATTCACGCTATAACATTACATTTAAATACATTTTTTATTGTTGTTGTTTGCAGATCTGACTTCGCCATTATCCAGGGTGACATGGTCAAAAAACAGAAAATGATTGAGGATAACCGAGTCAACAAAAACAAATGTACGGGTGAGAATTTTAACAAAATTACAGGGATGAAACTTTGCACCCAGTTTCAATTTGCCAATGCCTCAATGAGACGAGATGCGCCATACTTCCCATTCACCGGTCCCGTGATGATGCAAGTGGAACTCATTAACCAAGATGTACCCGACGGCTACATGATGAGAATGCACATGAACGAGGTAAATTCGTTTAAAACCATTTACGAAAAATACAGTGTGATTGAAAAGTAACCCCCACATTTTAAAATACTCATAATTTATTTATTAACTATAATTTTTTTTTACAAGAAATGGATATAAGAGGAAAGCGTTTATCATGAGGTTTTATTTAAAATTCGATATGGGCACTAGATTTCGCTTCCAGGAATGGCGTCAACTGATTTCATCAGAAACTTTTGTACACTATTTACATTATTCGGACCATTGTTCTCATCTTTGTCGCCATATTTATTACAATGTTTCGGCCCTTCAGTATCTGTCGATATTTCTGAGATGAGGTATTATGTATACAATTTACATTAATTGGACTATTGTCCTCATCTTTGTCGCCATATTTATTAAAATGTTTCGGCCCTTCAGTATCTGTCTATATTTCTGAGATGAGGTATTATGTACACAATGAACATTATTCGGACTACTGCCCTCATCTTTGTCGCCATATTTATTATAACGTTTCGGCCGTTGTACGCTCCGGCCTACTTCAGGTGGTTGGAATGTCGAACTGAACACTTTATTTCGCTCACAGGGATAGTCTGTTCTAGTTCTACGTGCCACGGATGTCAGATTATCAGTTATATCCTTTTAATTCCCCTCTCCAAGTTCTCCATTGCCTTAACCGGGTATTGAACTCACACATTTTGTGCCCCGTCACTGGATCTAACTAACGCGTTTATCCACTGTGCCATGTGGTGTCTTGTGATATGGAAGCATAACATTCCTGTAGTCGCCCTTAAAGTTCTTCCAAAGTCTTGGCTTGGTATAGTAGACATTCTCTTTTAACCAAACCCAAATTAAAAAAAATGGTCACAGAGTTTTAAGTCAGGACTCTTGGTTGGTCACTCATACATAAAACAGGGAGTTACTTTTCAATCACCACCTAGATACAGACACTCCTTGGCATAATCTGTGTTCTTCCTGGCGCCAGAAAACTGTTGCTAAACAATCACTTCCGGTATTCTTTTCTAACGGAAGTTCAGCGTTTATTAAACAAAATTATGCGAAATAAAACAATAATAATTATTATTATTAATTCAGTTAGCACATTTTACGTCGCTGTGGTCACTCTCCACCACCTATTTAATTGAAAGCAAAATAATGCAATGGTTTTATTTTACAGTAGGCTTTACCCTATACAAGGCCTGGTGCCACTCAAGGTAGAGGGCTACGTTAAAGGGTAGTTTATATGGACACGGTAGGTCACAAATGCCTCAATAGATATCATACAATAGCAGCACCAAATATTCTATGGTATGATATTTACCAACTGTTGGAAGTATGAAATATATTAGGATTAGGATTAGGAGTTAGTGTTAAGGTTAGGAGTTAAGATTAGTGTTAGAGATAGGTTTAGAATCAAGGTAGTGAGCAATGAACTGGTTATGTATTAAAAATCATTAATAATTTTTTATACAAAATAAAATTAAAAGTCAACAAATAGTGATTTTAATGTTTGTAAACAGATTTGATGTCATTTAAAATAAAACAGTAAACATGTCGTCGTTTTTCCTGAGCATTTTCTAGCAATAATGAGTGCATCTTCATTTCTGGTAGGTAGCAAATGCCTCGGTAGATATCATAGCATCGAAATCTTGATAAATCACAGATAATAAAAAAAAATCTGTGGAGAGTAATGATTGCCTAGGTTTTGAAGAATTAAACAAAAAATCTGAAAGTTCTATAAATGTTCCCACGAAAAAAAAAAAAAAAAAAAATCCACCCGAGGCATACTCAATGTAAGTGTGTACGTATACAGGAATTATTGAAATATTTTCGTCTCTAAAAAAAAAAAAACCTTGATGTTTTCTGGTCATTTGGTAAGAGTTTGTGATATGGCCGACAACATTTTTAGCACCATTTTCGTACGCGTACTAAAAATTACCAAGTCTGTCAAAGGAAAACGCTAACAAAATGAGGAACAAAACCATTCGAATAAAATGAATGTTTTTTTTAAATAAGGTATTAATGCAGTAGTTAAAATTTTAAAGAAAGCCATATTTTTTCTCCCTAATCTCTTGCTGATGTAAAAAAATACTCGAGTAGTTTTGATAATGAATAGAACAAGAACTTTAACTTTGTCTATTCATCTTTCCCCCGTCATTTCTTTTTTCTTTTAGGCAACACAATCTGGATTTGTAATCGACACACCTAATTCGAGAACCAATCGAAAGATTTCATTTGATTTTGATGTCAAAAATATAGATAAGAAGATCGAATTTGATTCTCCATGGATGAAATTAACCTTTAACGGTACGTATAAGAGACCTACTCATGATTTCTCAACATTTAATAAGAACTAGCAGTAGAGCCCGGGGATGTAACAGTAAGAGATAGATCAAGTAGCGACCATCATAAAGACTGAAAAATAAAATTGACAAAGATTATTGTTTAAGTTTGAGTGACACGCATGTCTTAATTATTTTTTTTTTTACGCATTGGGCAAACCCAAACTCAAACAAAAACATTGTTTTCAATCGTTATGAGTCTATCGATTGAATAGAATTTTATTATAAACAATTGTTTTCTAAATGGAATTTTTAAAGCATTCTGAATGTAAAAATAAAGAAAAAAAGTGTGCAAGACAATAAGAAACACTACCTGCCAAAAAAAAAAAAGTTTTGTTGAAATCGGTTGAAAAATGTAGGAAATCCGATCCCATATATAAAAACGACACACACACACACACACACACACACACAAACAACCTGGGTTTTATAAGTATAACTTGATATGAGTTGTCCCCTTTCATTCTGGCAAGGCCTCTTAATCGTGTTTTCAAATTGATTTCGTGCAAAAAAAATGTGTTTTTTTTCCAATTTTGGCGCTGTCAGAACCACCATTCAGGTAATTTTACGCAGTCCTGTGAAGTTTTATTGAAATCGGTTGAAAAATGTAGGAAATCCGATCCAATGTATAAACGTACACACACACACACACACACACACACACACACACACACACACACACACACACACACACACACACACACATACACACACACAATTAACCTGGGTTTATAATATATTTATTTTTATTTCTTGGATATCTGTCTATATTTCTGAAATGAGGTATTGTAATTATCTACATTATTTACCATGTCCGGACAGTTGTCCTTGTCTTTATTGTCATATTCACAACGTTTCGGTTGTTGTATGCTCCGGCCTTCGTCAGGTGACTGGAATTTCGAAATGAACTCTTAAAAAAACACACCATAAAAGATTAATCTAGTTCCACATGCTATGCCTCTTCCAGATGTCTAAGTTATCTCCCTTTAACTCAACTCTCCAAGTTCTTGTTCACCACTGCAGTAGACAGGTATTGAACTCACAACTCTTTGGGCCAAGTCACTGGATCCAACCAACGCGTTTATCCACTGAAGAAGACCGAAGCGTACAACGACCGAAGCGTCGTGAATATAACGGTAGTAAAGTTGAGCACAACAGTCCGAACAAAGTAAATAATGTAAATTATTTCTTGGACTTAATAACTCTTGCTTCTTGTAAGATTTTCTGTTAATTTTAACGCCTCTAAAACTAAACTTCTCTCTATTAATCATCTGAGAGACCTCTCTCTGCTTTCCATCAGTATGGCTGATGCTAACCTCCAGGAAAGTGACTCATTGCGCCTTCTCGGACTAACGTTCCTAGCTGACATCAAGTGGAAAGATTATATTGAATCCATTGGTAGGTCAGCTATTAAAAACGTCAGTTCACTGTGTCGTGCGAGACAATTGTTCTCTCCAAAATCGATCTTACGTATCTATAAGTCTACTATTAATCCATGCTTAAAATATTGGTGCCACATATGACCCGGTGCCACATATGGCCCGGTGCCTCTGCTATTTACCTTGAGCTCCTTAATAAGATCCAATGAAGAATCAGCAATATTATAGGTCCTGATCTGGCGGTTCGGCTTCAGTCACTTTCCCAGCGCCGTTAGGTTGCCTCTTTGGGTCAATTCCATAAATACTTTCATAGTAATTGTTTCGATGAGCTCTTTGCTATGGTACCTAGACTCTATGAATTTAAGCGAAGTACGAGACTGGCGCCAAGATCTCATCAATTTAATGTTCAGCTGGCTATGTAGCCATAAGTTTTATGCTAAAAGCTTCTTTTCTCACATTTTTTTGCCTGTGGAACTCCCTTCCAGCTCCATGCTTTCCCGACAACTTGAATCTGCAAAAATTTAAATGCAATGTCCGTCGCTATCTACTGTTCTCCTGATTACTCATTTTCTGCTCATCATTAATGTTTCTGTTCCTAATTCTTCCACACCCTGTAACCCCTTGTGTCTTAGTGGCTTTACTGCCCTGCATGTTGTAATACCGATTAAAAAACAAACAAAAAACAATATATATATATCAGTCTATATTTCTGAGATAAGGTATTATGTACACTATTTACATTATTCGGACTATAGTCCTCATCTTTGTCGCCATATTTATTACAAAGTTTCGGCCCTTCAGTATCTGTCTATATTTCTGACATGAGGTATTATCTACACTATTTACATTATTCGGACTACTGTCCTCATCTTTGTCACCATATTTATTACAACGTTTCAACCCTTTAGTATCTGTCTATATTTCTAAGATGAGGTATTATGTACACTATTTACATTATTCGGACTACTGTCCTCATCTTTGTAGCCATATTTATTGCAACGGTTCGGCCGTTGTACGCTCCGGCCTTCTTCAGGTGGTTGGAATATCGAACTGAACCTTTTATTTCGCTCACTGGGGTAGACTGTTCTAGTTCCACGTGTCATGTTTTTAATGGATGTCATTTATCAGTGGATAAAGGCGTTAGTTAGATCCAGTGACGGGACCCAAAGAGTGTGAGTTCAATACTCAGTTAAGGCAGTGGAGAACTTTCAGAGGGAAATTTACAGGAGACAACTGATAACTTACATCCATTAAACATTGCACATGGAACTAGAACAGTCTATTCCAGTGAGCAAAATAAAAGGTTCAGTTCGACATTCCAACCACCTGAAGAAGGCCGGAACCTACAACGGCCGAAACGTTGTAATAAATGTGGCGACAAAGATGAGGACAATAATCCAAATAATGTAAATAATGAATATATATATATATATATATATATACATATAAATATAAATAACTAGACTCGTTTCGAAAAACCCTCGAATTTTTGATTTGTTAATCAAATCAATTTCGAGGGAAAAAAGCTTCCTGATCTCCGTTTAGGTGAAACCTAGGTAGGTTTGTCTGGCTCACTAGGTGTATATATATATATATATATATATATATATATATATATATATATATATATATATATATATATATATATATATATAATATTCGGCAAATCCTATTAAAGAAAAAATATAATCGAATCTCCAGAGGGTCGATGGTTCAATGATGCATTATATATACGTTTAGTCCTCAAGCTGTAAGTATATATATATATATATATATATATATATATATATATATATGAAAAAACTTGGTAAGCGTATATATATATATATATATATATATATATATATATATATATATATATTTGTAAAACTATATATATATATATATATATATATATATATATATATATGAAAAACTTGGTAAGCGTATGGATAGTCTCAAGGAGGATGAAATCCTGAGAGCTCAATGTAAATCAACAGCTAATATTTTAAAGAAAAACAGACCACTGTAAGGTTCTATTATAATAATTTATTTCACTAGAGCCCTTTTAAAGAACACCGGATCATCAGATAGCACTTCCAAAAATGAAACGAAAAATGAAATGACAATTGATGGGTAGTGTAAGATTTTGTAATTTAACAGCGAGTGTAATAAGGAGAGGTTAGAGTGACATGGTAGAGTTTAGAGAGGGTTTAATATACATACATATATATATGTATGTATATATATATATATATATATGATTTTTTTCAACTTTTGGAAGTAAAGTCTAATGATCCAGAGCCCTTTAAAAGGGTTGTGGTGAAATAACTTATTACATGGAACCTTAAAGTGATCTGTTTTTATTCAAATATATTTGCTCTAAATTTACATTGAGCTCTCTGGATATCATCCTCCTTGGTCTACCCATACGGATTACCTAATTTTGCATAAAATAAGTAAATATATATATATATATATATATATATATATATTACAATGAAATTGCATTTAGGTGGAGCTTAGAATACGGCGTATAAATCCAATGCAAATCCAATAAAAAGGGGGCCACCTTCAAGGTGAATACTTGAAGAGTAAACTGATCAGGTTATGATTTCTCTTGGGAGCCGGTTCCACGAACCGCTGCTTCGTGGAAAGAAGTTGTTCCAGTGTAACGTAAAGGTCACCAGTAGAATACGAAGAGAAGGGGACAATTTTTTTTATTGATATTAGGTTGTTTTTCTATGCTTAATGCATCTTGTATTTAGTGTATTCTTTATATTTTACAGGCAAACTTTTAAAAAATCGAAACAACCGTCTTCTCTCAGGTGAAGTTATTTTGGACAACAAGAATTCCAAAGTCTACAAATACTCAGCTTCATTCCAGCTGGATTATATGTCGGTGAAAGGCAAAGCAACATGGAAACCTAAGATTGTTATAATGTCACCGACTAGAAAGATGGTAGTCGATGGTACTGTCACTAGGCTTGGAAAGGGTATAGACGCTGACCTCAAAGCGGTTGGATTCTACCGGGACGAGATTTCTTTGAAACGTAAGTAGAAAATATTCAGACAACTAGCTTAAAAGCCGCCCTATCGGGCGGCATTTAAACTAGATCCCGTGGAGGGCTCTTGATTGGGCCGTCATCACAATAGGTAGGGGGAAGATGCGATAGCAACAATAAACTACAGAAGAACACAAAATTGATCACTGCATTTTAGTATTGCTTTAATATTTAAGCATACCTTTTAAAAATTCAGCGATAATTCATCTGTCACCACTTAATTTAAATACAATTTGATGTACGTAGGTCCTTACTTTCTGTACAAACAATTATTTTTTTTATTTCTTGAGTGCCTTTTGCTGGATTTCACAGTTAATTTCGATTATTCCCAAATTTATTTGCAAGTTATAAAAATTGTTATCGTACAAAAAATTAATCGCAAAAAATCACGTAAAAATTCACCGAAAGCAGTCGCAGTAATGAAAACTTGGGAATCCAGAATTTCAGGATTGTGGATCCGGATCTGTCATGTTATGGTTTTAATTTGTACACGGAGTCATTCTGATTCCGAAATGCTATGTTATGTTGGTCTTTATCCTCTAAAAGTAAAGTTGAAAACAGGGACAATTTTATTTTGAAACTATAATTTGAGAACAGTGATTTTTTTAATTGAACATGAGCTACTGAAAGTTAGAGAGTTATGCCCCTTTAATTGTTTTTATTAGTAGAAGCCAAGATAGCAAAATCCGAAAACAATCGCAGTAATGAAAACTTGGGAATCCAGAATTTAAGGATTGCGGGTCCGAATCCGACCCGGAATGTTTTTAATCTGCTCACAGAGTCAACCTGATTCCAAAATGGTATGATATGTTGGGCTACGGTCTCTGGAAGCAAAGTTGAAAAGTGTGACACACTGACATTCGCATTTATTATATAGATGAAAGTTTTAGAAATTTTAGCTTAGCACTTTACTGCATGGTAGGTAAATCTACATAACAAAACCTGTTAAGTCACCAACTAATATGGAACATTGGAGGAAAGAAAATATAGTTTGTTGTCGAAATTGCTTTTACACAATTTGACAGAAGTTCCTGGCTTCGAGAAAGATTTTTTTTTGTTTTCGAACCTCAAAATTAGATAAAGGCGTAACTTTATTGCAGAGGCCATAACATCATTCTAGTCGTCATGTCCCATGATTAGTTGAAGTTGTAGGGTTGCTGCTCAGCTGATTACCTGACTAGTTGCCTCCATATATCTATTGAATAGCGCGTCTTGGGTAAGTAAAACTGGCGGAACCTATCCATCCTCAGGTGAAACTGTAGCCGACGTCCTTCAATTTAAAGGCTTGCCTTGGTCACGGACACGCTATTCCGCCCTAGCCGGTGACTTCAGTCTAGGGAGGCCTTCACCCAGCGATTCTACACTGGCTGCATACATCGATGTGGACACTAGTCTATTGCATTGTGCTTAGATGGCTTTTGACTCTAGAAGAAAGTTCATTTGATCTTTGACAGGCTTCTTGTTTTTAATCATTTCTTGGTGTCACCCTCCTCACCAGAAAAAGCCTGACAGGGGAGACAGTTTAATCGCAGATGGCCCAACCCCGTGACAGGTAGTACTCGGTTACAGAATGTTAGTAACACTTGAAGAATGTCCTGACATAACACACCATAGACAATCATCTGTGTTTGAAAGTCAGTGAATGTAACCTTGGAGAAAAAAAATGAAGAAAACATGTAGAAACTTATGATTCAGTGTGAAGAAATAAAATTCAGTGTAAAACAAAATTAAAATCCAATTGAATATACTATTCGAACTTTCTCTTTTTGAATGTAGTTATAAGTTTTTTTTTTAACGAGTCTGTTTTCTCACAGATAGTTTCTGGCACAGCATTTTTAATCCGGTCTATGAAGGTGGTGGGTTGGTCAGTTGATTTCTTTAGCTGCATATCAATGGGCTATTTAATGGCGAAATCTAAACTTTTTTGTACACAATTTTATTTTATTTTTGGAGATAATAATGGCTTAGTTTTACAAGTTTTACTAATTAATCTATATCTGGGAGGAGAAGAGGTGGATTCATACATTTCCCGAGAAGTGAATATAACGAACCAGACTGGAACTGGAAATCAGCTCTCCGATTAACAATTCTGAGTCATTATCCATTATACAACCAACACATCCAAGCTTACAGCAAATATTATTCCCAAGCGATCACCCACCTAGGTACTGACGAGGCTCGAGGTCACTTAATCGTACTGGAACTGACCAGGCTCAAGGTTACTTCATTATACGGGAACTGACCAGGCACGTGGTTACTTAATCGTACACGAACTGACCAGGATTGAGGTTACTTCATCGTACTGGAACTGACCAAGCTCGAGGTTACTTCGTCGTACGGGAACTGACCAGGCACGAGGTTACTTAATCGTACGCGAACTGACCAGGATTGAGGTTACGTAATCGTACTGGAACTGACCAAGCTCGAGGTTACTTCCTCGTACGGGAACTGACCAGGCACGAGGTTACTTAATCGTACTGGAACTGACCAGGATCGAGGTTACGTAATCGTACGCGAACTGACCAGGATTGAGGTTACTTCATCGAAGGGGACTGATTAGGCTCAAGGTTACTTCATCGTACTGGAACTGACCAGGTTCGAGGTTACATCATCGTACTGAAACTGGTGTTTCAATGTGATATGATCGTAAGCCTAGCAAAACTTTCTATCAACTCATTTCTAATGTTTTGATGTTTCACTGTAATTTTGCTCAGAAAAATCGAGAAGTTAAATTTAAGTAACGTGCCGAGCTTTCATTTCAAGCAGATATTTTTGTTTTTCCAAGTGTTTTTTTTTTTTTAGTTTCGCTACAGTTGCCACTGATCTGCTGTCCTTAAGAAAGTACAAATTAAAACATTGTTGCTACGATCTTAATTGATAATAAGTTAAACTTCACCTTTGCAAAAACAAATTCTTTTTAAATTACATGACTTCAAACTATAGGAAAACATGCTACAAGTTCCCGTTACACGTTTAACCGTGGAAAATATTGAAATCTGCTATTATATTGAGTCATAAATAATTTTCGTTTTCTGCTTCAAAACTTTATTCTTAAAAATAAAATGAAGTATATTTAGATTTTATTCAATGATATATCCGCCATTATTTGCAATGATGTCTTGCTGTTTCTCAGACAAGTCTTGAATTCGTTTTAAATAAAAAGTTTTGATATGAAAAAGATTTCGACGATCTCTTCAGTCTGGCTTTCATTAGAAAAAAGCTTTCTCAATCAACGTGTTTTTGCAGCGATCGAAAAAAGTTATAACAGGATGGTACACGGTCAGGTGAATATGGGTGATGGAAATAGAACTGACCAATCGAATTCCAAAATTTTTTCTTCTCTTATTCTTGCTGTATGCGGCTTTGCATTGTCATTTCTGTCGACGAGTGCATGGCGCTTTTTAACCGAAATTTTATGGCCATGTTGCAGCTGCTGGACGTATAAATATGCATTTATTGTTTCGTTGCATTTTAAGAACTCTAAAGGAATCATATCTTGACGAAGCCAGCACTCGCATAGCATTACATTTCGTCCATGGAACTAAGTTCTTCGAGTCGGTTGTAGAGATTTATACTTATCAATTTATTTTAACTTTCGTGTTAAACATTGCCGTACATAGTTTTTTTATGACCTGTTACGATGTATTTAAGGAAAAGTTAGTGCGGATGACTCATTCGACATTACAACTGGTTTTTCAGAAAGGAATTGATTTACAGCTCTACCTAAAATAGCATCGGTACAAGACAACGAAGAAGCATGGTGGAGTAATGGATAGCGGCTTGGATTGTGGAACCTGAGAGCAGAGTTCGAATTCCAGTCGAATCCATTACATTCACTTATGCGCTAGTACCCTTGGGAAAGGTATGAATCCTGTTCTTCTCCCTCCAGCTATGGGTAAAATATCAGGACAGACCGATCTTTGGATAGCAACTGGTCTACTGCTGAAAGAAATGGCAAACTAATGCAAATGAAAAATATGCCTCGTCAGTCATGTATCGAGAGATACATGATCGCCTGTGTGTATCACGCGTTGGCACATAACTGAACAAGACAGCGAAATTTCATAAAATTAAATAAGTGAAGAGTAACAGGTTTTTTTTATTATGATTTTCTAAAAAAAAAGAAACATTTTAAACGTAATTTAATTCATTTGTGTATAAGTCTTGAAAGTTTCATTAAAATCTGACAATTCTTTGATTTTTGCAAGAATTTAAAATCAATTTGTTTTTCACCGCAAAAACACGCTTAAATTATGGCTCAACCTAACAAGATGGTTCAACAACGAAGCAATATTTTAGCACATTATGACCTGACAGAACCATCTTTTAGCGTTTTAATATCAATGAAATATTCGTCAACTAGACGAATATTTTTAAAAATAACCTTTTAAATTTTAATTGAGAACTTATGAATGTATAATGGTCCCACATAAAAAGATACATTTTAATAAGTTATGGAACGTTTTGATCCTATATAGGTTTTCTCGAAGAACGTCGCCCTTAACGATACGGAATTTGTTTTACTAATGTTCACCCAATACTAGGCTCGAGAGCTACTCAAGGAAGAGGGTTACTGTGTACAGTTGTATTAGGGTGAGAAAGGACAAGCAGTGAACAAAATTTCGGAGTTCTGGCTAGGATGTTAGAAGTATAGACTTGAAATAGAAAACCCAATCTTAAACAGGTAACAAGGGATAAAACACTACTCCTGTTCAATAGACCGGGAAGGGATGTGAACCGGGCAATATGCAAGCCTATCTACTCCTATTAGGAGAGGAAAAATATAATAATTATAGAATAAATATAATGATTTTTAAATTGAGAAAAAAAAAAGTCAAAATATACCATGACAAAGTTCAAAGCAGCAAAGAAAATTAATTCTCGAGTTGTAATTTTCGTCTCTTTCTCAAGTGATACAGAAAGATACAATTTTTAGATTTCCTTTTTGTAAGAACCCCGCCTTTATTCCATAATAAAAAAAATATCAGACTTAATACCAATATATACGTTCGAACATGTTTTCTAATTTCCTAGTCACTGAATATAGAAGATACACAGGATTAAATGGCGTTCGTATTTAATTTCAAATGTTCTTTGTCTTATTATTTTCAGTGTCTACTGTGATGTCCAAGCGAGAATATTCTTGTATTACAACTTTACGATTCGGTCCCAAAGAATATTACTTGAAAGCTAAAGTTGGTATGCTTCCCAAAAGCAAAGCAGTACAATACTCACCGGAACTTCTTTTCATCGCGGGAGGAAAAGAACTCGTGAAATTAAAATCATCTTTACTGTATAATCCAAAGTCAAAGATTATCATCAACGTTAAGCTGGATAAAGTTTTCTCCAAGATTGTCGCCCTTAACAGTAAGTGAATACAACGATTTACAAACTGAGTATAATATCAAGTGATGATGTTGAATGTCAACAATATTCAATATTCAACATCATCACTTGATAAGACACCGAGGGTGTTGAAACGAAATGGCTATTTTTGTAGTGATTTTATAACATATTTATGTGATAAAATTTTTATTAAAAAAAATAATTATATCTGCCCTACTTTGTATTGAGCACTCTTTTAAGAATAGTAATTGTTGGTTATTGGAATTCCTTCCGTATATACCAATTATATATATATATATATATATATATATATATATATATATATATATATATATATATATATATATATATATATATATATATATATATATATGTTGTATGTACAGGGTGTCCATAAAGTTGGTGCACTTAACAAAATTTATAACTTTATTTGTATTTATGATAAAATAATCTGTAAAAAATTTATAAAGTTTAATGTAGCTAGTTTTAAGTATAGCTAAAATAACTAATGTGAGTTAGGCATTACTGTAAATCAGTTGGCAGATGTTTTCCGTGAACTGCAAATTCGTATTACCATTTGTATTGCTAATGATGGAGGACATGTGGAAACTTAAATAAAATTTCAATAAAACCTTAAAAAAATATAAATTTACTTCTTTCTAATCCTTTTTACAAATTATTTCCATCGCAAATACAAATAAAATTTTAATTTTTTAAGTGCACACGAACTTTATTGACACGCTATATAACATTAACTGTTTCTTTTTTAAACCTCTAGACGAAAGTAACCTTCTAGATGGAGCAGTCTGTGGTGGAGATAATTTGTTATAGTAAATTTGATATCACGGCCCTCCTCCTTATTTCTATCACACATCCAAATATATATATTGTGTGTATTTAGGCAGCATCTTTTCATTCATGCACGTTTCATTAAATAATATAAACATTATTTTATTATTTTTATGTAAATTTTTTTCGTAAAAATTTACATAAAATAAATAGACAACACTTGTCTATATTATTTAATGAAACGTGCATGAATATATATATATATATATATATATATATATATATATATATATATATATATGATAAATCAAGAAAATGTTAAAATACATTTTGGAGAGTTGTGTCCCTTTAATTGAAAAAATGTGACACACTGACATTGGCATTTTTTATATAGAAGAAAGAAATTTTTTTATATATCCTACATGGGTAAAAATATATAGGAAAAAGATTCTGAAACTGCAACTGGAGTGTTTAAGAATATTTAGAGGAACTTTACTGTTTTCATATTTTTATGATTTTCAAAAATTAAATTGAGAAACCTGTGCGGCTATGCTATGATCATATTCGCATCAGTTTCAAGATAACGCTGAAGTCTTTTTTATATAAATTATTAACTACCAAGTAATTTAAAAATTTAGAAAAATACTCTCTCTAATTAATGTTTTATTAATTTTTAAGTACTTTAGTGTTTATTTTACTATAGTTACCGTTCTTATTTTCTGATAATGTTGTGTATGGACATCCATATTTACAAAAGTACTGCCCGTTTGTGGACACACATACACACAGATACACACACATACATACTGGTATCGCTGAATTGTAATGAGTTTTTTCATTTATGATTTGTAAATATAGTTTTTAATTAATAACCGGCAAAAGTTAATACATAATTTCAAAAGCTTCACAAATTTTCAAAATAAAATTTTAAAAATGAAATTTTAAAAATAAAATCTTAAAAATAAAATCTAAAAAATAAAATTTTAAAAATGAAATTTTAAAAATAAGATTTTTAAAATAAAATTTTAAAAATGAAATTTAAAAAATAAAATTTAAAAAAATAAAATTTTAAAAATAAAATTAAAAAAAAAAATTTAAAAATGAAATTTTAAAAATGAAATTTTAAAAATAAAATTTAAAATAAAATTTTAAAGCTTTACAAATTATTCTTTATTGTAATTATTCTTATTTTTCTAATTTTAAAAATGAAAATAATTATTGTAGAAATTTATTATTCATCGAAAAAATTTTTTTTCTTAAGACAATAGTGTCTGTCCATAATATATCTTATTCATAAAAGTAATTAATTTTTATTGCGATTTAGGTTTTCGGTAACTGGCAGTCCTGTTTTCAAAAAATAAACTGATGATTTAAATAATGCAAGGACGTGTGCTTATAACTAATATAACCATTAATCATTGCAAATTTTAATTACTCGAAATTCCATTAAATTAAATAAGGGGGAGGGGTGTAAAATACGTATAAATATTTTTACCAAGAATTTCCCAAAAGGAAACTTAATTTCATTCATTTGTGAATAAGAAAGTTTTATTAAAATCCGGCATATTTCCAAGAATTTCCAAATCAATGTGTTTCTCACCGCAGAAAGACACTAAAATGTCCTATACTAATTTAGGGTCACACTCTGACACAAGTCTTAAATCAAATTTTGGAAGTTCTAAAAAAGAAATATAATTTAATCATCAGAAAATCCTTTGGTTTTTCATCTTAATGACATAAAGATATTGACGATAAACTTTGTTTTTATTAAGTTTGGTGTATTTTTTCAACATGTTGGTTCACTTTTAAACGAATCATTGGAGAGCTCTATATATACTTAGATACGTATAAGTCCCTTCCAGGTTGTCCCAGACTATAATATTCTCCATCCCGATATAGAAACCTATAATTAATACCAGATTTTATTTTTATAATTAATATTGGATTTTACGGTGGACATGAAAGCGTTAAGTAGCATTTAAATAAGTTAATTTTTACTTTATGTTTTTCTCTCTGTGTATACACATGAAACATCGCTGAATATGTATATTCTTACTGGAAGTTTTTGAATATTCATGCTAATCGATAGAGGATAAGATAAAAAACAGTTCGAACCTCAGTTAAACGTGTTTGCTTAGGAAAAGCATATATTCGGATCTCTTGACACTCTTTGTGTCGTGAAGTCGGTGTGTCGATAAAAATGATAACACGAGACTGTACTATTTAATATTACATTTTATTCAACTCTTTATTCCGTCAGCTGCTTCCGGTCAGTCCGTGGAACGGCCCTGCAGAGTCCCTTGGCCGATACATGGACCTTACATTTTCGTTTGCAATGTATGAGAGACTGCCTGACTATTCTTTCGGGCATGTATTAAGTATTAAATATAATTATCCTTTACCTTAAAAAAATAGCTGGTGCTATATTAACACCAAAAGAGCGCTTTATCAAATAAAAAACAAAAACACATTACTTGAAGACTTTCAACAGCAGCAACGACTGAAATGGATGGCAGATGTAAGTCAAAAATAATAATAATCGCATAATGAAGATGCTGACATTCTTAATTTGCTTTAAAAGTTAAGAAGACCCCCGGCCACCAGCAATACTTGAAAGAGCGTAAGAAAACTTATTTTTCTGAAAAATCTTTTTATAAATTTCAACCGACCTTAACGTGTTCGGTCAATGAATGCCAAATGTTTTTGATATGTCCTGGAAAGAGATATATTTGTTCGAAGTAGCTAAGTGGTTTTGGCTACTGTGACCGGGTAGGACAAACTAGCAGGTAGCCGTAATGGACTGGTCCTCGTTGTAGTGGTAGGCAATAAGTGTAGGCAATAGGCGTAGGCGATGTACCTCAACATTAGTCTGTATTTATGGCTGACACCAGTCAATCATATTACTGTGAGGGGGGGGGAACGCAGGCGTATGCATATTCATTACATCAATTTCCTTATAAGGAAACAGTTAATCTTACGATTACCATTATCATGTCAATGACAACTAAACTGAATTTTAAGATATATTGTGTATTCTTGCAATTAATACAAACCTAAATGGTTCTTTAATACGCTTAACCTTTTAACAGACTGCATGATTCATTATTATCTTTTCCATGGCATTTTTTCTAGGCTCCTCTACAGCATTATTTAATTTCAGTCATGACTATTTTCAGTTGCCATAGCAGGATATGACAACACAACTTCAAAATTCAAACACATTCATGAGTCACTCGCAGTGGCAAGATCAAGTTTTTGCTTTGTAAACAAATTCACCTCCAGAATGTTAAAGATTAATGTTGACAAATATATGCAAATTACATGTTGATCTTAATTCTCATTGGTTAATTTTTCAGTGCGAATAATAAGGAGTATGGCAAAGAAGAAAAAGAACCTCTTGCATTTTAATCTGAAGGGACCAAATGTTCTGGTAAATGTAAATGGTCAAATGGAAATTAGTGTTAAACGAATTACCACCAAAGTCACCTCTTCATATGATATTGGTAATTACCAGGATAAACTGATAATATACAGCAAATTACAAAATATGAGTACCAAAAGTACAGCCATATACGATGGTGATCTGTAAGTACTCATTTTTTAGAAAGTTCCTTTCTTAAAATTGTGTATTTCTGTTAATTCATCCCAAAATATTAATGCACTCGAGAATAAAAAGGATTTTAATTTACTATAATTCACACCAAATTCTCGCAGAGCAAAGCCCTTCCATTGTACTCCGGTTAGGGTGATTTTGCGATCGCCCCAAATGTGGGCGACTTGGGTGAGTTATTTCTAAGTGTGGGATCATCGTACGCGCTCACTCCGATAAAAAAAAAAAAAAAAAAAGATTTCATTTTTTTTTTAAATTGTGAAAACATCCTTATATCTTGGAATATCATCCGTACTTAGGAAATGTGGCTCACTCCCGGATTTTGGTAATCTTTAATTCTAACGGTTGGAGTTCTTGCGAGGCAAGCTAAACAAATTTTGATTTAAAATTTATAATTTCAAATGAGTGCCAAAAATGTAATAAAACAAACAAACTTTGATTTAAAATTTATAATTTACGTGGGGATTAATATTTGCGATAAGTAACTTTACATTATTTAGGGTGAATTAACAGGAAAGATCTCGCTGCTGTAGACATATTTATACGTTTCATTATTACATTATTTTTTATTAAATTATTTCAAATACTCGAGTACCAGAGGGAACCTCGAGGTGTTGTAATGGTTAGCAAGCTTGTCTCGCTAGAACAATTGCAGCTGAGTAGCGAGTTCGATTCTCACTGGGTATCCCCTACTTTCGGCCTTTTACCACATCTAAGCTACGCTTGGAAAATAACTATACTCGAGTATCAGTCAGGTGAACATGTATCTTTCGACAAGGTACATTTTTCTCCCGCAGTAGGTTGCCATTATTTTCTATGGTAGATCAGTTTCCATCAAAGGATATAGAACACGATCTGTCCTGCTATTTACCCATAGCTGAGGGAGAAGAAGAGGATTCATACCTTTCCCAAGGGGGTATTAGCACGTAGGTGAATGTAATGGATTCGACTGGAATTCGAACTCGGCTCTCCGATTCCTCAATCTGACCTACTGTCCATAACTCCAAGCTCAGATATGGCACAAGGCCGAAAGTATGGAGCACCCAGTGAGGATCGAATTCACTTTTCAGTTGTAACTGGTATAGCAAAACAAGCTTGTTAACCATCACAACGCCGAAGTGTTCTAGTATTCTAAGATTTTATGATGTTTTTTTACTTGAAAATTAAGGGGTTACACTATTCACAGATAATACACAGTTTCACATGAAATAGACTTATACATGAGTATATACGGTATATTTATGCATCATTACATTTTTTCATTATTTCGTTATTATTTTATTACATTAAAAACTGATTTTCGACGTACACGACATTATACAACTATTATTTATTATTACTGTTTGAACGTCTGGGATGATAAGTAATCCTTATTTACACTCGCACTACAGTGCTCATCTTAATTAATTGTTGTCAAAACTTTTCGGCCTTTCTCAGGTATATATCGATCTGTGTAAACTTCTGAAGTGAATGCATTATTTAATCTACTGACTGTCTCGCTCTTATTTTTAGTACTACACAATAATTACTCACCCGTTTCCACTAAAATTCAAGCACACACTGCCCTAACCAGCGATTGAACTCACAACTATGTCACCAAATTCACAAACCAACACTTTAATCAACTAGACCATTATATTATTCCAGTTTTTATCCTTATATTATTATATTAATTTATTACATTATAACAGTTTTTCAACTTTATAAGTCTATTTTTCGAATATTGCTACCACATCTAGTCTGGTGCTCCTTTTATATTTTTAAAGATTCTTGATTAAAAACAAAACAAAACAAAGAAGAATCTGCAATGCTGTTAGTTCTGACTTGGCATCTCTCCGTCAGTCACTTTCCAACCGCCTTAATGCAGCTTCCCTGTGTCTTTTCTATAAATATTTTCATGTTAATTGTTCTGATGATCTTTCCTCTTTGGTAATTGTTTTCTTTGTAAATATTCATTGGGGTTTCACTTTTAAATATTGTTATTTTCATCCGTGTCCACAGACAAATTGTACATATGGGAACTATTTAGGACTACGTAGAGACTCTGAGGTATTATGGTGACTGTAGTAAGAATGGTAATGGTAAAATTTTGGTGTAAGAAATACTGTGGTATGTTTGGGGCAGTGATTGTGGCTAGCTAAGTTTAAAATAAAACAGGTTGAAAACCAGCTTTGCCGCATCTCTCCTCTTGGCCTTGTGCCAAATGACTGTTCTTTTGTATTGCACAAAATAAATATTACTTTTCTCTATGGTACCTAGACTTTATGAATTTAAACGTAGTACTCGATTGGTGGCATCGTAAACTTAAGAAATCAGCACATATGCTAGGCCACAAAAATCTCCTGAGCCGACCAAGCATAGAAATAAATACAATATGTGAACCAATAATAAGGAGTGCCAGAGAAAATCGATAATAACAATAGAAATTGCAATATGAACTCTGGTAAAAACATGTAGTGATAACAGCAAAAAAATTGCAGTATGAGCACTGGTAAAAAAAAAGGATATGAAGACATTAGGTTTATAATACCCAGAAATTCATACACAGATGCCCTGAAGGACACATGGCACAGTGGATAAAGGCCAGTGGGAGGACCCAAATAGTGTGAGTTCAATACCTGGAGAACTTTCAGAAGGAAATTTACAGGAGATAACTGATAACTGACATCCGTTAAACATGGCACGTGGAACTAGAACAGTCTACCCTAGTGAGCAAAATAAAGGGTTAAATTCGACATTCCAACCACCTGAAGACGGTAATAAATATGGCGACAAAGATGAGGACCATAGTCCTAATAATGTAAATAGTGTACATAATACCTCATCTCAGAAATATAGACAGCTAATGAAGTGCCGAAATGTTGTAATAAATATGGCGACAAAGATAAGGACAATAGTCCGAATAATGTAAATAGTGTACATAATACCTAATCTCAGAAATATAGACAGATAATGAAGTGCCGAAATGTTGTAATAAATATGGTGACAAAGATGAGGACAATAGTCCGAATAATGTAAATAGTGTACATATTACGTCATCTCAGAAATATAGACAGATACTGAAAGGCCGGAACGTTGTAATAAATATGGTGACAAAGATGAGGACAATAGTCCGAATAATGTAAATGGTGTACATATTACGTCATCTCAGAGATATAGGTAGATACTGAAGGGCCGAAACGTTGTAATAAATATGGCGACAAAGATGAGGACAATAGTCTGAATAATGTAAATAATGTACTGATTTCTTATTTTACTTTTTTCTTTTTTGACAGCACTGTAAACAGCAATCAGAACAAAAATCATAACATCGCATTGAAAGGTCGATACGGAATAGCTAAAAATCACTTTGAGAAAAATTTCTATTTCGAAATAGGAAACCCGAAGAAAGATTCCGAAAAGATCTCATTTGAATCAATACTGAACTTCCATTTTAAACCAATGATAAAGAATCTCAAGTACTCAATGGCCTTGAAAATACCGAGTAAAGTAAGTACGGGCAGGTTAATAAATTTGTTTCTAAATCCTGTTACATTGTACTTTCTTTTATACTATTTTTGTGCTGCATAATACTGAAAAATACTTTATGTTAGCTTGTAAAATATCAGGGACTGATGTAGATCCGTTGAGGGATCCTGTAGCTAAGAAAAGCTGGATAGTCTCATGAGAGAATGAAAAGTTTCATTATTTTGGAAAAAAATCCACAATGACTGTTGGTCGGACAAAGAGTCAGTAAATTTTTTTTAGTTTTTTACGAATTGGTCAAACCCAAACTCAAACAAAAACATTGTTTTCAATCGTTATGAGTCTAGCGATTGAATAGAATTTTATTATAAACAATTGTCTTGTAAATGAAATTTTTAAAGCATTCTGAATGTAAAAATAAAGAAAAAAAGTGTGCAAGACAATAAGAAACACTACCTGCCCCCCCACCCAAAAGTGAAGTTTTGTTGAAATCGGTTGAAAAATGTAGGAAATCCGATCCCATATATAAACGAACACATACACATACAAACAACCTGGGTTTTATAATAAGCATAACTCGATATGAGTTGTCCACCTTTCATTCTGGCGATGCCTCTTAATCGTGTTTTCAAATTGATTTTGTGCAAAAACAATTGTTTTTTTCCAGTTTTTAGCGCTGTCAAAACCACCGCAAGGTAATTTTACGTAATTCTGTGAAGTTTTGTTGAAATCGGTTGAAAAATGTAGGAAATCTGATCCAATATATAAACGTACAGACACACACACACACACAACCTGGGTTTTATAATAAGTATGATTTTATACTAGCTTAAAATAATTAATTTAGATAAGCAGTCTAATAAATAGTTAAATATCTTTGTTCTCAACTCTTAATGTATAAATGAAATGTATATAATGTAAATATGTAAATCTACTTTCATTTTATTTGGGTTTCATTAAAATTCTAATCGTCGTTTCTAAAACACTAAACATTATTGAATGAGTCAAAATTGTTTACAGAAATTTATGGTTTGAACAGAATGTCTGTCTTTCTGACAAACCATTTTTTTTGCGGACACGGGTATTAAGCATTGCCTAAAATTTCACATATCCAAACAATGTTAGTTAACAGAATGACAAAATAGAAAAAAATTATGTAACGTGTTTCAGCCTTTAATTAAAAGGACTTCATCAGACTAAAGTAGTGTTCCTATTGATGGAATTATATATACTAAACATACCCGAGAAAATCTGTTTTCTTATTTACATTTTCTGATGAATGTTAGTTCTTAATTCTTAAGTTAATGATTGATTAAGCTCATGGCAAGTTCTACGACAATAAAATATCAGTAGAAATTCTCTATCACATCTTTTTATATTTGAGCTTAACAACTTTAACAAAATATTGTAATAAAAAAATAAATATGAATGCTGGTTGTTATTTTAAGAAGTAAGGGGGTACAAATGAAGAAATTTGAATTTGACAACTTTCCAGTTTCACTGAAGCAGCCGTTAAACAGTTCTTTCTTTCTTTCTTTCTTTCTTTCTTTCTTTCTTTCTTTCTTTCTTTCACTGAAACCAAGTAGTATCTTTTTTCGTTTTTCCACTCGATCAAACTAGAATAGTCCATCATTTATGAGGTATTGCCAAGAGAGTTAAATAATTTTAGCTTCAATTCTTTCTTTCTCTTAATAATATTTTAAAAATAATTCATCAGACGCTGTTATTTAATTTAATTTATCGCAATAGGACTTTTGGCGATTGCCTTACTCGGGTTTCGTAGTTCTACACTGTGCGTCTGCAAAATGGAGCAATTTATTTCGGTCGCCATTAGATTGAGATTAAAGTGTTGTATCTGTTCTTATCAGCCCAATCTGATTCTCTCTCTCCATCTTTCCTTTATTTTATTTTCTCACTCACGCCAAGTAATATCTCCCCTTCCACTTTCCACGCGATCAAAACGCGGAATAGTCCATTATTTGTGAGGTATTAACAGGACGTAAAGGTCGTGCTAACTAACGAAGGGACAATTATAATAGGATTTCTAGGGGAAGGAGGGATATACAAACGGAAACGTCAGTTATTCAGCGTTTCCTTTCAACGTATAAATATAACCAACGTTTTCATTTATAGCATTAAAGTGCATTCATAGACAATCAAAGCTTATCACAGATTCCCTTGCCATTAATTCTTGGGAAATATAGTGAAGTGGTTTCCAATAGGCTTATTCACAATTTTAAATTCAGACTATCCCCTCCTCAAGAATCAAAGAAGTCATGACAATTCACATACAAAAAAGAAAACATTATGTGTGAATTGCGATGACTTATTTGGAAAGATGGTAGAGTGGTTTCCAATACCCTTCTCCACAATTTTGAATTCAAAGTAGTCTTTCCCCAAAATTTCATTTTTTTATTATCTATGAATTGCTATGACCTCTTGGGAAAGATAGTGGAATGGTTTCAAGTTGTAGTTTCTACAGTTCTGAATAGCCCTTCTCAAAATTCCTTTTCTACGAATTGTCAGGACTTTTTGGGCCCCATTGTTTTGAATTCAGAGTAGTTTATCAAAGATTCCGTTGCTTTATTATCTGAATTTCCATGATGTCTGGGCAGTGAAATGGTCTCCCATTGCCTTCTCTATATTTTTAAATTCAGATTAGTCTTTCTTCAAGATTTCTTTTCTTTATTATCTGTGAATTCTTGGGAAAGGTAGTGGCGTGGTTTCTAATTGTCTTCTCTACGATTTTTATGATAGATTCCCCTTAATAGGTATCACTCAAGTTTAGAAATTTTAACCATCTCTGTTATTTAAATCATAACTGAAAGAAGAAATGGATTTATTCTTTTTTCCATTTCTACCAAAATGGAGTTTGAATTTGGCTCGCCGATTTTACTGTTTGTACCGAGAAACATTGTTCCATTGTATCTATTGCACGGTTTTGTTGTAATAACGAAAACTTCAGCATAGAATTAGTTCCGAATCATAGTATTTCATTTCTTTTAAGTACTTCGATGTTTTGTTCATAAGTAATAATACTATGGTTATTCTTTCATGTTTCTTTCAAAAATTTTCTTTTTATTTTCAGAATGTGGACGCAGGGTTTAAACTGAACCACTTAAACTCACAGAAACTTCAAACCGTTAAAGTTGAAAATGACATGGAAGTTAAATACGGCCCAGATAAATCAGCAAGCACTAAAATCCAATTCAACATGAAGAATAAGAAAAACTTTGAAGGTTTTGCCAGTGTCAAGCATATCGGCAAAGAACTATTCCGTCTTGAAGAAAAGCTGACATCGAAAAACCCACAGAATTATGACAATCGCTTGAGTATTACCATTCCCGACGGAAGAAAGGTAACACTGCAGAGTGAGTTTCAGAAGAAATCAGACAAGAGCTTTTATATGGCCAACATACTGCGTCTTCCAAATAACAGAGAAGTTAAAATCAACAACAAGTTGCAAATTGAAAGAGAAAATGGCAGTTTGTATATTGAAGTTGATGCCGACAGAGACACTATTAAATCTACACCTTGGAATCCGAAGCTCACTTTCGACTATCATATTAAAATATATCGACAAAAGTTTAATCTTTTAAAGTGCATGCTTTCGATTATCATCTCCCCTACTGAAGAAATCAAGACTATGTACACTTTCAGTGAAAGAGGCGATGAAACTATTCAAGATTTTCTAATTACGACACCATTTCCTGCATTAAAGAAACTGGAATCTAAGTATACCCATAAATATGGCCGTAACTCCATATTGTACAAAGTGCTTACTAAAAGTCAGGGTTATTTTGAGTATAAAGAAGAATGTACAGTTAAATCTTCTAAGGACTCTTTTCTTTTTGAATATTTATTAGACCAAAAATTTTCAGAAGGTGATATTTTAAATCTACATTGTAAGTGGAGTTCCAATAATAAGATGTCAATGGGCTTTATAAAATACAAAACACGCGATGATTCGGTGAATTTAGATTTGAACGTTGATTATTTGCCAACTAAAGTAGATGTCAAAGCAAATGCAGACATGTCATTGCCACGAAATAGTTTTGAGTTTCACATGAAATCCGTCAGCACATATACACATGGATTTTCATTTAACTCAGACGGTGAAGTCAAATTGCAGCATCCCAAAGTTATTTTGGAACTGACATATTTCGCTCAAATTGACGCCAACAGAATTAGGTTTGATACAAATTTTTTAAGCCCGACGTCCCGACACAAGAATGGCAAGCTCGCCATCGATATTGCCAAAGATGAAGAAAGAACAAGGTTTATGGGTAAATTCGACGTGGACTATAACGACAGACGTCTTTATTCTTTGAACACGGGGTATAAATATGAAGACAAAACGCACAATTTTCAACTAGCGTTCCTCTTGCCAAATGGAGAGAGAATTACAACCATACTTAATTTTAGTCTGTCCAAAGAAAAAATTCACGCAGAAATAAAGCTTCCGCGAGCTTTTAAGTCATTTGAGCTAGATATGGACGGATCTGTGGAGTGCCTGTCAAAAGAATGTGATTATAATTTACGCCTGACAACGAACGCGTGGCATTTCCGTAAGATGCTTGCTGATATGAAAGTCACAGAAATGGGCTTAATAGATCTCAAATTTCAATTCAATGGATTCGACAAAAACATGGAATTTGACCTGAAGATAGAAGGCAGGGAATGGTCGAAAAAGACAATAATGTCCGATTTCAAAATTGATGGGGAAGAGAAATTGAAATTAGATGGTAATTACATGTTCCAATCTCCAAGAAAGTTTGATGCGAAATTTCAAGTCTTGTCTAAAATAGGTAAACATGATGACAAATTTGACTTCAATGTCCATAATGAGCTTATTCGTAGAGACAGGGGAGAACTAAAAATATCCGGTCAACTTGAACTCTTTAACAAGAAGTACGAAGCTACGTTAATGGCGAAGGATTATAAAGAAGTCAACGCCAAATTGATTACTCCCAAACTCAATTATGGGGCTAAAATGACTGCAAATAAACTCCAATCGGATGACTTTGATATTATGCTTAAATTGCAGCAAGATTCTGACGAACACCGATTGTCGTTTTTAAACCGACATTTCCAAGAAATGAAGATTTCTGCTGAACTGGCATCATTCAAAGATTTCAATATTGTTTACAATGGCGGAATTGATGAGCGGAAGCGAGGCAGTTTCCAGATGAAGATCTCTTACGGCGAATATTTCATCGAGAGTAATTCAACGGTCAACATGAACAATCAGTACGAGTTAAAGAGTTCTGTAGCTTACAAGATCCTCACGCGGGCAAGTCGAAATCCGAAGGTACACACAGGATCCGGTGAAATCAACCTCATGCAACATGTCGATTCGATTTTCCAGAAGATCTCGGTCACTTTCACATACGGCAAGGAAAAAATCAACTTCAGTAGTTTGATCAAAAACACTGGAAAAATAAACATGAATATGCGATTAAAGACGACTTTAAAATTCGATGCTAATTTGAAAGCGCAAATAAAGCCAGACGATATGTACAATACGGACTTGTCGCTAAATTTCGACACAAAATGGACCGGACCTCAAAAACTGACATATAGTCATTCGGGCCAAAAGGGGAAAACTTTATTAATTAAAGCAGATCTGGCAGATGATAAGGCCAGAGAACCAAAATATACAATAGAAGCGAAGATCTCCATGAAAAATGCATACGGTCTAAACATGAAGGTAACAACAGACAACATGGCAGATGTGTACATATTTGACGGAGAGTTAATGTTAGCCAGACACAAAGAAGAAGGTAAACTTCGCGTGGAAGTTCCTTTTTTTGTGTTCCAGAATGAAAATCCTATGGAAATCAAATTTAGTAGAGATAGATCGGAATTCACTTCCAGTGGTAAGCTCTTCATGATGGAATACAGTATGGATGTGGAATACTCGCCCAAGTCAGTTATGGCTAAAACTTACATAAATTGGGACAAAAATAGCAGATCTAGTAACTTTAATTTTATCATGAACTTTGATGATGCGAGCTATGATGAGAAAACCGATAAGAAATTCGAGATGAAACTCATTCATCCAGTGCGAACTGTGTCCTTTTTAACGAAATACGTGAAAAATCGTAACATGTTCGACATCGATATTGAATTTAGCGGCAACGTTGAGAAAGGTCAAAAAATCGGTTTTGGTTTTGGAAGAACACAGAATGCAGGCTATGTAAAATTGGCCCTACCAGAACGTACTTATAAATTATCCGGAAGACTGATCAATGAATATGACAACTCGCGTTTTGATGGATCTTTCTTTTGGAATTTAGACAAAGATGATTCTAAAAAAATTGACTTAACAGCATCAGTGCTCCGCCGGTCCAAGAATGCTATTCTTGATATGACGTTGAAGTTCCCCTCACAGTCCAAGGTAAATATAACGGTGGAAACAATCCCAATACTCACTCAAGGTAGAGAGTTACAGAATAAAATTGCTGTAGGGGAATATATAGGAGGATATAGAGGAGAGATAACGGTTAACTTTAGACTTGAAGGGATTAACATCGACTGGATCGGGGAAGCATCCTCTAGTGAAGGGGTCTTTTGGAGAGAGCAGGCTAGAAAGCTATGCAGTGTCTCGGAGGAGGGCCGTGATATCAAATTTACTATCACAAATTGTCTCCACCACAGACTGCTCCATCTAGAAAGTTACCTTCGTCTAGAGGTTTAAAAAGAAACAGTTAATGTTATACAAGGTGTCCATAAAGTTCGTGTGCACTTTAAAAAATTTATAACTTTATTTGTATTTGCGATAGAAATACTTTGTAAAAAGGATTAGAAAGAAGTAAATCTACATCTTTTAAGGTTTTATTGAAATTTTATCTAAGTTTCCACATGTCCTCCATCATTAGCAATACAAAGGGTAATACGAATTTGCAGTTCACGGTAAATATTTGCCAACTGATTTACAGTAATGCCTGAAAACATATTAGTTATTTTAGCTATACTTAAAACTAGGTACATTAAACTTTATAACATTTTTACAGATTATTTCTATCGCAAATACAAATAAAGTTATAAATTTTTTAAAGTGCACACCAACTTTATGGACACCCTGTATTATTTAAACAAGGTTTCTTATTTTACTGCAGGTGTAACAGGGTAACTAACACAATCAACAACAAATATAAATTCCTTACTATAAACGATATATCATTAGAAATGACAAATTATTTAATGAGAGACTTGTTTATTGTCGATTAAAAGAAGAAAACATCATCTAGATGGTCATCACCCAACCTTGTTCTTAAACGACTTTTACATGTACATGTGGTTTGTGCTAAAACAAGATTATACATTGTAAGTAGTTTATCAAAAGACGCGGCCTATGTATTATTTACTGTCAGTTTATAGCGTTAAGAGCCTTTGGTTTGGTTTATTTTGTATTACAGCATATCAACCTCAATGCGTTATTTAATGCCGCCAACATTTTAGGATAGATTCGTATGAATAGAGTATGTATTCTTTGGTTTGGTTTATTTTGTTTTACGGCATATCAACCTCAATGGGTTATTTAATGCCGGCAACATTTTTAGGATAGATTCGTATGAATAGAATATGTATTCTTTGGTTTAGATTGGTTTGGTTTATTTTGTTTTACGGCATATCAACCTCAATGGGTTATTTAATGCTGACAAAATTTTTTATTGCTGGTAATATTTTGTTTTGTCAAAAATCTGTTTCTGGTAATATTCTTCCTTCAAAATTGTATTGCTGGTAATAATTTTTTTCAAAAACGTATTTCTGGTAATAGTTAACTATTTGCCCATAGCTGAGATCCTAACAGGTGCTACCACACCGGGTCAGGGTAGACCGGGGAACACCATCAATTAAGAGATGGTTCTACGCTCCTCAAAACCTCCTGATAAGAGGCCTTGCTGCTGGATGTAGTTTATCGTCTTACCCAGGAAGCGGATGCAGTTTAACGTCTTACCAGGATGAGTTAGAAATGAATCCATAATTGTAAATGGAAGATATTGTTTTAATCTTCTTTCTCTGTTGACCTAATGTCTTAATATTCGTACATATTCACATCATTAGAGGAATATTTCAATCAATTTCACCAATATAATTAACAATGGGAAAAAAACCCACAGTGAAATCACTTTCTTATTTTCTCAGTATTTTCTTAGTCCACCGATTGTCATTAACCTGTCATACAACATTCTACCCTTCCCCTTACTGCCTAGGCACTTATATAGTCTCTATGCCTTAGCTATGATAACTAGACAGTCATTTATTTACATATCACTACAGAAAGGATTATGCCCAAAAGAAATTCTAAATTCTCTCTTTGCCACTTTTAATGGACCTTTCCATACATACGGTATTCATTGACCGAACAGCGTTTCTGTCGAAAGAAATTTATAAGTTAGACTTCTGAAGTCCATTAACTGTTATAGCTCTTTCCACCAATGATGATGGTTTCCTTCCGAACCTTTTGTTTAAAGTAATGTGTAAAGCTACATTTTTATTATGTCATTATTTTTCTTTTCAGTTACATATGATGCACGTTTTTATTGTTATTGCTGTTGGATACCTTCAGTAATCATTTCCATACAATAAGCATTCGGTATTCATTGTCGTTACTGCCGTTTGGAACGAGGAAAGGATTATCTTGAATCCTATTTCTTGGAACACTTAGTAGATGATGTTGATTGTTCTGTTCAGGACCATTCTTATTTCACTATTAATACCTATGTCACCTGCATAGTATGATAAATGTAGTAATAGTAAGTAGTCTATAGTAAGTATACTGTAAGATTATTTACTTCGTAATCAGATTCTTCGAGCATCAGCTCAAGATGAAAATTAGAACTAATAGAAAGCGATTGGTATCAACAGATTTTAACGAAAGGTGGGTGACTGTGGCGAGCCTGGTTCACGTGAACATGGACCGACATATTTTCTTTTTTTAGGTCTATCTCAAAGTCATATATCAGGGTGGTTTCCTGTATATCCTCCCTTAATTGCCTTAAACAAGGGCGAATATATAATAATAATAATAATAATAATATATATATATATATATAATAATATGTATATAATATATATATATATTATATATATATATATATATATATATATATATATATATATATATATATATATATATATATATATATATATATATATATATATATATATATATATGTGTGTATATATATATATATTAATTATATATTTATAGAAATTAATTTAAGTTTATTTATTTCATAAAGTATTTCAAAATTTTGGCACAAGGCCAAATGAGAAATGGGGAGAGGCTTGTCTTCATTAGCTATCCTAGTCTTAGTTAATCAGAATCACGACCCATTCATTCATTACAGTTTGCTCATTCACCACAAGGACTCATCTATCACTACTTAATTCTCCATATACCATAATGCCACATATTCACAAGGGGCCTACAAAACATTCCATGATGTAAAAAAATACATTTCCTTGTCCATAATGTTCACATGTAAGTGTATAGTAAGTGTTCTATAGTTACTTATGTCCTTATTTGTCACAGCGTTCCGATCAGTCGTTCATTTTGAGTCATTGTCGTCATTAACCAACATCTTTTTTTATTTCTTTCTCCAGGGTGTGCGATTAAAGACGGAACTCGATTGGCAGAAAGGTGACACGTTATTCAAAAGCAGAACAGAATTTAGCATGAACCAGGATCCGAATAACATACTCACAGCACAAACAGAACTTCTGAAAGATGACAATAGCAAATACACTCTAACGATGGCTGTAATGCATCCTAAAAGTAATCTTAACCTGCTGACGACCTTCCGCATGTTTGAACTGAACAACAAGCTGACAGCCAGCATGGACATGAAGTATGGAAACCAGAATGCCAATTGGATGGCATATTTAGACAAAAATAACAATGAAGTCAGCATGCAGGTAATGTTCAATAAGGTTTCCTCTACGACAGTAATTTTTTCAGACGCGAAAATTTGTTTCAGAAAAATTTTTCGGTGAAGAGGGGGGGAACTACAGATACTAATAGTTTAATATGGTCGTAAATATAAATATTTTCACATAGTTCTCTCAACAAGAATCGAACTATATTCCCATTGTTAACCTGGGAATTCCCGTCAAGTGGCACTTTTTCTTGAGTAAGATATTCGATCTCTAGGCCGGTAGAAATTAAATTTCACTGTAAAATAATAGGTATGTCTACCCAAATACGGGTACCCAGTATATATAAGTGGAAACAAAAAAAACATCAGATCCTTCACTTGCCCGAGGTCAAAGGTTATGACCCGGCATGTGATTATAAAATAAATAGAGGTCAAAAAGATTTTTTTTTAATCTGGGAATTATTATAATTTTATTATTATTATTATTATTATTATTATTATTATTTCTATAATCGTTATATTTAATGGGTACATATATTTGAGTATACGTGTTTGATATAGAAATGTTTGAGATGACCTTGTTTTTTTTAATTAATGTTTACCAGCCTAGAGATCGAAAGTCTTACTAAAGAAAATGTTCTTCTCGAAAAGAATCGAACCTATATTCCATTTTAAATCTGGGAATCCCCGTCAAGGGGAACTTTTTCTTGAGTAAGATATTCGATCACTAGGCCGGTTGAAATTAAATTTCACTGTAAAAAAATGTAGGAATGTCTACTCAAATACGAATACCCACTATATATAAGTGGAAACAACAAAATATCACATCCTTCCTTTGCTCTAGGTCAAAGGTTATGACCCGACATGTGAAAACAAATACTGGTTAAAATATATTTTTCAAATAATATTAAGTAGTTTTAACACGTGAAAATTTCACAGTTTTCTTATTTGAATTTTCTGATGAATCGTAATTCTTACGTTAATGATTGTATAAGATCTAGGTGAGTTCTAGGACACTAAATTATCTGTAGAAATTCCTCTATCATATTGTTACATATTTGAAGTTAACAGCTTTAACAAAATATTGCAATAGCAATCATAAATATGAAGAAGTAAGGGGGTATAAATGAAAAGATTTGAAATTGGCAACTTTTCCCATTTCACAAAAACAGACGTTAAACAATTCTATCTCAGAAAGATAAGTTCTATGGACCTCAATTGCCCTCCTCCTCCTCCTTCTTCTTCTTCTTCTTCTTTGTACCGAGTCCCTTCAAAGCGTAGGCGATGATGGCTCTCCACAACTTCCTGTCCTTTGCAGCTTTTAGTAAGGTTTGTCATTTTGATATTTCTCCTAATCCCTATTCTGTCAACCATTTACATAAGCTCTTTAGGTAGATTATTCGCTGATTTCTTCCGTCCTTCTTGCCTTCAATATGCCCTGTTCAACTCTAAGGTTAACCTTTATCTTTCTCTGTAACGCTCTACCTCGAGTGGCTCTTTGGCATGGTACAGGCTGAACATTATTGTAAAAAAAGCTACATTTGACACGATTTGTCTATATCCTACCATCCATTCATACAAATTCCATTTATAGAATATTCACTTTCCTTCTACCTCTTCTGACTTCAGTAGGTCCTGTCAGTATTAGATTCTCCAATCCATCTTTCTTCATAATGAGTTCCATAAATTTCAGCCTTCTCGTTCAGAGTGTAAGTATACGTGTCCTTTTAATTTCTATTTTCCCTAAAGCGTCCTCATTACTGTCTATGTGAGGAAACTGTTCAGCTTTCACTGAGGAAGATAGATATGAAATTACGGCTCAGTTCTCTTTTCTGTGTTTATTTTCATAAAATGGTTTTACATACGCAAACGGTGGCATGGAAGATCTGTTAAAGGTCTTTCAGAGACCCCAAATGAAAAATAGCAATATGGTGGACCTCCTAACGTAGAGGAGAATATCCAAGTATAACTCTTCTGTTTGAAAAAAAAAATGACTATTTTTATGAATTTGTTTTTCAGATGCGATCTCCGAAACATTCTCTAGAATTAGTTGGTCATTATATTATGGAAGATGATTACGAAATTTCCGCCAAAATGCTCGAAGGATCTGGAAGACCGATGGAAGCTTACATTAATTTGTCTCCGTCACGAAAGAATCTGAAAATTCAAGTGGACTACGAGAGTAGTAAGTCTTTCATTAAACAAGCTTTTGTCTTTGTGTCTGTGTGTTGACAGGAAGTTGAAACTCATGCGGTTAACTGAGTGGGGAGAGATTAAGCTTGATATTTTCTCAATTTACGAATATTTATATATATTTTTAAAACCATTTCACCCCAAGCAATGCAATAAAGCAACTAAGACGAGTGTGAAAAAATATGAGAAATAAACAAGAATTAAAAAACAGAAGATAAAGATTGACGTTGCATTTAAATTTTCGAAGATCAAACTTGACAGGGAATCAAGAAGCCTGAAGAAAATTCTACAAGCGAGAAGTGCACAGAGATGCATTATCTGATTTATTTAGCCTATACCGTGAGTCGATACTCATAGACCTAGATGACCTACCAGGATTTATAATTGGGGGAACATCATCTTAATACCCCCCAATACACTGATTTTGCTTAAACTGAGAACTAAAAAGAAGACTATATTTGATTTCTTGGCCCTAAATCTATGACAATTTAATTGAGCTGAGCCTAAAATCATTATTGCCATTAAATTTCAGCATAACCCATTAAACATCGTTTTCATTAAATTTCAACATAAACCATAAAATTTCATTTTCAGTTTTTTCATGAAACATTAGCCTCTAAAACATTTATAAAAATCTGATATGCGGAAAAGATTATAGATCATAAACTAGAAAATACAGTTTGCCAAAAAATGTAAACACATGTCAAGAAAGGAAAGATTTGTCTTTTGTACTTTTTTCCGCATATAAGATTTGTATAAATGTTTTAGAGGCTAATATTTCGTGGAAAAAACCCCATGAAAACGATGTTTAATGGGTTATGTTGAAATTTCATGAAAATAATGATTTTAGGCTCAACTCAATAAGATTGTCATAGATTGAGGACCAAGAAAGTAAATATAAGATTTATATAAATGTTTTAGAGGCTAATGTTTCGTGAAAAAAAACCCCATGAAAACGATGTTTAATGGGTTGGAGGTATTTCAGGAAGGTGTATGTGGGAGGTATTTCTGGGAGGTGTATGTTGGAGGTATATCTGGAAGGTGTATGTTGGAGGTATTTCTGGCAGGTGAATGATGGAGGTATTTCTGCCGTATCCTATAAAAGTAAACTAAGAAAACTTTATATAAACAAGTAGTAAAATGGTCATAGAGATTTTTCTTTTAACTTTCGAGGCTTCTTTCTGTTTCATTCATTAATAGTTTTTATTATTGCTTCTGTCTAAGTCTGTGGTATGGAGAACATATTGACACTTCTTTTTTTTCTTCATATTTTAGGCGGGCCAGAGAAATCTTACCGCATTGATGGCAATCTGATGACAAACAAATTGATAATGGTCGAAGCCTTCAAAATGGACAACGATGACACAATGACGGATGTACGAATGGATTTCAAAATGGAAGATTCAAATATTATGCATGGAAAGATCGAATGGAGACCAAATATGATTGTCGAACTAAACGTAATTTAATATGCTTATTGTTTTCTAATATTATGTATTGCTTGCAATGATTTGAACAGATAATCTTATTTTAATCCCAGTTTCGATGTTTTATATATATATATATATATATATATATATATATATATATATATATATATATAATTTAAATAAAAACAGACCACTTTAAGGTTCCATGTAATAAATTATTTCACCACAGCAAAGATCAAATTAAATCAAATCAAATCAAGTTAAATTATTTGTAGACAGTTTAGAGACATTCAAATTGATATCAAACATTATAATCTTTATGAACCCCCAAAATAACACTTTCAAAGTAAAACAAAATAACAGCGTCTGTTTCTAGCCTCTTCTTTTTTTTTTTTTTTTTTTACAAAGAAAATTAGTGACACCTACTCGCAAGACTTCCTTTTCTCTTTTTCTCTCGATGGGTTTTTCTCCTCTACCCCTTCGATATCAATATATAATTTCCGTTAAGTTAACCGTTTAAATGTCTGCTAACTCACTCATGTCTTCTCTCCCCCCCCTCACTTCGTTAATTTATATATGTTTAATACGGCCCGTCAAAAATGTGTAAATTTCTTTTCATTTTTTGTTCCAACCTTTGGAAGTAAAGTCTGATGATTCGCAGTCCTTTGAAAAGGCTGTGGTGAAATAATTTATTACATGGAACCTTAAAGTGGTCTGTTTTTATTTAAATTATTTGCTCTGGATTTACATTGATCTCTCTGGATTTTATCCTACTTAGGTTTACCCATACGGATTACCTAGTTTTTCATAAGCTAACTAACTAACTAACTATATATATATATATATATATATATATATATATATATATATATATATATATATATATATATATAGGTTTACGAAAAATGAGATAACTAAATATAAACAACCGTATACGCGCGTGCTGGCTTGTATAGACAGGTTAGCAAATAAACAATTACCAAAGAGTCAGGTAATATATATTAATAAATATACACATACCTATGTTTGGTTTGCGACTTAAGTTTCGTTGGTTACGCAACTAGTTGGACACAACATATAGCTTATCGTTTTTTTTTAAACTATAGGCTATATCTTATTGTTTTGTTTTTTTTAAAGAAAAACAATAAACTATATCTTGTGCCCGACGAGTTGGGTAACCAACAAAACTTAAGTCGCACGCCAAACGTAGGTATATGTATGGCGATCTTTCCCCAACGATCATATCTGTTCACGAAACGTATCTTAACGTAAACATTGACAACATATTATGAAATGGAGTAAGTCTGACAATTATTTAATATATTTTCTGTTCTGTTTATACGTTATTTTAAAAGATACAATTCATTAAAGTAAATTCGCTGTTTTTTTAAATAAATAGTATTAATTACAATTATGTTCAGTCGGAGAGGCACATATTTTCTACGAAATATGTCGATCTATCGGGCCGGTAAATGTAAGTAATACTGTTTAATCGTCGAGGGAAGATCGTCGAAGATTTGTTTATAAACAGTAATTCATCCTTTGCATATATATATATATATATATATATATATATATATATATATATAACAGAGATTTGTACCGAGAAAACTGATATATAGCTTTAAAGAAAGTGGACGTCATACCTAAGGCACCTTTTCAGCCAATGCTTTGTTCCAGTCAGTCCATGAGTCAGCAAGTGGGCAACATTTGCTGGACAATAACGCTTGTGCCGCTGAGTACGAAGACATGGTTTTCGGTATTAGAGCGCTCGATCTATACATCATCTTCGTGTTTCTGAAGCCGCTTACATTAAGTGCCAGAAGCCCAGCTTGTGCAGACAGAAGGAACACTTTTTACGTTCCTTACGTCTGTTTGAGGGTCTGTGAGTTCCCCTTTTTTCTATTTTATATATTCTTGTGGAACTATTTATTGATATCCCCCCCCTCATTCGATTTTAATTTATATAATTAAAATTGTTTTTAGTCGAGTTCCACCTTTCCCTTCTCAGTCACTTTATTGTCTTTGTATTCATTTATATTAAATATTGCCAACGAATATCTTTGACAAACCGTTGGCCGAATGGTGTCTTAGATATGACGTCCACTTTTTTAAAGCTATATATATATATATATATATAATAAATGGAAGAGAGAAACTGCAGACGTTTTTGGTTGTAATGTGGATTTTAAAAAAAAATATTATGCTTTATTTTCCATAATTTTGCTACACGTGTTTCTGGTCCCGCGACCGTCATCAGGCAAAGGGTGGAGATTTCCACATATTATTAAAAATAGTTAATTTTTCCTTTATGTTTTTTGATGTTAAATATTCTCGTTATGAGGCATTTTCTTTTACTGTGTTAGTTACCAAAATGTCTTTCTTGGAAAGATATTTTGGTCACTAATACAGAAAAGACCAGAAACATGTGTAGCAAAATTATGGAAAATAATGCATAATATTTAAAAAAAAATCCACATTACAATCGCAAAACGTTTGCGGTTTCTTCTTTTTTTAATATACACTTTTCTCGTTGAACTACTATAACCTCTTCCCTATATATATATATATATATATATATATATATATATATATATATATATATATATATATATATATGGTTAAATAAATGAATAAAAGTGGGAAACAACTTTATAAATTAATGCATGTTTCATATTCATTTAACTTCATCAGAATTTGGGGAATGTGAAATAATGTGGATTGTTTTTCGATTTTTAAAGTCTATGTTATTTTGTTTTCATTTCGTCGCGTGTTCATTTTATGGCGTTAATGTATATATATATGTATGTATCAATTTTGTTGTGTGGGCGTCACCTAGCAAACATTTGACCCTGATGAGTGCTTCGAAACTACGCATGAGTCGGTAAAGCAGATAAGTCTTTTGGACCTTTCTTGATTTATTGAATTTTATACATCTAGTTATCTACGAAGTATTCTTTTGCAGAACTTTTGCTCATCTGGGAAATACTTTAACGTCTCGTCATTTTCATGTATTATTATTATTATTATTATTATTATTATTATTATTATTATTATTACCAAGCAAAATGCTTGACGTAACTCTTCCAATATTTTTCAACTTAAAAGAAGATCGCTATTTAAGAAAAGAAAAAAAATTCAGTGTTTGACAATGTTGAAGAATGTCCGTTTTTTTTTTTTTAAATTATATCTTTTTTAAGTATAACAATATATAAATATACAAAACGTTGCTTGGCGGCGTATATTGAATGGGAATCAGTAGAATTGCCACCATCTGTAGAAATTGTTATATTTCTCTTTGAATTTGTGATAGAAATAACTTGACTCATGTACCTGCACAACGCACGGGGTTTTCCTCTTCTATGAGTGTTTTCGTGAGTACAACTCCGATGTTGTTTTGAGTGTGGACGCTTACATTTGTTAAAATTTGTCTGATGTTTTTATTTCTTTTGAAAGAAACTATAGGCGGGTTGAGAAATATCTCTTTAAAATGCGGGCATTTGGGGGGGGGGGGCAGTGTGTTCATTGCTGTCGTGTTGTATTTTCAAAATTCTAGCAAAATTTCGGGGCTTATTGATGACATGATATTTTGTCAGAGTTTTTATCGTATTTTTCGGTGTTTTGACCTGGTTATAACATTATGGTAATCTTCATTTTTAGCTAGTTCATTGACAATTTGTTTCAGACGCGACTCTTGATAGCTGCACTTAATATATTACAGTGGTACTTCAGTTTAATGAACTAATACGGGTAGGGTCGTCCGCTAAAGCCATTTATCCGTTAATTTGAAGCGCTTTTATTCGTGGCCTAAAAACACTCAGTACAATACAAAATTATTGTAAATAAATGTAAATACAGTATATATGTATGGGTATTTTATTTTTACGTTACTATATAGTAACTTAAAATAAATTACACACACACAGACAGAGGGAGAGAGTTACTGCGTATGTTACGTACACGATGAGCCTTCAAGTTAAGCACAGCAGCTATTCTCAGAACTACTAGTGTCTGTGTGTTGATTCCACCAGTAACCATCAGCGGTCAGTTCTGGAAATAACGGACTTTGCTCATTTATGCGCGGCCGTTTTAAGTTCCATTTTTGCTGATTTTGTCCGTTAAATGCAGAGTCCGTTGGTTCCGCAACCGTTAATTCGAGGTTTTACTGTATAATAATAATAATAATAATAATAATAATAATAATAACAACAACAATAATAATAATAATGATTATTATTATTATTATTATAATATAAGATATACAAATATAAGTACATATATAGAATTTTTTTATTAATTTATTTTTTCCCTTTTCTCTCTTTTAAATTTATTTAAAGGAATACCTATACAGAAAAATGTTGGAAAATACAAACCAGATGAAGGCTATAATGCAGGATTTCTATATAACCATGTCGGAAGAAAGTAAAGTATTGACGAACGCTTTGCGGAGAGCCTATCAGCAAGAAATTGGTGAAATTGACAATTACATGTCGAGGGAGTTCAATGAAATTTCTCGTGAAACGATGGAGATGTTTCAGCACGTCAGTGAAATGTATGACCGCAATTATCTTAATTTCAGATCAACCTTTGGTCATGTGTTAAAACTTTATTATGAGTTCGAATATAGACTGGTGCGTGCAATAAGCTACTTTGAGTACCACTTCCGTGAAGGATTTATGCATTATTACAGAATGCTTATTCCAAAGATTAGAGAAGCAATGACGAAATATAATCAACTATATCAGGTACGTATGCCCCAAATCTCAATATATGCATGATAACAAATAAATCAACAGAACACATTTTAGAAAACGCCCGGTGCTATATAAAAACCTTAACATATACATTCTTGAAATGGAATCATTCTTATGAGGAGTAATGAAGGAATTTTTTTAAAACTATTCCCCTCCACCACCACCATCAAGGCGGGAGTACCAGTAGTCCACAAGGGCTACAGAGGATTAAAAATAAGAGAAGGAAATGGCGTGTTTGAGGAAAGGATACAGAAAAGGACGGGGAACGAGATCAAGGTATCAGATGTCAATTGATATTACACATGAATATTTGAAGATTATAATCATCGAGGAACAAGTAAGGGGAAGGGAGTTCCACAGATGGGAAGTGCAAGAGAAGAAACTGTTTGAGTAGAAGAGACTGTTACATTTAACCGTTTTGACAGTGAAAGGGTGGGATTGAGATGCCAGCCTGGTAGCTCGCTTAAATTAATGCAGCCTGGGAACCAGCGAAAGTAGCCCGTCGGAATAGTTGCCGTGAAAATACTTGTAGAAAAGACAGAGGGAAGTCATGGCACGTCTGTGAGAATGCTTGACAAAAAAAAAAAAAATTATTTATGGCTGTTGTTTTAAGATAGGTAAATATTGGTTGGGTCTATAATCACGACAATGGGTAAACATTTGTTACGTTTATGATTGAGCCAACAAAAATATATTGGTCAGGTCTATAAACTAGTAGAAAGGTAAAACTGATGCCGATGAGAAAAGTGTGGATCAATTTTCTCCCCTATTACTGATAGTTAAATAGCAGAGTAAACTGGACTCCCTAGCCTTGGGTAGTAACCAGTGTAACATTTTGCCTTCTTGGCCTCACGTTTTCAACTGACTTGAAGTAAGGCGAATACATCGAATCGATAACGATACCCCACTGTAAGGAAAGTTGGGTCACTCTTTCGTGCCACCGTCATCGTCCATCTTGTACATTTACAAATCTACCATTCGCTCATGTATTGAATACTGATCCCACATTTGGTTTGGTGCTCCTGCTATTCATCACGAGGTTCTTGACAAAATCCAAAGAAAGATCTGTAATGTAATCGATCCTGACTTTCTCAACGACGTGACGCGGCTTCCCTTTGTCTTTTCTAAAAATATTTTCATGGCAACTGTTTTGACGATATTTTTTCCTTGTTGTCCCGACTACATAAATTTAAGCGCACTGTCAGATTGGCATCTGTATTCCACCCATTTACTGATTAAATAGCTAAATATAACCGCTACTTCTCCAACAATTTCTTTTCTCGCACTTCCCGCCTGTAGAACTCCCTTCCGATTATTTGCTTTCCTGATAACTGCAATCTTCAAAAATTTAAATGCAACGTTAATCACCATAATCTACCTTCTTGAATCCCGTTCATCTTAAGTGGTAAGTAATAAGTGCCTAGATCTTAAAGAGACGTGAGATTAAAAATAAATCTGAGAAAACTATAAATATCTGTCAATATTTCTGAGATGATGTATTTTAACTATTTACACTATTTACATTGTTCAGACTGTTATCCTCTTCTTTGTTGTCTTATTCACGACGTTTCTGTCGTTGTATGCCCCGGCCTACTTCAGGTGACTGGAATTTCGAACCAAACCGTTTATTTCGTGCATCGGGTAGATTGTTCTAGTGCCACGTGTCATGCCTCTTCCGGATATCCCAGTTTCAGTTATTTACCTTTTAGTAACTCAACTCTCCAAGTTTTTGTTCACCTCTGCTGTGGCCAGGTATTGAACTCACAACTCTTTGGGTCAAGTCACTGGATTACTTCAACCAACGCTTTTATTCACTGGGCCGGAACGTTGTGGATATGACAACAAAGATGAGGACAATAGTAAATAGTTTAAACATGTCTAGAAATGAGCCCACGAAAAAAAAAAAATCCATCAGAGTCGTCCTCATTGTGAGTGCGTATGCATACTTGGATTATTGAAAAATTTTTCGACGTTTAAAAAAGGTTGGCTATACTTTGGGACAACCATTTGACTAGATTTTGGAACACGACCGCCATTTTTTTAACACCCTTCTTCTACGCGTACTAACAATTACTAAGTCTGTCAAAGAGAAACATTAATAAATCACTCAGTGAGGTACTAAAACATTAGAATAGAACAAAGAATCTGCTAAAACCCGGCTTTACTGCAGCCATTCAGTAGGCAAAAACAAAGCGGAAATCTTAACCTGTAAAACTTTTTACCATCCACTTCCGGAAAAAAAAGATATCAGGGACTTTTATCATAATTGACTAATATATTATGCATATAGGAAATTAAAACGTCATTTACATTCTTATGACTTATTTCAAACTGTCTTCTCCATTTAAAAAGAAATTGTAATTATCTACTTCCGTTGGTAAGTTACGGGCGAGGCCGCATCAAATATATATGGTAACCCTACAACATGTTTTACTTAACAGATCCTAAGATATCACGAGTTATGACTATCTTACTCAATTTTTTTTTAATTATTTGCAGGAGTCTTACAGAAAATTAGCTTACGACATTGAGCAAGCCAAATTATATGTCATGAACAAGCTGACGAGGTTGAATAAACAGTGGGAAAGAACTCGAGACGAATATTTGCGAAAGCTCAATGAACTTAACAGAAGTAAGTAATATTGTACTTAATTTCAGTTTTAAAATTTACTGTTGCGATCTGATCTATGTAATATATTTATTGTTACATTTTGGGTAATAAAATAGAAACGGAAGTAACCCCTTCCGGTATTTGTTTCTAGTTGGATATATTCTCATTTTATCAGTAGTAATCTACGTACAGCCTAACACATTTTTTTTTAATTCTTTTCTTCTCTCGTTCCCTTTTTGATTTTTTATAAATCTAAAATGATTTTACGATTTGCAGGAATGTGAAGCATCAATAATTTGTTAACTGATTGGTTGATACTTTAAACCGAAGTTACAAAACAATTGTCACTGTTTTGAACTAAGGCGGCGTTACATGTCTTTCTATTAGAACTAAGCAATTCTTATTTGTTTCTCGTTCTGTTTTCAGTTCATATAAGTCGAAATTGATTGAGAATTTGCAACAATGAGCAGCCTCAACCAAATGGTTAACGAAATAGTTGATGTATTTAAACTTTTTCGCTCTTTCACTCCATATAAATCCAGGTTGATCTGATTTGCAGGGATGAATATCATTCATACTTTAAACTGAGCGGACTAAGCGATTTTCACCATTTTGAATTAGGATGTCGTTACCCGAAACTATGACAAAAAGATTTTGAAATGAAGAGAAAATACAGCTTTTGATTTGGTAATTTTGTATCTGGAGGCAATGGATAGCGACTCAGATTGAGGAATCGGAGAGCCGAGTTCGAATTCCGGTCGAATCCATTACTCAGGAAAGGTATAAATCCTCTTCTTCTCCCCCAGCTATGGGTAAAATAGCAGGACGGACCGGATTATATAGCCTTGGTTGGCAACTGGTCTACCGCAGAAATAAATGGCAACCTACTGCGGGAAAAAAAATCTGCCTCGTCATCGAAAGATACATGATCGCATAAGCGTGTATCACGCATGACACATAGGTAACTGGTCTGAATTTTGTATCCGCAAGGGGCTATGTAATATCTGTAATTAATCGAAAAATGTTTTCTCTAAATTGTTTGTTTAACGGCACATTAACTCCTTATGGGTCATTTAATGTCGAAATTTAATTTTCTTTGGAGCGTGAGTAATATTTTCTTTTTATAAAAATCTGTTGCTGCTAATTTATTTTATTCTATTATTTTTAAACCTATACTTTCATTTTTTTTTTTTTTTAGCCTAGTTTAGGTGTTCACTATTTACCCATAGCTGGGATCCTAACGGGTGCATGAAAGCCTCGCAATTGCGTTTAAGCATGAAACAGCCTGTCGCTGCTGGGTGCTCACCACGATGTCGACTTTTATATTTTATTCAGTTATATATTCACCATTATTTGCAATCACTTATCAGACAGTTCTTTGATATGATAGTTTTTTTGAGTAAAATCCCGCAGGTTTTGATGTGAAAAAAGTTGAATTTAGTTTTCCTTAGATAAAGTATTCTCGGGGCAAAACGTACTGCAGTCATCGAAAAAAAAGAAGAAGGTAATAATCAGTTATTGCAAGGTTAGTTGAATGTGATAGAGGAAGTGGAATGGACCAACCGAATACTAATTTTTTTTCGCCTTGGGTTGTCATGGAGGAGACAAACATTTTTTTCTGTTGACGAGTTCATGGCACTTTTCGACCGAACTTTTATGGACACATTGCTGCTGCTGAACGTATAAACGTGCTTTTAGTTTTTCATTGCGTTTTAAAATTCTAAATGAAAGATACTTCAACCAGCTCACCACGTACACCAGATTAAGTTTTTTCTATGAAGCTCAGATTTAGAGGTTGCTTATAGATATTTATCGTTGAAATTTCGCTGACTTTTACATTGAACATTGTCGTATGAAACTCTTATTTCATCAACAGTTATGATATATTTAAGGAACAGTTACTTAGGATGATACATTCATCCTTAGAATTGGCTTCCTAAAAAGGAAAGTACTGTAGCGTTTCAGCTCAGAGCAGACACAAAGTTCATCTTCAGGGCGCAGCTACTTCCAGTGAAACGCTTGTAGCTTAAAATTAACTCGTTGGCTAGATCGTCATTCGCGAAATAAAACCATGAGCCGATTGTAGCAGTAAGTAAATTTCATTCTCATTTCATACCCACTGCTGTAGCCCAGCGAGGTAGAGATAAAGCGTGGTGAGAGCAGGTGATCACTCTTACGGGCGTGTCTATGTTTTCGCCTCGCAGCGGCATCTTGTCCTCCCTCTGTAGGTATCTCTTTTTTTGCTGTCATATAGAGAAGATCGTTCTTTGTCTTGTCTAAAAAAGCAATTTATCAAGAACTCAAGGTCTTAGTTCACTCAGTGACCTTCTTTGTCAGGATCGGTTGCCACACTCCTTGTGACGTCCATTTCACTTAGCTGATAAACATCAGGAAAATAACAATTTGAGACTTTTGTATCAACTTTTAGATGTTTCCGTTTAGCAAGATATCGTCTGACAACGATATTACTACAGTATATATAATCTGATAGATATTTTTTTTATCTGAAATAATTACCACAGCGCCCCAAGTGTTATTTCATAAGCCAACCTGTAGATTGTTAAACGAAATCGTGTATAAAGATAATACAATACTTAATAAAGGGCAAAATTATGTTTCGTAAAGTCCTTGCTGAAATTAAGCTGATTTAAAAATAAATAAAACGCATAAAACTTGGCCTGTTTAGTGTTTCTTGAAATCTTTACATTGATTTTTTTCTTCCAGGAACATATCAAGCGTTTTTCAATCACAAATACACAAAGGCATTCATGATGGCAATAAATCACAGATGGGACGATCTGGTTGATTTTCTGAGAAGAAATCAAATGATGAAACCAGTCTCGGATGCGATTAGCTATTTGCAAACGAACATGAAAGATTTCAATGAGCAAATGGAACAATTGATGGATAAGATCAAAAACCATCCCGCCATGAATGAAATCGTTTCCGCCATGAACGAACTCTATCAACAGGTGACGCTCTTTTCTACAGAATCATTTTATCTACTAAAAACGTAATATGTATCTATACTAGATTTATTTTTCAATAACATGTATATTTGTTTTTGACGAAGAAAGTTCCCTTTCTCTTGATATTTACAAAGTAAAAACGTGTATTTCTATCGTAGAATTTTATAAAATGTAATTTTATATTAGATTCATTCGGATTTTATACATAATTATGAATGTTATGAAATGTATTTTCATATTAAATTATAAGAATTGCATTTATACTATCTGTCTATATTTCTGAGATGAATTATTATGTACACTATTTACATTATTCGAACTATTGTCCTCATCTTTGTTGCCATATTTATTACAATGTTTCGGCCCTTTAGTATCTGTCTATATTTCTGAGACGAGGTATTATTTACACTGTTTACCTTATTCGAACTATTGTCCTCATCTTTGTCGCAATATTTATTATAACGTTTCGTCCCTTCAGTATATGTCTATATTTCTGAGATGAGGTATTATGTACACAATGAACATTATTCTGACTATTGTCCTCATCTTTGTCGCCATATTTATTACAACGGCCTTCTTTAGTTGTACATTCCAACCACCTGAAGAAGGCCGGAGCGTACAACGGCCGAAACGTTGTAATAAATATGACGACAAAGATGAGGACAATAGTCCGAATAATGTAAATAGTGTACATAATACCTCACCTCAGAAATATAGACAGATACTGAAGAAAATAGAAGTGTTAAACAATTTGAGTAAAGCCTATGATGATGATGATGATGATTATGATGGGTGCTTAGAATTCCACAGCTGACAATTGCTTCTATAAAGGACATAAGATGTTAAATAAAGTATGTGATTGAAAAGAATGTTAAAATTTTAAAAATCTATAAAGAAATCAATGCTAGCGTCGAGTTATTGGCTTAAGGCAGAATTATTTTGAAATGGAATGGAAGGATAATTAAGGTTTGTTTAGAGTCTACAATACGTCATGTGTAAGAAATGCTTATGAAAATATCTAAAAAATATTATATACCTTTTCTGGAGCCCCCCTACCCCCCAGATTTTGAGGCCCTAGATTTCAGCCTGCTAAGCTTACAGGTAAATCCGGCACTGGCAGGGACAAGGGAAAACGAAACCGGGTTCAGATGCCGTTGATTCTGTTCTCGAAACTTGATCTATGTTTTATGTTTTCTCTTTTGCAAAAAAATTGGATAGGCCATTCCGTACATAAAGATTAGAATTTATCTTTTTGGCAAAATTCTTTAAAACATTAACCTCGATAGAAATTTCCGTCATTCACAGATGAGCAAATGAGCTACAATGACGGAAATTCCCGTTATCCGCAGTTAATGGGTTAAGAAATTCTGCCCATGAAATCGAGGCTACCTCTTGTATAACAGAATAAAGCGATTTATTATGAAAATAATTTAAGATAATTTTTGTTATGATGTTGTACATGTGTGTGTATATTCCCTGAAGATGGTTCACGAGACACTAAGAATCAATGAACTCCTGGATTGGAATCATTGTCTTAAGAAAACTGGGGACTTCGACGTGTCTCGCTAGATCAATTACGATTAGTGAATATTTTCGACTTTGTGCCACATCTAAGCTACGTTTAGAAAGTCACCATTTTCTTAAGAAAAGATTTTGTTTACTTTCTTTTTTTTTTAGCTTGTTTGGGCTTACAAGTATTGGGAAATTGAAGAGACAGTAAGGAATTTAGACGACAAAGTGAAAAATTATATTACCAGCACGGCGAACCATTACCGAGAACTGATCTTTAGCATGAACCAGGTGGAACTCATTACATTTGACTTGCGTAGAGGCGAGATTGAATTTAAGATGCCAGTTGTGGTGCCAATGTTTATAATGAAAAACAAGGAGAAGGCAGAGGAATTTTGGAAAATGATGAAGGTTACCGTGAACAAGTTCAATGACTGGCAAATAGAGTACAATTTCACAATTGCCGACTTCTATTATTCTATGAAGCCGTCTTCAAATCCTGCCGACTGGATACCGCCATTTAAAGGTCAGTATTAAACAAAGACACTTATACAATACTTTCTTTTTTCACTGTTTTTTCGCTGTTCTTAAGTTTTACGTCGATATCCATGACAGTACGGGGGAAATGTTATTCTATCTCATCCTGTGGTCTCGGCGTCTCGGGTGGCTTGGGAACGTTGCGCGCATAGATACCTCCACAATTCCTAAACAGATACCACATGGGGGAACTGTCTGATGGCACGCGTAACGTTGGACGACCCAAGCTTCGCTTCAAGGACCAGTGTAAAACGTCCATGATGGAATTTCTTATCAATGTTGTGAACAGGTATGCGGTTGCCCATGTTCGAGTGGGACGGAGAGTTAGTGTTTTCACGGGAGCAAAGAGCTATAAAAAAAAACAGAGTTCAGTGTGCCGTAGAGACTAAACAAAGACGCTAATGCTGCACGTTGAATAACACCGCAGTATTCTACTGCTGTGGTCGCGCATTGGTTGCTTTAGCCATGAGCAGCGCTGTATTTTAGGATAACATATTTTCCGTTGCTGACCGTCGCCATCGACAAAATAGCCGATATGATAATAATGTGACAGTAAAATAAGCGCATCCCATCTCCCCTCTCGCTTGTAACCATCCACTATAATAAAATAAACGTTTCCAACTCTAAAGCTGAATTAGTCAAATAAAGCTTCATAAGCTATACGAGTTGTTGCATTGTTACGTGGCAGCTACAGATCCACTGATCATGCAAGTAGATTTATAGCTTGTAATCACATTTATTGTCTTTCACATCTGTTTAACCATCTTGGGTATGGCGTTGAACTACATCCGCGTCCAGCGTAAGACGATAAACTACGTCCAACACAAGGCCTCTGATCAGGAGGTTTTGAGGAGCGTGGAACCACCTCTTAATTGCTGGCATTCCCAGGTCCACCCTGACCCGGGGTGGTAGCACCTGTTAGAGTCCCAGATATGGGAAAATAGTTAACCCCCAAACTAAGGTAAAAAGCATTAAAATCGTTTTTAATACCAGAAATACTTTATAAAAAATTATTACCAGGGATAAATTTTTGAAAGAAAAAAAAACAAACTATTACCAGCAATATATTTTTGAAAAAAAATATTACCAGCTATAAATTTTTGACAAAATAAAATATTACCAGGAAAAATTTGTCGGCATTAAATAACCCATTTGATATGCCGTAAGACAAAATAAAGTAAACCAATCTAAACCAAAGAATCCATATTCTATTCTTACAAATCTATCCTAAAAATGTTGTTGGCATTAAATAACCCATTGAGGTTAATATGCAGTAAAACAAAATAAACCAAACCAATCTAAACCAAAGAATACATATTCTATTCATACAAATCTATCCTAAAAATGTTGTCGGCATTAAATAACCCATTGAGGTTAATATGCAGTAAAACAAAATAAACCAAACCAATCTAAACTAAAGAATACATATTCTATTCATACGAATCTATCCTAAAAATGTTGTCGGCATTAAATAACCCATTGAGGTTGATATACCATAAAACAAAATAAACCAAACCAATCTAAACCAAAGAATACATATTCTATTCATATGAATCTATCCTAAAATGTTGTCAGCATTAAATAACCCATTGAGGTTGATATGCCGTAAAACAAAATAAGCCAATCCAATCTAAACCAAAGAATACATATTCTATTCATACGAATCTATCCTAAAAATGTTGGCGGCATTAAATTTCCTATTGAGGTTGATATACCGTAAACCAAACCAAACCAAACCAAACCAAACCAAACAATCATATGTTTATAAATATAGTAATTCCATAATTTCCAATATATTTTCTTATCAGGAATGAAATCGAATAATTTATAAACACTTTGGTTTTATTTATTTTATTCTTTCTATCTGCACATTCTACGATCACCAGAATTGCTAATTTAGCATTTTTGGGAGGGGGGCTAGATCTTTCCAACTTAATTAGCTTCTAGAAATCAACATTTGGCTAATTTCATTATTTATGGGATGTGGCTACCCTCTGTCTTTTCTACAAATAGTTTCATGTCAAATGCTTTGATGAGCTTTTTTTTTCCTGGTGCCCTGACTACATGAATTTAAGCCTGCTACTCGATTGGTAACTCGGGCTCAACTAAACTAGATGCAATCGCCACTCCTACTCTAACAGTTTCTTTTCTATCACTTCCAACCTGTGTAACTTCCTTCCGATTACTTGTTTCCCCGATAAATAAAATCTTCAAAAATGTAAATACAACGTCAATCGCCATCTTCTAACATTTTGAACCCTGTTAATTTTTCGTGTATTTTCCTGAATCCTCCCCATTCTCTGTCTTATAATTCTCTTTCACTTTCACTTTCACTTTCACTCCCTGTAACCCCTCCCGCGTCCTAGGGGCAATGATGCCTTGCTTGGGGTAAAGCGACTTTTTTTTTTGCAGTTACAGCTGAAATAAGAGTAGACACTGTGGAACCCGTTTTATTCTGCCGTAAAATTAATCATTTTGCTTTTTTTTTAAAATTGAAATAAATTGAATTTTTTCCATTAGTTTCTTGAGTGATTTTCATAAGGGTTGAATGCAGACAGAGTTTTAAAAAGTAAGATTAAAAATTTAGAATATAATTATTTTTAAAAGGTCGGATGAAAAAGCAAGATTAGATGCTTAAGAGCGAAAAAAAAATAAGAACAACATCAAGAGAATTTAATTGAGACACACATGCAACCCCCCCCCCCCCAAAACAAACAAAAAGTGACGGGGATGTTTAGATTTATGGATTACCCGAATTTTACTAATTAAAATAAAAAAAAATGTCCCGTTGCGTTGTGTGTTGATTCTGGATTCTAGCAGCCAACCAGCAATTCCTCAGTAGGAACCCCAACGCTGCATCACAAATTAAATCACCGACAGGTAGCGTTTGAATGTTTTTCTTACTTTATTGAAAGAAGAGCATAGTTGTAGGCATCGTTTCTTGGAGTAAGCGAGAGGTCGACGGGAAGTAGGGAGAACAGATGTCAACAGGTCGGCTAGCTACCGGTCATCTATACGTGTTGATATGTTTCTCGGTAAGCAAACTCAGGCAGGGGAAGGTATCCGAATTCTCGATTTCCCTACTGCTGAAGTTGAACAACCGGTTTTGTGCGTTTTTCTGTATTATATTAAAGCTGAGGCAATTCATTACTCTCATGATTCTACACCTATTAGTTTCAAGCGACCCCGAGTTATAACAGGATGTGTTATTCTTCTTTATTTAGCTACTTTTAAAATATTTACCTCTTTTTTTTTTATCTCCCTTTCTTCCTGATCTGATATGTGAATAGTGTAATGGTTAACGGGTTGGAACGAGATATTGACAAGCCTAGTTAGAATTCCGGTCTAGTTAATTTTATACACTTATGCGCAAATACCCTTAGGCTATAAGTTAAATAGTAGGGTAGATTAGGCTTTTCATACTTGGTGAGCAACTAGTCTAGAAGGAAACGGAATTTAAACCGATTGGTCAAGGGGTTAGAAACTCCATCCCTTAAAAATCTATATGCTATGAAAACCACATTAGTACCATCTCGTGTGTTGATGCTGGGGCCCCCATACTCCCCAGAATCGTTTTCCAGTTTGTCACTTTGACCATAGCGGTAGTAACGATTATAAGTTGACTGAATAATTGGTTCTTTGAGAATGTGAGTCTGTCATTGTATTGCGATAGAAATATGATTGTTCTCCCTGTGCTATATTTCAGCTCAAGCGTCGATCTTTAGAGATCAACACATCACAACATTTGATGGAACGCATTTGGACTTCAAAGGAACCTGCAGTTACATTTTGACACGGGACTTTGCCGACAAAAGTTTCGTTGTTATTGCCAACTTTGGTCGCATCAACAATGATCAGAAGATTGAATCCATCATTTTCTACGATAGATCTGAAAAATTAGAAATATTCCATGATTACGAGGTAAGATTTTTGATAGAATTACGCTTCGGAAATTTATTGAAACTTTCACAAGTTCGGCAACACCGTGAATTTATTTTTGTTTCCTACGCGTACCATTAGTTTCAGTCGATAAAATTACATTCACTTACGCGTATATACCCTTGGGAAAGATAGGAACTCCAGCTATGGATTAAATAGTAGAGCTTATATCTATAAAAGTCATTCCTATTCTAAAAAAATGTTGATGCAATATTCTCACATGCTTAGAAAAACAAGGATTCTTCTTTTTTTTTTACGATGTTTCACGATGTTTTTCAGGGGATCAAGCGAGCTTTTGCCCTTTTGCTCTACGCGAGGTTTCCGTCCTCGCTGAGCTCGCCTTGGGACACCTGCGTTACCGTTTGACAGACGTACCGCCCCAGTCAAACTCCCCGCCCGGCACGGTCCCCGGCTAAGGGTCAACCGCGGGCCCCAATAGGGAGCCCGCGCCCTTGGCGCTAGCAAGAGGGCCGCCGAGTGAGCGAGGAAACGAAGGAAGTGGCGATATTTTAGAACGAACGACGCTGGTCACGGCGAAGGCCGGAAAAAAACCAGGACGAGAGAAACACCGTCCCATCGAAGAGGCGGAGGCTCGCCAGAGAGAGAGAGAGAGAGAGAGAGAGAGAGAGAGAGAGAGAGAGTTTTCTAACCTCAAGCCGAAAAAATTTGCTTAATATATAATGGAGAAAAATATACGGAAAAAACAAACAAAAATCCTAATATGCAATTATGCTGTTTTAATGTTAATATAATGTCAACGTCGGACGTTTTGGTCTAATAGACCATCTTCAGGACATATTCATAAAACATAATTAACATTAGACTATATTCAATTCAACATGAAAAAGACGATGGACATAAGAGCAAGACTAATCCAAATAATTAACTGAATTTTTTTTATAAGATCAGCGTTCCGTTTAAATATGATCACGTCGTCGTCACGTAGGCGATGTTGTGAAATCGTATTCGAAGATGATTTCAATATATATATATATATATATATATATATATATATATATATATATATATAAAATATATATTAGTATTTACTTAATTATATTTACTTATTTTACAGATTCGACACAATGACAACAAAGTGGATTTACCCATCATTTTGAAAGATGTATCGATTAACCGCATCGGCCATATATTGGAAATACGCAGAAATAGTGGATACACCATCACTTTCATTCCAAGCCAAGGAACAGTCGTTGTAGATATCAGCGGTTGGTACTTTGGAAAAGTAGCCGGATTGCTTGGCACTTACAACAACGAACAATTTGACGAGATGTTAACGTCAGAACAACGTCCAGCGAGAAATGTTGAAGAATTTGCTTTCTCGTGGGCAATGCCCATATGCAGATCACGTCAGAACTATGCCCATCCCGAACGCAAATTCCACAGATGCACTGATTGGTTTATCAGTTCATACTCCCCATTTAGGAGCTGCTTCCGACAGGTGAGCAAAATGATTTTTGTATTTTCTTTTCTTAAGACAGGGTTAAAAATCTACACGTCGATTCCAGTCCCACAAACGAGGGCAAGGAGCATTCGTTCTCCAAACAACGTTACAAGTATGTCTTACATTTTAATTTTAGATTCCTTCCATCGACTTAGCCAAGAGCTTGTTCGGTCGAGGATCTATCTCTCGTGGCTTGCGTGTCTACAGATAGAGAACTTTCGAGGAAATTGACATCGATATTTTAAAAAGGATAACTTTTAACACGTGGATATATTTTAATGTTATTTTTACATAATTATGCAAGAAGAGAGAATACATACTGGTGTGTATACATATAGCTGAAATAGAAGAAAAGACTATTAGAAAATGTGTGTGTATGTATGTGATACGCGCGTTCGTTTACGCAGTCGTCAGTCAGCCCGGAGAAAGGAAGTTTTTCCTCAACGGAGATATGACACGTCTTGGTTGACCGCATACTAAGTTGAAAAGTGGAAGAGGAAGCTTATGACCTTTATTTTATAGTCCTTAAACAGTGCCACTTAGTAACGTCTTGGCAGAGCAAGTAAGAGTAATCCCTACCATTGTTCAACTATGATCCGCGATGTTTGCAATAACAGTCGGAGTAGTTACAATAAAAGTTGATATTATTTTTTTTAAAAAAAGAAATACTAGGAAATATCAATAATGGCTAATAATGCTTCATCTAACAAAAATTATCGATAATATATTTATTGAATAAACAAAGTAATTGAAATTAAGATAAAAGCTATACTAGTCAAACTTAGCAATGTCAGACTAGCAATGCTTCATGTAATAAAAATTCAAGAAAAGTTTCTGCATACAACGTGTAAAAGCACGTGTCATATCCTGTCCTCATCAGCCGCCAACGAGAGGAAGTAACACAGTTTCCGTGTCTAAGGCAGTACTGTGACCCCTGGCTCCACCAGTAGCTTTTACTACTGGACAGGGATTTTTTTTTTTTGTTGTAGACATGCCACTTTCTGCGATTTTTATGCAACTGCAAGTCAGATTTTCCAACGTTGTGTTCAATAAAAGCCTTAGTTTTTGATCGTTATACAAAACCCTACGCGCTCGACGTGACCATTATCAATGACTTATAATTGAAGGTAAACATGTGTTTCAAGTCAGAAGTAGTATTATGTTGCGAGCATAGGTTTAATTAACTTTGTTTATTTGGGATCTTGACGAGACCCAACTCGATGCCTGTTGAGACGATGTGAAGCACTCTTCAGGCACAGGCCAATGATGCACACCTTTAAAAGGAATATTACTACTAATGTTACAGGACTAAAAAAATAAAATGGAGATGAAATAAATATTAGTAGACAAACAGTTTACAGTAGAAAAACAGTAAACACTTTTAGTACTTTGTTTTATCAAACACATATATACTAGATATACTAAATACTAAATATAACTTTTTTTTTATTTTTCTTAAGCATTCAAACCCAAGCAACTAGCGCGTAAAGGGTTACAGAGAGTTGGAGCGAGAGCAAAGAGGAGTGGTAGAGGAAAGGATGAAGAGAAAGATAGGGGATAGATCAGAGCATCTGGAGACGTCGATTGGCGTTGCATTTGAATAGTTGGAGATTATAGCTATCAGGGAAACAAGAGGGAGTTCCACAGGCGAGAAGTGTGAGAGATGAAGCTATTGGAGTAGAATAGACGGTTACATATAACAGTTTCGACAGTGAAAGGGTGAGAGTGAGATGGCAGTCTAGTTGAACGCATAAATTCATTCCAAGTTTGGGAACCAGCGAAAGCAGTTCATCGGAACAGTTACTGTGAAAGTATTTGTAAAAAAAAAAAAAAAAAAAAAACAGAGGGAGGCGACGACACGTCTGTGAGAGAGCAACTGCAGATGAGATGCCAGATCAGGGCCAATTACATTGCATATCCGTCTTTGGATTTTATCAAGGACCTTGAGACAAATAGAATGGGCTCCAATTCTGCATGCAAAGGCGAATGGTTGATTTGTAGATTTGAAGGATTGATTCCGTCGAGAAAAATTTCCTGGCGCGGGGAGCCGACTTTCCTTGCGTTAGACGAAGCTATTGACTCAATGTATTCGTTCCATCTCAGGTCAGCGGACAATGTAAGATCGAGAAGTCGTAAAGAGGTGTATAATACTAGGAAATAACGCCAGATTAAAACCCATTAATTTCTTACAATTTACTTATTGTTACAGATACGAAAAGGGTATAGGCTTCAAAGGATCCGTATAAGTGTTGGGCATTCAAAAGATTAATGCTTTATTGTTAAGCAATATCATGGATTAACAGTTTAAAGCACTCCTAACTCAGATGTATTTTTTCCAATGTAAAAAGAAAGCAAACTAGATCTATGCCAAGAGGTACATTTTTATTATGAAGACATTCGATTACTCAGACGTGTTTTGGGCGTTTTAACCTGGCGGAGCACATCCCTCTCTATGTTAGATCACACGCGATGTCCTCCAACCAAGTGGTTCGCCTAGATCTCGAACACATGAAACACTGAGGAACCTTTCCGCACTGCGTCGAAGAGGCCCTTCACTCAGTGGGGCCGAGTTAACATCACCCCTCACATCAGCTGAAACGGTTTACCGGGGCATGGCAACTTGGAAATCATTATGTGAGCGTTATAGGAGAATGCAAAAGCCAGTGTAGTATTTTCAGCAATTGGCCGGAGTGATTCGTCGGCAGGGCATTCTGACAGTGATGGATTGCCTTTGTCTGGGTTTTGAATATAAGCTCAAAACGGCGCGAATTCAACAGAGGTTCTTGAGAATTCGGGCGCGTCGATATGTCTCTCACACCCAGGTTTGCGACAGGCTAATACCACCCGCGGGGGGACGCTGAGCCAACGTATGACATGTGTTCCTGTCACGTCAGTCCTACTACTACCCTTTAGAATCCAAGCTACTAAGACTAATAAAACGAATATCAAAGTAAATTGATATCGTTTTTATTAATATCGTGGAGATTCCGAGACGACACTATAGCACAAAAGTACTACCTCTATCCCAAGAGCCATATGCACATATATATATATATATTTTACACAGGAGTTGTCAATTACCGTGTGTTTTTCTAAATGACATTTTTGAAGATGTTAATTACAGTGTTTTAAAAATATGGGATGTCCACCCAAGCATGTATATTCAATAAAGATAATGTGTATAGTAATACAAAAATATATTGAGTATATATATATATATATATATGAATATATTATCTTTCTAGGTTGAGCCTGACAGTTTCTACCACGCTTGCAATACAGGACATGCTCCCCCAGTAGACATTTGCACTGTGGCACGATTTTATGTTGACCGTTGCAACGAAAAGGGTGTACCATTGAATATACCGAAGCAATGTTGTAAGTATAATGGTTTGAAGTATGAGAAATCAAAAGTTTATACTCCTTCCACCCATTGCGATTTTCATTTATTTTTTGTTTTGTTTTGTTTCAGCTATTTTTTTAATCGGTATCATTTCATGCAAGGCAATAAAGCCACTAAGACGTAAGGGGTTACAGGATGTGGAAGAATTAGGAATAGAAACATTAATAAAGAATGGGAAGAGGAAAGAGTAACCAGGAGGACAGTAGATAGCGTTTGACATTGTATCTAAATTCTTGCAGATTAAATTTAGCTGCAAAGTATTGAGCCTGAAAGGAGTTCTACAAGCGAGAAGTGCAAGAAAAGAAACTTTTAGCATATCATTTACGGCGACATCTAACCAGCTCAACTGTAAATTTTTGATATTTCCACGCCAGTCTCGTACTGTGCTTAAATTCATAAAGTCTAGGTACCATAGTGAAGAAATCATTCGAACAATTGCCATGAAAATAAAAAAGGCATAGAGAGGCAACTTTACGGCCTTAGTAAAGTGATTGAAGCCGAGCCACCAGATCACGACCATTAATATTGCTGATTCTTCTTTGGATTTTATCAAAGAGTTCAAGGTAAATGACAGGAGCACCGGATCATATTGGTTAAAACTATTGCAGTTAACTAGTATTATTGGTGAAAATGTCATAGTTTTCCTATTTGAATTTTGTGATGAATCTTAATTCTGAAGAATCATGGAGAGTTATTTCAGAATATGATATTGTGTCATATTTCAGAATATGATATTACATTGTATTTCAGAATATGATATTGCATTATATTTCAGAATACGATATTGCATCATATTCCAGAATATGATGTGTCATATTTCAGAATACGATATTGCGTCATATTTCAGAATACGATGTGTCCTATTTCAGAATATGATATTGCATCATATTCCAGAATACGATGTGTCATATTTCAGAATACGATATTGCGTCATATTTCAGAATACGATGTGTCATATTTCAGAATATGATATTGCCTTATATTTCAGAATATGATATTGCGTCATATTTCAGAATACGATGTGTCATATTTCAGAATATGATATTTCATTATATTTCAGAATATGATATTGCGTCATATTTCAGAATACGATGTGTCCTATTTCAGAATATGATATTGTATTATATTTCAAAATACTGTCTAATCTTAAGTGTTGTTTCTTTCAAGTGATGTGCAAAACGAAACTGGGACACGTGATCTTGCCTGGCGTAGAAGTTCAATTTTCGGACAACCTTAGAGGAGACGAAATCGAACATTCGGCTGACATTGTGTTTGTGGTGGAAAAACGTAAATGCAATGAGAAAAGTATCGCCGATTTGAATAGAATTATTCAAGAACTTGAAGAAACGCTGAGAAACATTGGTGAGGAACTTCATATTTTTTTCATTTCATTTTCTTTTTTTGGCTTTGCCTTTATTCGAGACAACGAATTAATGCTGTTCACTGAATATCCCTACGTATCTCAGGGATATATATATACAAATGCCATGTCCCTTTAAAACGTGGGCGATTATAACGCCCCACGAATACCGTTTCTTTATTATCTATGAATAAGCGCGAATTTATCGGCCTGATTGTGCAGTGGTTTCCACTATTTTCTCCAATGTTCTGAATACAGATTAGCCCTTCTCTTCGAGTGGCTACCAGTAAAGAGACAACTATATATTGCTATTATACATAATTCGTCCGAAATTTTAAAGACTGGTGAATCTGTAATTGCAACACATAGGAGTTTCCGTCCTTCATGTAATGTAGGGATGATGTTCCGTATAGAAAATCTACACTGCTATGCGTTGAAAATTTCAGGACTACAAATTCAATGCTTAAAAGAAAGCCATATGCAAAATCTCAAAGCTCTCTAACTTCCGAACGATGGAAAAAATTTAGAAATCGTTTACAACTTTGTATGGCGGATAGAGGCAACCATTTTGATTATTTCAATTTCAAAACCAAATAAATAAAACTCCTTTTTTGTTTTAACAACAGTGATATAATTTTTTAATAGACTGATCCTATGACAGTTCCCACTCGTAATATTACGATAAATCTAACGAATTTATTTATTGTTTATTTTAACAAAAAGCGTATATTATTGATTTTAAGGTGTGAAACTGGTCCTCACTATACATGTTGATTTCTATGGCAATACAGTTTAGATTTAAAAATGTCCCCTATTTTAAATATTTAAATATCAAAATATCTTTTACACGATTTTTTTTTCTCCAGGAATGACAAATAATCGTTATGGCTTGGTAGGATTTGGTGGAGAAAATATCCGCGGAGAATATTCTATAACAATTAAATCTGAGTTGATGGCCACCGCTGGTCTAATCATGAATGAAGTGAGAAAACTTGACTTATACGATGGCTACAGCAAAATCCATCCCTTGAAAGCCATAAGCCTTGCCGCTCAATACCCGTTCCGACCAACAGTCCGCAAGGCAATCATCCTTGTCACCTGCAACATGCTCTGCAATCGAAAGATCTCCTATCAGCAAGTGTTGAATCAGCTGAAAGAACATGATATTGCTTTGCATCTTTTACAGGAATATGATTTTGAAATGTTGGGCAATAAGAGCCCAAAGACGACGAACCTTTATGGTAAGAATTTGTTTTTTCTTTTGGAAAATGTGAAAGACACTTTATTTGTGTTGTGTCCCTTCAGTGCATAGGCAATAATGGCTCTCCACATTTTCCTGTTCTTTTCTAGCTCTTTTTATGTTAAGACCTTGTTCTTTTTTTTTCTTTTTTTAGTTTATATTTTTTGAGGACAGGAAAATGTGAAAGACATTTCTTTATCTTCTTCTATGTGCCGTGTCCCTTCAGGACATAGGTGATCATGGCTCTCCACATTTTCCTGTCATTCGTAATTGTTTTTATAGTAAGACCCCGTTCCTTCTTTTTTTTTCTTGGTTCATATTTTTGGAGGACATAGGAAAATGGAAAAGACACATCTTTTTTCTTCTGCTATGTGCTATGTTCCTTTAGGACATAGGTGATCATGGCTCTCCACATTTTCCTGTCTTTTGTAACTCTTTTTATAGTAAGACCCCGTTCCTTCTTTCTTTTTTTCAGTTCATATATTTTGAGGACTTAGGAAAATGGGAAAAACACGTTTTTCTTCTTCTGCTATGCCCATGTTCCTTCTGGACATAGGTGATCATGGCTCTCCACATTTTCCTGTCCTTTGTAACTCTTAATAAATTTTGTATTTTTATTATCTCTCCTCAACCCTGTTTTTTCATCCATTTACTCACGCTTCTTAGCTACTTTATGTTGTTTTCCATTGCCTTCAACCTGGTCTTGTGAGCGTCAATTCTGTAAAACCTAGAAACTGGACAACGGCCACCAATAATATTGAAAACCCTTTTTACTAATGTACCAGTTTCTACCATAATGAAAATCATTCTTGTATATATATATATATATATATATATATATATATATATATATATATATATATATATAAAACACCCTTTTCTTCAAATCCACCACTTTATGTAAATTGCTTTTACTAATGGCATGCCTTTCTATGATAACAACTACACCCAGTCTTAGAAACTGATGTAATGGAATAACCAGTCACCCCCATGAGTGACTAATATAAATGCTTTCCAGTCTTAGAAACTGATGTAATGGAATAACCAGTCACCCCCATGAGTGACTAATATAAATGCTTTCCAGTCTTAGAAACTTGTAATGGAATAACCTGTCAGTGTCTTAGAAATGCTTTCCAGTCTTAGAAACTGATGTAATGGAATAACCTGTCAGCCCCATGAGTGTCTAATATAAATGCTTTCCAGTCTTAGAAACTGATGTAATGGAATAACCTGTCACCCCCATGAGTGTCTAATATAAATGCTTTCCAGTCTTAGAAACTGATGTAATGGAATAACCTGTCACCCCCATGAGTGTCTAATATAAATGCTTTCCAGTCTTAGAAACTGATGTAATGGAATAACCTGTCACCCCCATGAGTGACTAATATAAATGCTTTCCAGTCTTAGAAACTGATGTAATGGAATAACCTGTCACCCCCATGAGTGACTAATATAAATGCTTTCCAGTCTTAGAAACTGATGTAATGGAATAACCTGTCACCCCCATGAGTGACTAATATAAATGCTTTCCAGTCTTAGAAACTGATGTAATGGAATAACCTGTCACCCCCATGAGTGACTAATATAAATGCTTTCCAGTCTTAGAAACTGATGTAATGGAATAACCTGTCACCCCCATGAGTGACTAATATAAATGCTTTCAGTCTTAGAAACTGATGTAATGGAATAACCTGTCACCCCCCATGAACTGATGTGATGGAATACCCCCCATGAGTGACTAATATAAATGCTTTCCAGTCTTAGAAACTGATGTGATGGAATAACCTGTCACCCCCATGGTGACTAATGTAAATGAGTCTTAGAAACTGATGATGGAATAACCTGTCACCCCCATGAGTGACTAATATAAATGCTTTCCAGTCTTAGAAACTGATGTAATGGAATAGCCTGTCACCCCCATGAGTGACTAATATAAATGCTTTCCAGTCTTAGAAACTGATGTAATGGAATAGCCTGTCACCCCCATGAGTGACTAATATAAATGCTTTCAGTCTTAGAAACTGATGTAATGGAATAGCCTGTCACCCCCATGAGTGACTAATATAAATGCTTTCCAGTCTTAGAAACTTGTGATGGAAAACCTGTCACCCCATGTGACTAATATAAATGGTCTTAAAACTGATGTAATGGAATAACCTGTCACCCCATGAGTGACTAATATAAATGCTTTCCAGTCTTAGAAACTGATGTAATGGAATGTCACCCCCATGGTGACTAATATAAATGAAGAAACTGATGTAATGGAATAACCTGTCACCCCCCATGAGTGTCTAATATAAATGCTTTCCAGTCTTAGAAACTGATGTAATGGAATAACCTGTCACCCCCATGAGTGTCTAATATAAATGCTTTCCAGTCTTAGAAACTGATGTGATGGAATAACCTGTCACCCCCATGAGTGACGAATATAAATGCTTTCCAGTCTTAGAAACTGATGTGATGGAATAACCTGTCACCCCCATGAGTGACGAATATAAATGCTTTCTAGTCTTAGAAACTGATGTAATGGAATAACCTGTCACCCCCATGAGTGACGAATATAAATGCTTTCCAGTCTTAGAAACTGATGTGATGGAATAACCTGTCACCCCCCATGAGTGACTAATATAAATGCTTTCAGTCTTAGAAACTGATGTGATGGAATAACCTGTCACCCCCCATGAGTGACTAATATAAATGCTTTCCAGTCTTAGAAACTGATGTAATGGAATAACCTGTCACCCCCCATGAGTGTCTAATATAAATGCTTTCCAGTCTTAGAAACTGATGTAATGGAATAACCTGTCACCCCATGGTGACGAATATAAATGCTTTCAGTCTTAGAAACTGATGTAATGGAATAACCTGTCACCCCCATGAGTGACTAATATAAATGCTTTCCAGTCTTAGAAACTGATGTAATGGAATAACCTCTCACCCCCATGAGTGACTAATATAAATGCTTTCATCGCACTTTCTTTCTTTTGGAAAATTTGAAAGATAATTTTTGGTGCAATGTTCATTCAGTATCTAGGCGATGATGGCTCTCCACAATTTTCTGTCCTTTGTAGCTCTTTTCTACTGTTCTTCTTGTCTTCAATATATCCTGTGAGTATCGATTCTGCGGAATTCTCGATTTCCATAAATATTTTTGCATTAAGACTTTCAGGTTTCATTGATTTTACATCTATGTAACATATATAGTTAACGAAATGGCATAAGCCACAAGCTGTAAATACATTCAGATACACTTAAAATCCATAATATTGAAAGTATATTATACATGTTATATAGTCTCTTCTGGTGAATTCACAATTTCCACGAATATGTTCGCATTTATGTGCATGCAAAATGCATGATATTGAAAGTATCACTGTAGTCTATAAAGTCTTCTAAAATATAGGTACCACTGTTATATAGACTATCGTCTTTAGTATTTGACTACCAACCACGAGTTAACTATGTAAAACTTATATTCCTAACATAACATTATTTTTTACCTATTCAAGACATGGTTAAATAATATTAATGATGTATAACAATTTTTTACAGAACAGACTTTTAAAAATTATGTTAATAAATTGTAAAGTCAGTTCTAATCAAACCATGAAAAAATGAGTTAACAGCTGAAATCCTTGATAATATTGAAATGCCTAGACATAATTAGAAAGGAAAAATAAAGTATATTTTTGAAAGTAACTATTATTTATTTATTTTGACAGGTATTGACAGTAAACAAGTTTTTACTAAAACAGATAACGATGCTAAGGAAAAAATGTTTGAAACAATCAAATTGCCAAGCGGTGATTGTGCAGAATTGGCTCTTGCTTCAAACGGATCAGTCTTTGATGCCGCTAAAATGAGCCGAGGTGATAAATCGATTTTTGTCAACAGATTTACTCAGCGTATCACGGATTCTTTAGAAATGGTCAACTGCCAAACGTGTGTCTGTAGCCAAAACAAAATGGGAATGGCCCAGTCAATCTGCACAAGATGTCCTTCCATCCCTAAAAAAGATCCTGTAAGTATTCGCGTCATAGCGTGATTAAATTTTTCATTCCAATATCTAAAACAAGTTTTCACTGTGAGTTCGCCTTTCACATCTCGCAAGTGTGTAATGTTGTGTTAATGGAGGTTGATGAGAATATAGGATTAGATTATTTTTCTACATAAAGTATGTGTCTATTCACTTCTCGATTTCGTGAAATTAATGTTGGCTGAATCGAGGTTATGTGATTCCATGTCTTTCTTCGAACGTTCGATCTTCTTATGAGAATGTTAATGACTCTCACTCTACGATCGTCGACCGTGTCGTTATATTTCTCTGATTGTCTTGTGTGTGTGTGTGTGTGTGTGTGTGTTTTTATAAGCGTTTCACCCCAAGCAAGGCGGGAAGCCACTAGCACGCAAGGGTTTACAGAGAGTTGGAGCGAGAGCAGATAAGAGTGATAGAGGAAAGAATGAAGAGAAGGATTGGAGATAGATCAAGGCATCTGGAGACGTCGATTGACATTACATTTGAATAGTTGGAGATTATAGCTATCAGGGAAACAGGAAAAGGGGAGGGAGTTCCACAGGTGAGAAGTACGAGACATGAAGCTATTGGAGTAGAAAAGACGGTTACATTTTACAGTTTCGACAGTGAAAGGGTGTGAGCGAGATGCCAGCCTAGTAGAACGCTTAAATTCATGAAGTCTGGGAACCAGCGAAAGCAGCTCATTGGAGCAGTTACCATGAAAGTATTTGTAAGAAAGACAGAGGGAAGCGGCGACAGGTCTGTGAGAGAGCGACTGTAGACGAGATGCCAGATCAGGGCCAATTACATTGCATATCCGTCTCTGGATCTTATCAAGAACCTTGAGACAAACAGAAGGGGCACCGGTGTGTGTTTGTGTGTGCCTCTGTGTGTGTATGTATTGCGAGACCGTAACATACCTACAACATGGACTCTTCCAGGACTATATAAAGTAGGTGACATAACACTCTACACTCTACACTATCTTTGTAACCTTTTTATTTAATATATCTTTCTTACCTCTAATCAATGTTCCGTGTTTTCCTTCCCAACTTTGGGTCCACATCAGTATGTATGTGTGTGTTTGTGTGTGTCTCTGTCTCTGTGTGTGTATGTGTGTCTGTATCCTAATTTTAGCTGATTTCACACTCTTGTTTATGTTGATGCCTCCACCGACATCCTTCCAGGACCGATTCTGCACTCGGTGGTTTTGAGGGTACCTTCATATATAAAATAATTGTTTATTCACTCCTGTTCGGCTGTATCGAGGTTATGTGATTTTATGTTTTTCTTAGGAAGTTCAATCTTCTTCTTACGAGGATTTAAGGGACTCTGTCTCTCCTTTCGTATGTTGAGCGTTTATATAACTGCCTGTTATCCAGTTATCTTGTCTGTGAGTATGTGTGTATCTAATGTTGTGCTGGGTTTAATTGTTTGTGTATAATTTCAGATAGACTATATCTGTAAAAGGACAATATGAATAAAGACAAAAGAAAACTTACCTTATTCGACGCGTTTTGTCCTCTGAGAGACTTTATCAACGCAAATGCAAGGATTCTGTTTTGTAAAAAATATTTATAGGCAAGACAAAAATTGTTGTTAGTTTTTCAAAATTTTAAAATTTGAGAAACGCTCATAAATATTCATAAGGTTGGCCGAAAAGTCTAGTTAAGTTATGGAGGACACTAAGTGACATGATTTAATGTCTGATAAATGAGAGTGAGTAAAAGATGTTCTTGAAGTTTTTATTAAGAGAATATATATCTATTTGTGTTGGTGCATTCTGCATTTGGTGAATATGAGATCATCCTGCAGGTCAACCATCAAGACTCTTAAATCATTTGCCCTACTGAGAGAGCACCAAGTAAAAATCATATTTTGACATCTCTTAGGGTAAGCCCAGTACATTTTGGGACTACTAGAGATAAATTCGTCTTCGATCAAGGTCTCTGTCGGACATTCATGACATGAATCATATTCTGTTAGTGAAACGAGTTTATTTACTATTTCATTATATATGCAATCATAATCGAGAATGAAACTTTGGATGCATTTGTTTAGCAAACCCATTCCTCTAATATCGCAGTTTACTTAAGAAGCTTCTTAAAAAATAGTTCTACACACACACACACATATATATATATTTTCATGCGGATATTTAACAAATATTTGTATAGATATATCTCTTTTTATATCGCTCTATCTATATCTATATATCGTTTCTGTGTATATTAACACATCTTTTACATATATTTTTTCTATAGATTTTCTAATGTCTTTATATATCTTTTTTGTATTTATTTTTTGACGTCAGCAGTTCATCAACGAAACATATCAAATTGAATTTATTTACAACTTGTTTTACGATATCTATCTCAGTCTGTTTCTATCTATCTATCTATCTATCTATCTATCTAATGCTTTTTCCGTAGGCACATCATATGCTTTTCTTAACGATCTTTTGAGTGTATCAACAAATCTCTCCGCTTGCCCATTTGATCTTGGTTGATACGGCGGGGATTTGATATGTTTGATTTGAAAAATTTCGCAAAACTCTTGGAAGTCAGCTGATGTGAATTGCGTTCCATTATCTATGACTAGACAATCCACTACTCCAAACCGAGCAAACAGTTCATGGAGGCAATTTATGGTAGTTTCAGAAGTAGGATTTTTGCAACGAAACACTTCCGGCCATTTACTATAACTATCCACTATGATCAAATAGTAAAAACCATCTATTCGAGTTGCATAATCTGCGTGTATTCTTGACCACGGACGATCTGTCACTGGCCATAGCTTACGGATGATTGGCAGTGCTTTGGCTGCTAAGGAACAACCCTTGCATTTTTTTACCATCTGTGTAATGTCCTGGTTTATGTGTTGCCAATATACATAGCTTCACATTAGCGATTTCATTCTATTTTTCCCTGGATGGCCCATGTGGAAATCCTTTAGGATTCGCTTTTGTAATGTTTTGGGAATTATTACCCTTTCGTTATAAAGTAGCACATTATCGCATAAAGAAAAGCTGTCCGATATTTGCTTATTTTTTTCTGCTATTTTGGATTTTGTTTCTTTTATGAATTCATCATTTATTGCTTCATTTTTTATCTCTTGTAGCGTTACGGGGAGGTTTCGAACTGTACAACATAGTACTGTCCTGATATCTTCTTCATGTCGTAAGGCTGCGATTACCAATGGCTCTGTTTTCGTTGGTATAAGTTTCGACAGACCATCCGCATCCCCGATTTTTTTCGTTGGTACATACTCCAATCTGAAATTGTAATTCAGTAGAATTGTACCCCATCTTAGCAACCTATTGGCAGTGTAAACCGGTAGACCTTTCTTCGAACCGAATATTGTTAATAACAGTTTGTGATCCATCTGTAGAGTAAAGAATCTACCATAGATATATCTATGAAATCTTGTGACTGCGAAAATAATTCCCAGGGCTTCTTTCTCTATTTGTGAGTAATTTTTCTCTGCAGGTAGTAGGGTTCTTGAAACATGCGCGATGGGTTTTATTGTCCCATCCGGCATTTTATGCAGTATACACGCCCCGACTCCATAGGGGGTCGCGTCACTTACTACTATTATTTCTAATTTTGGGTCGTAGTGTGCCAAAAATAAATCCGAAGTTAACGTCTTAATTATTTTGTCAAACATTTTCTGGCATTCATCTGTCCATTCCCAAACCTTTTCTTTTTTCAGCAGTTCGTTCAGTGGTGCGCGAAGTTTATGCATGTGAGGAATGAATTCCTGGTAATAATTCACTAAGTCTAAAAAAGTTTGTAATTCTGCTATGTGCTTTGGAACTGGCATTTTTTTTTTATTGCCGTTGCCCTTTCCATTGTCTTTTGGAATATAGCCGGTGCCACCTTAATCCCAAATGGTAATCTTTGGTATCTGTATAATCCTTTGTGTGTGTTTATGCATAGTAATTTTGAACTTTTCTCATGGACTGGGATTTGTAGGTACGCATCACTTAAATCTATTTTTGAAAAAAATTTTCCGCCGTTTAAACCCGTTGAGAAATCAGCGCATACTCGAATCTCCCCTGATTTATTTTTTGACGTAAACCGTGGGTGTGGCCCATTGACTGTATTCTACTTTTGTCAATATGCCGGTGTTTTCGAGTCTAGCCAATTCTTGATCTATTTTTCTATTGAAGCAAACAGTACGCCCCTTTTTTATTCTTGAAGATAGGTTGAACGTTTTCTTTTATTTCTATATTTGCTGCCATTTTTTACACCTCTCGAGGCCGGCTGAAAATACTTCGGGGAAATTCTCTTTTAGTTTCTCTTTTAATTTATCTGCCTCGGTCGATAAACTTTTTAACTTTTGGCAGTACGTACTTATTGGTAAATCCCAAAGTTCGAATTTTTGCATCCAGTCCGTACCGAATAAATTTTCTGTATTTCTTAGCACATACATTTTCAATTTTTTGGTCATTCCATTGAATGTCACATTTGTAATCACTTCACTCTCAAATTTTATTTTTCTCCCAGTTACCGATATAGCAATTTTATCGGTTCTTAACATGGTAGGTTTGTTCAGTTTTCTCCATGTTTGTACGTTAATAATAGTTAAGTCTGACCCGGAATCCAACTGTAGTCTGATTTTTCTGTTTTGCATTTCTACTTGCACGTATTTTCTTATGTTAGTCTCATCCGCTTGGTCAGTCCTTGTGGTTCTTATTCTGCTTTTGCTTTCTCTTCTAGTCCAACAATGAGAACTTTTATGTCCTACTTTTCTGCATGATAGACAAGTTTTAAAACGGTATGGACAGTCTTTATACCAATGCCAAGTACCACAGCGATAGCATGGCCTGGGTGGTAGTTTTTTATGATATTGACTTTTTGAAGTAGAAAAATTTGTTTTACCTCTTTTTAAGGATGGAAAATTGGTTTGGTTTGTTTGTGAGGAGGGAAAGTTGGTTTGTCTTCGTACTTTACGTATGTGCGCGATGCCAGCTTCTTCTATAACTTTCTTTATACTTATACATCTCTGGCAGTCTTCGGACAGTTTTTGAAATGTCATATCTTGTTCACTTTCCAATTTTGTAAGGATTCTGCGTCTAATTTCCGCGTCTAATTTCCGCGTCTTTGGTTGAAACCAGGCCTTGGACGTATATTAAACATTTGAAATTGTCCGGGCTGAGTTCCGATAATTTGAAATCATCGCAATATTTGTTTACAATGGAAGCGAAAGTTATGTAATCTTCGCTCTCCTTTTTTGTTAGATTCAGACATTTCCATCTTTTGTGGAATAGTGAGGTATTAGGGCTGAAAAGTTCTGTTAACAGTTTTATGGCTTCTTTGAAAGTTAACTCATTTGTTTTCCTCGGTAAGATATAATCTACGAAATTGGTATATTCGCATGTGCCTAATTTTCTTAGTAGTAGTCGTACTTTTCTTGCGTCTGACCAATTTCCGCAGTCAAATTCATATAGATCTTCGTACCTTCGGAAGTAAGTTGCAAAGGTTTTGTCTTCGTCTGGTGAAATCTTCGATAGTGTTCCAAATAGGGTCTTGTGAGAGAACTGTTTCATTTTCGGAATTTTGCCCTTTATTTGACATTACACGTAGCAATAATTCTTGTAATTCAAGATGTTTCTGTTCGTTTTTCTGTTGCTGTTCAAATTGGATTTTCATAAATTCCACAACGGTTGACTTAAAATCTTCCATGTTAACGTAATTTTGTGTAAGTATTTTCCTTTAGTGTAGCCTGATATTCTGGAACCTGTGTACGCCCCCAAAAAAATTTCCCTGTGTAAAACTTGTGTCTTTGTTACCACAGTAAATTTGATATCCCCAAAAAATTTTTCCCAAAAATCTCTACGTAGAACTTGTTTTTTGGAATCTCCACGTAGAACTCGTTTCTTCAGTTTTATCGTCGACACTGTTATGTGCGACGGATAGCAAAAAAGTTTTGTCCTCCGCGTAGAGAGTTGGTTTCTTGGGTTACCTCGTCGCCACTTGTTATGTGCGTCGGATAGCAAAAAAGATATATCATCCGCATAGAGTTCTTTTTTTTACTTTTTTTTTTAGGGTTTCCTCGTCGCTATTTGTTATGAGCCAAGTCCCTTGAACCACGGTGATGGTCCAAGGTTAGAACCAATGAAAGAATAACACGAACACAGGTATAGAATACAAAGATATATTACAACAGAAATATAACACAAAGAAGTAGAAGTATTAGTAATGACTATCAGATTTGGTTAGAGTGAACTATGTTGTCTCGACAAGTATCACTATTCCAATGTCCTTACAATATGCTCTCAATATCCTCATACCTCTTGAGAGACGCAGTATTTATAATGTCAGGAATAGTCCATTATTATTATGGGTAAGTTCCCATAACACTATTCCATTCTGTTAACATCTATCTATCTATCTATCTATCTATCTATCTATCTATCTATCTATCTATCTATTTCAGTTTGTTCTCCTATCTATCTATCTATCTATCTATCTATCTATCTATCTATCTATCTTCTCATGGATTAAAGATTTCGTAATCTTATACTTGGTTATTATACGATATTTGACTTCAAATATTAAATATTTATCTTTCCAGTATATTCCGTATAAACTCTTCCTCTGAAAGTTTGAAACCAATGAAAACCTCAAAGAGCAACTAAACGTAAGTAGATCTTTTAAGACCAATACAATGAAGTCTTGTTCGTCCCTAGGTGTCATTCTAAAATCAATCAGAGATGAACCACCTTCAATGGTGGCTCATTAATTCTATTAATTCGACTTAAAATTATTATACATTTTTATTATGATTCTTCAACTTATATTGTTTTTTCATCAAAATTATAACTGATGGAACAAATGTAATGGAACAATGCTAACGAATAATAAGGAAGCCATTTAACAATCTGTAAGCAGTCGAAAAATAATGTGTGTTTCTGTCTAATTATGATAATCTAAAAGCCTGTAAATATCTATCTATCTATCTATCCTATACTATTCTATAATTAAATGATACAATCAGTAGGTCTAAAAGAGACATGAACTTTATATAGAAATTTTTAACTAAAAGATGGACATGCGCAGTCGGTCAAACGTTTAGTTTAATGCACTCCTACCATGCTCATATGCTGAAACTATTTAACTCATTAGTTCGTAGTGTTCAATATTTTAGAGAGGAGATTACCTAAAATTTTAAATCGGCCAGGTTTAAGTTTACTACAGGCCAGCAAGGCAGATTAGGCAAAACGAGTTAAAATTTTAAGGACACTTTACGCAGTAATGGACTAATTTCGTCATTATTAGTAGTATTATTAGTAATATTATTGGATTTAATATATGATAAGACCCAACTGGAAGAGAAAGTCCCTCTGATCCAATGTGATCTCGTAAATTAGTTTTGAAAAAGGCACGCAAGATAGGAAATACTGCGAAATCTTGAGGGTGACTCTAAACTTTCGGCCCATAGTGTACGTTAAGTTTAAGGTTTAAGAACAAAATAAATATATTGGAGAAAAGCACAAGGAAATCTCATATGGTTCCTTAAATGTCGTGATTTTAATCGTTCGGTCAGGTTGTGCCAAAATAATTATTTAATTTGTATAGTTTAGTTTGGATGTAAGCCCAAATGTAAAGAGTAACCAACTAAGATTGTAGTCATTGCTCAGTTGTAAATAAATTGAAATAAACGAAACATCGTATAGGACACAATATGGAAGGACTGATTTTGACTGCGATAATATGGAAAATTCCTCGAATCCTTATGGAATACACAATTTAACTGAAAGGTAAACGCCTGAAAAAGCTAGTGAAAATTCTTTGATGACAAAATAATGACGCTGCGAATTTACAGGGGGCTTTGGATTAATGGTCATCTACATTACGTAAAAATGAAAATAATACTTACATCTCATTTTCCAGGATATTTACCAAAGTTACATAAAAATATCTTGAAAGTGTAAATTTATTTAATAAATTCGCCTCTGGTTTCAACCACGGCCTTTAAACAACTTCAGGATCTCCTTCAACTATTCTGGACGGTCTCCTTGTCTAAGTTGCTGAATTCTGTTATAATCCTTGCCTTCAGTTCATCTTTAGTGTTATAAGAAGTTTTGTTGGTCTCTCGCTCAAGAGCGCACCACACATAATAATCAAGGTGGTTGCAGCGTTGGGGAGTTAGGTGTGGCCAGATGTAAGGGGTAATGTGGTCGCAGAAATTGTCTGACAACCCTGATTGGGTTCTCCTGCTTTTGTGGCATGATTCAGAGTCCTGTTGCCAGATATAGGGTCTTCCAATAGCCACCCTCTTGACCCACGGCAGCACTATCTCATCAAGGCACTTGATGAAGGCCTACGTGTTGAGTCTGAGACCCTGTCGGAAAATGAATGGAAGCATAACGTCGCCATCACTAGTGACCACACCAAACACCTTCGTAATCACCATTAGACTCATCCAACTCTTTCCGAATCCTCTTTACTGTTCTCATACTGACACCCAAACACTCTGACCCTACTATACTTTATAGTCGATAAAATTAAAAACAAACAACGCGCCTGCGCTAAATTAAAAATATAAAATGGCGAAAATTTATGCTTTGCACCCTGTATATGTTAACAATTTATAACTATAAAAGCTGGAACCTTTATACCCCTGTCTAATGTCTGCACACATTCATTTCATTTTTAAATTTTACAGTTTTTGTTCTTTTGCTTTGTTAATTCAATTAATAATTGTTTGAATTTGTTGTAATTCCAGATATATTGGGAGAGTTTCAAGAAGAACCCCAGAGAAGAAACCAAACAAACAGAAGAATAACATTCGAAGCAAAAGGAGGAGTTCATTCGATTTTATATGCAAACAAAAAAGAAGTGAAAAATGCTAGTCATTGTATGAGTGATTGTCATTCCATGAGATTTTGATAAAGAATTCAACTTTTAAATCAATTATTTACTGTACACAAATGCGTTTTCTAATAAATTTTTCTGATTATTCAAGTAGTCATGTTTCTTTATGGGGATGTGGAACTATAGATACAGTCCCAGTTCAGTCAATGAGCCATGAAACTGTTCAAGTGCCATACTGGATAATTGTCATTTATGACATTTTTCAGTGAAATGGGAATTACTTGAGAATGCACATCTCATCTCCAAGTAATATCCAACAGGCTTTACTGTGTTACATGAGTAAGAAATATTTTTGGGAAAGATAGTAGAACAATTTCACGTTGCCTTCTTCACAGTTTTGAATTCAGAGTAGGTCTTCTCCAAGATTCGTTTTCTTTATTATCTGTGAATTGCCATGACTTCTTGAGAAAGTTAGTGAAATGGTACCGGGTTTCATTCTCTATGGTTTTGAATTCTGTTGTAGAGTAGTTTTCTCAGTGGAGGCTTGTATTTCACTAAGTCGGTCCTAAAATAGGTTCGACGTACAAAACGTTAGGAACTTGAAAATAATAGTTAATGACGCAGCAATCTAGTTGTGATGGTTGATACTTTAATGTCCGACATCGACTGACTCACTCAACTCACTGAGCCCCCTTCCCTGGCGACTGCTACTACTACTACTTATTATCTGTGGGAGAGTCTATTTACAATAGAATAGGTATGTTCCAGTATAACAAATTCAGAATTGTCTTTTTCCAAAATTCATTTTTTATTATCTGTGAATTGCCAGGACCTCTTGGGAAAATATTGTGGAATGGTTTCACGTTGCCTTTTCCACGCTTTTACAATCAGAATAGTCCTTCTCCAAGATCCCTTTGTTTTATTATCTGTGAATTGCTATCGTTTCTTGGGAAAGATAATGAAATAGTTTCCAGTTGCCTTCTCCATGATTTTGAAGTCAGAATATTCTTCCAAAATTCATTTTCTTTATTATCTGCAAATTGATATGACTTCATAAGCAAGATGTATAAAACCCCGTAGATACTTTTGAACTCTTTCATGACAGGGAAAGTGATATGTCCCGGAAAGGGATATATTTGTACAAAGTAGCAAAGTGATTTTAGACTACTGTAACCGGGTAGGACAATCTATCAGGTAACCGTAATGGACTGGTCCTTGTCATAGTGGTATTTTCAGGCGTTTTTCAATATTTTAGACTATAGGCGTAGCCATTAGGCGTCGTCCTGTAGTCCAAATCAGTCTGTATTTATGGCTGACACCAGCCAATCATATTACTGTGTGGGGGAACTCAGGTGTATGCATATTCATCACATCAGAAAGGATGATTGAGCATCTGCAGTCCAGATATGTCGGTAATTCGGAAATTCTGGTCTGATCTGCCTCTTATAAAAACAGAGCATGCTATGAGGTGTCAGATACTTTATGGAGTATTACAAGGTACCAACTGATTTTGCTATTTCCTTGGCAATGGACCGTATATATGAATTCCACTTGAGGTCTGGAATGAACTTGTGATCGAATGGACATTCAAGGCAAGAAACCTTATTAACGGAACAAGTGTTCGTCATGACAGGGGAACATCCAGGCTCTGCTCGGTGATAATGAAACATTACTAACATTATCTCTATTGTGATCTTAAACCATGGACAATGTTTACAAAAGGATTCTTTTGTGAATTGCCGGTTAAGAAATTTAATCTGCAAGCGTGTTGAGTTTAATCCGCATCGTATACTTCAAGCTAGATTTAATAATTTTCATTGTATTTTTGTTTTTTTAATTTATATTTCCAGTTATAGAAAAATGTTTACATAGTAATGCAAATGCAATACAGAGATGATGATGCTCTTTCAACTTCATTGTCTTACTTCACTCTTGTAAAAAGAAAGCCTGACAGAAGGAGTCAGTTGTTTCCCGGAGCGGTAGAATGAATCAAGGGTCATTTTTTTTAGCATGTCTTGCATTGGATCGTGTATATGGGGTTTGGAATTGAACTTGTATTCCAATAGATATTCAAAACATGGGGCCTCTTTGAGAAAGCGAATTTTGTATAAAATGAAATATATGAATGTTACGGTATATTTCTTTAGAAATTTCACCTCTCTTTCTGGTGCTACACATAAGTGTCCTATTTTTTTCTCTCATATACGTTTTTATTAACACAAATGAACAAAGGGTTTTCAGCCACGAAACCATCTTTCTTCTAGTTGTCGTCATCTGACCGGAAGGAGAGACGGACTCGTGGGCAGGTAAAGAATGAGGAACTGGCAATAAAAATCTTTATCATGTAACACGAATTAATGATTCTCCTAGGGAGGCCATTAACGCACGCTGGATTTGAAATTTAGCCCCAAAACAACAAAAAAACAAAACACCCCCCCCAAAAAAAAACAACAAAAACAAAAAAAAATTCAACCGTAAATTCTATGCTAACAGTTTCTTTTCTCGCACTTCTCACTTGTGGAACTCTCTTCCGAGCCCCATGCTTTCAGCCAACTTTAATCTCTAAAAATTTAAATGCAATGTCAATCGCTATCTACTCTCTTCCTGATTCCTCTTTTCTCTTCCCGCTCATTATTAACGTTTCTGTTCCTAATTGTTCCACACCCTCTAACCGCTTGTATTTTAGTGGCTTTACTGCCTTGCTTAATGGGAAATCGATTAAAAAATACTCAAGAAGTCTGTAGCAGCAGCCGAAAATTTTGCAATTTCAAAAAAAATAAATAAATAAATAAAAATAGGATAATTAAGGTTGACCCCATTTCATCATCAGCCTTGTGCCAAAATTGTTACATTGATGACAATAAATCTAAATTCCTTAGCGGATTTCGATTTGTCTTTCCCCTGTCATTAGTGAGCGAACCTCTTCATTCTTCTTATCGACAGAATACAGTGGCCGCTTTTATTTTTGTGAGTTGGGTCAAGTTTTATTTTGATTTGAAGGCTTTGATTCTTTTATTTGATTATTCGGTTCATCCCCCACCCCATCACAGGTTTTTATCTCTTTTTGTAAGAAAATTTTGAAAAAAGAAAGAAATACATTAGTACATATTTGAAAATCTTTACAGCATGGGAGTTTTAGTAAGACCTCAAAGAATATGTGGTATTGTGGTATATTTTGGATCGAATGGGGAAGGATGAATTCTTGTGTTGAGTGAGGAAATTGTGAGAGTGAATGGGTCGCGAATCGTATTATCTTAAGTGGAGGATAGTAAGTGTTGACCAGCCTTTCATTACTTCCCTCTCAGCCTTGTGCCACATAACAATCTTGGATTGTTAAAATAAATATTCCCTATCGTATTGGAACCAAGAATAAATTATAGAAAGAATATCTTATCCATCACTTTTTATATAATATTCTTCCATTTGATTTATTCTATTCAGCAATATAATTTAATAGAACACTGATATTTTATAATTTGGTATTGTGTGACACTTAATGAAAAATAATTTTTCCTTCAGTTCTGACATTAACTTGAGTGTTTACCTTCACGAAGAACAGAGAAAATACGTGAATGTTGGAATCGAAACAAATCTATTTTATTTCGATCCGAGTTTGAAGAATCCTATTTATATTAATAAATAAAGGGAGTTTCCATCGTTTTCAATGTTGTAGCTTATATCTGAGCACATGAATACCGTTAACTCTGTGTTAGACAGGCGTTTCGTTACCCCAAAACCTTTTAAAGTACTCGTAATTCCCTGATGGTAACAAGCTTCTTTTGCACCCTGCTCTTACTCCTCTCTTGACTCAGTGTGGGTGTGTAGCACATGTTGTGGCGCAGTTGTAGCTCAGTTGTCGTAGGAGGCAGACGCCAGGGGACTATTTGTTTTCGGAAATTCAAGGTGACTAATGCGAGGTTAAAACAGCGTGTGGTTTGTATAGCTTTTAATTTTATGGAGATACACTGATACAAAAATAGAAATTTCGTTCGCTTGTAGATAGACACGAGTGTAAAAAAATAGGGTTCGTTTTGTGTTTCGGTACTTTGAAATCGATATTAAAAAAATTAATTTTTTTATCCTTTTCCGTCGAACATAAAAGCATTTTTCTCCGTGCATATATAAAAATTGAATTTTCATTTGCATCTTATTTGCACTAAACAAAGCAATATTTGAAAAGCGACATTTTGATTCTGCTAGTCTATTATAATTGTATATTTTTAATTAAAAAAGATAAGATATAAAAATGAATTTTTATTTGCAATTTCCTTATTTATTTAAATAAAACGGGACATAATATTAGAAAAGCGACATATTGGTTCTACTGGTCTGTTATTGTGTATCATCAATGCAAAAATATAGGATGTAAAAGAATTGAATTTTTATTTACACTTTCATTAATTCTTTGAACAAAACCCAACGCAATGTTTGAAAAGGGACATCTTTGTAGGGTTTTGAATAAAACACTCCACCTAGCGGGCAGAGGTGAGATAATGGCTTTGGTATAGTAGAGACAACTGAGATGGATTAAGGCCCTTGCCACATTTAGATACCAATCCGGTGAGGAGAAGATGTTACAGCTACACATGCTACAACCAACGTCCTGACTCATACCATAGGAGACAAATGTATTCAAAGATGGTCGTTGACCTCACCTTAAAAGATAGTAATCTTGTAATTTAAACCTCATTAACTGTAAAGACAATTTTATGTCATATTATATTATTGTTTTACATTGTTGCATTTAATAAAAACGGTAAACGTATTTTGGCACCTCTCTTTTCATTTCTTTTTTGCGTACCTCGTTTTATTCTTGTTTTTCAGCTCTTTAAGGGATCCATCATAAAATAGCTTCAATGCAAATTGATATGATTCAAAAGTGACGGTGACCGCGCGGACTGGGTTATTTTGTAGTTGCCTATATGTGCCTATGGAGGCACGGTGGAGTAATGGATAGCGGCTTGGATTGAGGAAATCGGAGAGCCGAGTTCGAATTCCAGTCGAATCCATTACATTTACTTACG